TTGTGCTGTTGCTGAGGAGCTGCTGCTTGTGCTGTTGCTGAGGAGCTGATGAGATGCTTAGGAGCAGCTGAGATGCTGTTGCTGAGGAGCTGATGATATGCTTAGGAGCAGCTGAGATGCTGTTGCTGAGCAGCTGCTGAGATGCTGTTGCTGAGCAGCTGCTGAGATGCTGTTGCTGAGCAGCTGCTGCTTGTGCTGTTGCTGAGGAGCTGCTACTTGTGCTGTTGCTGAGGAGCTGCTGCTTGTGCTGTTGCTGAGGAGCTGCTGCTTGTGCTGTTGCTGAGGAGCTGCTGCTTGTGCTGTTGCTGGTGAGCTGCTGCTTCTGCTGTTGCTGAGGGGCTGCTGCTTGTGCTGTTGCTGGTGAGCTGCTGCTTGTGCTGTTGCTGCTAACCTGCTGCTGTTGCTGCGGAGCTGCTGACCTTCTGCTGTTGCTGCGGAGCTGCTTCTGCTGCTGTTGCATGCGGGGGCGCAGCGACCACTAGACTCTATGCCACACGCTTATCCAAGCTAGTGCTTTACCCTGTGTTGCTGCTGCAGCGGTGTGGCTGTCGCTTCATTATGCGCTCTACTGTATGGGATTTCATGCGGCGTCTTTGGGGCTTCGGACGTATGGAGGCATTGAGCGGAGTGTCTTCTCTCTCCAGACATGTAGACACCTCGACTTCACAACGTTTGGATCTGACTTGTACGTCTCATTGCAGTTTTTTGAAAGGGAAAGCGCCTTTAGACGCTTGGGGGCAAGGGGCCTTGCAGGAGTGCCTCACAGCGCTTTCTGTCGTGCTGAGCGCCTGATTCGCGTAGACAGTGCTCGTACAGCAGCTGCTGCGGCTGCTGCGGCTGCTGCAGCACGCGCTGTATGTACAGCTGCAGCTGTTGCTGCCGTTGCTTCTGCAGACCTGTCTCTCGGAGCGTTGTCAGCACCTGGGGCTTTGTTGAGCTTTACGCTGCCGGCGCGACATGCCTTCTCTGCTGTCGGAAATTCGGCTTGGATCCTTACAGGCTGAAGAGCTACTTTTCCTTCCTCGTTTCATCGTATGCAAGCTGCACGGGTTTTTTCTCTCTGTTTCTCTGCGTATATCCCACCCTATCGATACCCCGGATGCTCTCCCTATCCTGCCCTCTTGCGCATGGCTGGCGCCTGCTGCCTTCCATTGACTGGGCTGTCTCTTGCGCTCAATCCTCTGTGCACGGCAGAAACAAGTGCGCTCTTTCCGTGTCTTCGTCTCCTTCTGAACTCGCCGTTCCCTTCTCCTGCCTTTCTCCTTCCGTCCCCTTTTGCGACTGAGGCCCCTTCTCCAGTACTTTACGGCGTGGATTCCGCTTTTTTGCGGGTGCTGCTGCGAGACTCTTAGGAGATGCTTCTGCAGGCTCCGAGGGATACCCCTCTTGCTCTGCTGCACGCAACTCGCCATTGTGATCCAAGCGGCAGTAAAACTAGCGCTTGCGTGGGCAACTGGTCAGTTTTAGGGGCCTGGGAGGCAGCGTTTAAGAGTCTGGTGCTTTCCTGCCGCGGCTTTGTCGTCCTTCGGGGAAAGGCGAAGCATGTCTGAACTAGTAGACGTTTTTTCGCTGTATCTGTATCTGTGTGTGTGGGGGGGGGGGCAAACAAATTTCCCTCTGCTGTAGGGTATGGAACGCCCATGCAACTCGTGGGCTCCATCTTCTTGGCCAGCTGCGTACTGTGGGTAGCCGCAGTTCTCTCGCATGTGCTGCAAGTTGACGCAATAAATCCACCCTTCAGGCCGTGTCTCGCCTTTCATGCACTTTGGTGAGACGCTAGAGCTGCTACCGCCGCTGGTCGCACTTAACTGCTGCTAGAGGTGCTTGTGATTTGGGGTGCTGCGGCTGGCGCTTTTCATATTGGCAGTCGTGGGGAAACTGGTATCAGGTCGCTTCTCTCTGTGTCTGTCTATCTGTCTGTATGCATGCCGCTTGGACGGCCACTGCATTCCTGTATCCATCCGTGTCGGTTTGCTGCTTCTGCCTGCGTTCTTCGCTTCAGGGCCTCTTTGAATCTGTTTGTTGTTTGGGTTTGCGGCTTCATCTTTTATATTTCGGTGTATGGGCTGCGCCTCGCACCCTACTGCGGTGTGCATCTCTTCGTGTGGTGCCTCTATGCCGCGATTTCGCTCTTCAAGCACAAGCAGATATTCCCTCTAGAACCCCTCGATGAAGACCGTAAGCCGTCATCTTGCTGCAGTTGTGTTGCTGCTCCCCGAGGCTTGTTGCTGGAGGCGACGTTGAGAATGGCAGGGGGTTGCGGGGGGGAGAAGGAGGGGGTGGGGGAGAAAAATGAAGTTTCTGTGCTGCAGCTTGCATGCCGGGTGTTTTTGATGTATTGCTGCTGCTGCTATTCTGCTCGCGCCTCTTCCTGCAGTTGAGGGGGGGGCCAGCCTTCTCAGCGAAAGAGTCTCTCCAAATGGCGGGAACGTAATGTTTCGCCCTGTAGCAGCAGCAGCAGGAGCGATGGGGGGACGCAGTCGGCCTATCGGTGGGAGAAGCAGCAGGAGTCGCAGCAGCAGAGGCACTGGATAAGAGTGTAGGTACCGCCTGCTCCGCCACTTGACCCTCCGTAACGTAGGAGCCTTTGGAGGCCTTGTAGCCTCAGCGCCTGCCGTCCCTTGATCCTGCTGTCGCAGCTTTAGTAGAGAACGAGGAGTTGCGGCAGCGCTGTCGAGTGCGCCGAATACTGCAGCCGCGAGACTCGCTGCAGCCCTGCCACGCGTATCTGGGGGTACTGCCGCAGTTTCTCTGGAGCTGCTAAAAGTGCTGTGTGACATTAAAAAAAACGTAAAAATGGGTTAGGTAGGGCCCCTAAACAGTTCCTTGTGGCTTCCCCAACTCCCCCCAGCGTGCTCCAAGGCTTGCTAAGGCTCGCTGCCACTGATAGTTTCCCGCAACTTCAGACCCCCTGATTTATCCGCTGGGCCTCACATGAGTCCTCGAAACAGAGGAGGATCGATCCATAGGGGGACGGGGGGAGGGGTGATTATAAAGGGCCATTAAGACTGGGGGGAGTCGATGGTTTTAAAGACACCTTTTCGCGTAATTTCCAAGTTGAAAGGCTCCAGGGAAGAGTTCCCTGCCCTTAGGGGGAAAGGGGGTTGCCGCCCCTCTATTCGCTACACACAGCGACTTGAGCTCTATCCAAGGTGTTTCGAGAACAAAGGCGTTCACCGCCTTCAACAGACACTGGCGGATAGCTTATGGGCTCTTGGTTCACTGGACGTAGGGGGACACGCACTACCCGCAGTTGAGTACGAAGGCTCACCAAGCTTAGCAGACGAACTGGGGGCTAGGTGGTGGCCAGTAGACAGAAACTCGTCTCGCTTGAAAGGAGCTTCCTTTAGTTTTGTCTGCGAGGTTAGAGTAGAGCGCCAAGCCACAAACTTTGGTCCTTGCGCTGCTGCTGCTCATGGGGTTGTACATTTAAAAAGGATTCATTGGCAAGGGGCTCTACCGCGTGACGGTCTGTGTCTCCTGGTCGGCGCGGACTAGAATTGCTTAACTCGGCCCTATACGGCAGAAATTTTTAAAGGTGCCTGCACGTTCTCTAGCTTGCCGCCACGTGCAGCAGGATGCGCATGAAAGTTCAGAGCGCATAGAGAGGGCACAGCGACGCGGCACTGTGCCCGAATTGCGTCTCTCACAATGCCTAAACACCCATTGGGTGAGGGTGGCTACGGGAAGGAGAAAGGAGCTCTCCTGAAGAAGCATTTTTAGCTTTGGGGACACCCCAGTACAGAGAGCGATACAGAATACCCCTGCTTTTCTACTAGGGGAAACAAGAATATTGATGCGGGAGTGGTGAGGAACTCTGCGCAGTTGTTGAGCATGCAGGCACCTGCGTGTGGCCTACTCTTTATTTTTTAAGGCGCTGCACCGTGTTGTGGCAGGGGAACTAGAAAGGGTGGGGGGCATCGCCCTCTGTAACCTCGAAAGGGGAGGAGGTGCCACTGGCTTTTCTTGTTGCTTTGCCCCCTTCTACAGAATTCAGCACTTTGTGCAAATGCTCGAGACAAAACAGCGCACTTTTGCTCGTGGTTTCAGACAGGTGGTGAGAGCAACTCTCAGATAAAGGCGACAACACAGTCGACCGCTCTTACTTGCTGGTTGCCTAAGGCGCTCTTGATAACACCTTAGGCCACAAGGAAGCTACAGCGATTCAGCGGCAAGAGCGATCCTGAAAAAGTGTTCTGCAACGAGCTTATCCCCGTGACGCGAGGTTGCGCCAAGGGCCGAGGCGCATCCCAGATACACAGTGGGGCGGCGACGAGGTTTTAGATAGAAAAAAAGAGGCAAAATAGCTCAACGTTTCGCGAGTCGAGCCAATAGACAGCGCGACAAGCCTAAAAGGTCATATCCTGTGTGGCAGGAACGAGGAGGCCCCCCCCCGGCTGCAGTGTCTCGAGAGGCCCCCGCCTCCGCTGTCAGGCGCAGTTAGAGAATGCCCCTATATCTCGCAGTGCCCGACGTGTGGCTCATCTTATTTGTTTTTTCCTGAATTAAAGTGCTTGTGCGTGAATCAGAGCGGGCGGGGCAGCCAGTGTGTGATTGACGTCCTAGCGACTGGGCGACGCCTTCGACACATGCACCAGCAGCTCTGGCGAACGCGCAACTGCAGCAGCGGCGGCAGCAACAACAGCACCCACCCAAGTCTTAGCGTCTCCCTGTCCGCTGCGTCGGAGTCCTTTCAGTCGGGAGGCTTGCAGGCCCGCTGCTACCTGCGAAAACGCATGCGTTGTTGCAGGCACAGAGCACACTATAGAAAGAGCACTGGGACTGCCGAGGGATGGAGACATCCGCGGTGCTAAAACGCAGCTAAGGCCGCAGACATCTCGCAGCTCAAGTGTCTCGCAGAACGGGAGCTCCCTTCTTGAGACTCTAATGCCTCGGAACCCCATACCTTGAGTGCTCGTGAAAGCGGAGTCTCTCTGGTTTAGGGGTGCCGCGTGGCTTGATTTTGCTGTAAGGCCATATGGATATTAAGGGCTCGGGAAATGTGCGATGTTACCTTTATCGCCCGTTCTTCCGACGGGCTGCTGCTGTGTGAAGCTTGGTCTCCCCACTACAGCAGCAGCAGCAGCAGCTCCACCTACCAGCAGCAGCAGGAGCAGCAGCGACTGAAGCACCAGGTGAAGCAGGTGCTGCAGCGCTTGCAAGGGAGCACAAGTCAAGGAGCCATCGATGCGGGTCATTTGAAGTTTTAGTGAGCGTAGAGACACTGCGGTTTGGAGCGTGCGGAAGGAGAGCTCTATGCCTTGTAGTGGAAGAGTTTCTTCCAGAGATCAAAATAATCGGTTTAGACTCAAAAAAGGGGGAAAAGTTGGCGGCCTTCCGTTTCCTGGCGTCGGTGTGCAGCTCGGCAGCCCTCGCTCTAGACTGTTTCTGCCTGCGCTTCTGTAAAATCCTGCTTCCTCGAGATATTCTCTTGTTGGCGCGCGTCTCTATGCTCTCGCGAAAAGCTGTGTCTCCGTGAATGGCCCCGACCTGGATGCGCGTCTCCCTGTGTCTCGTCAGCTTCGCATGCAGTCTAGCTATTTCCCCGCGTAGCTACCGTCCGTTGTGCCATGCTGTCTGCCCCTTTTGATGCAATGCTATCTCCGCAGTTACAAGATGAACCGAGGCATCACCTATTTCACGGTGTGCGCTGCGTCGTACCCACGTCGCCTAGCCTTGTGCTACTTGGATGAAGTCTGCGCGCTCTTTGAAGACGAGCTGACCATCGCCTTTGGATCCAGGGCTGTTGACTTCTTCGCGATGATAGAGACCATAGAGGCTCCCTATCACTTTATTAAATTCGGTGAGCAGCGGTTAGCACGCAGTACGCTGGAAAAGCGCCTGAAGAAGAGGGGTCACCCGCAAGAAGTCCGCTATACCACCTAACGCTTCGCATTCTCGTGCCCCTTGGCCTTGTTGCGGGCTAAAAAGAGAAACACATGTCCAGTTACTAACCTCTTGCCTCCCCTTACCTGTCTGCTTCTTTTCTGCACTGCGCTTTTGACCATCCCTCAGAACGCGTGCTGCAGAAAAAGCGACAGGAATTCGCAGATCCTGGTTCCTCCAAAGCTTTGAGTCGCCTGAACGACTCGCTAGCAGAAGTCTCTGACCTTATGCGGCAAAACATCGAAGAGATACTTCAGAGGGGGGAGAACCTATCGGGTAAGGCGGCATGCACGGATCGCGCGACCCCCATATCTGTGCGTCCTCCTGATCTTACCGTTGCTTCTGATCCTGCTTTAGAAAGGCGCCAACGAGGCAGGCCAGTGGTGTAAGCGTGCCAGTTGCAGCAGCTCACGACGCCAGTGGCGTTTTGGGGTTGGCGTTGCTGCTTGCAGATGTGGGCAAAAAGGCGAGCGATCTAAAATCGGCGAGCGAGAAGGTATGCCCATGGCGAGCTGGGCCATGTTTCTCCTTACTCCCTGCGCCCTCAGCCTTCTTCTCTAGTCTCCATTTTATTCGCTTTTTGTTGTTGCTCCTGGCCGCCACTAAGGCTTCGCTCTTTGCTAGTACACTTATGGAGGGGGGCCCCCTGTGATTTGGGGTGTCTGCAGTTCAAGGGGCTGGCGAAGGCATTGAGTTTTAGGGCTTTGGTGCAGCAGTACGCCCCCTTGGCACTAGTGGTTCTGTTTTTCGTCACGCTTTTGTTTTGGAAGCTCTACCTATAGCTGTGTGGATATGCAACGCCATCAAAGGCAGCAGAGAGATACCCTCCCCCCTCCCCTCCTCCTTTGACCCCTAGAACGCCGCAGCTCGGGGGAAGCAAGGAAGCATAAATACGCATCAGCGGACTTCAACAAGCCACATATGGCGTGACAGACCCTTTTGCGTTTCCTGTCTCCTCTAAAATTCCCAGCCGGAGAAAACTAATGGCCTGTCTCGCCCTGCTCAATTCTACTTTCCGTTTTACAGCGCCATTTCCCCATATTATGTAGCTCGTGTGCAAACTTCTATCTCGCCTTGCTCCTGCAGTGCGGGTGCCCCCGACGCAAAGCTATTACTTGCTTTCAGAGACACCCTTCAAGCTGCTGCCGCTGCATCCCTATATCCTTCCTCGGTCCTGGCTTCTGCTCAACCTGCCTGCGCTGGCCACTTTTGCAGTTTCATCTTGCCCGTGAAGTGTAGTCTAATTTTAACGCCTACAGAAAGCGCTTCAGAATACGAGCGTCGGCAATATGCGCACGGTAAAAGGGAAGAAAAAAGGGGGGGCTGTTTCCTTCAGACGCCATTGATGCCTGCCTTTTTGGATGCTCTGCTGGCTGGCTGGCGCTGTACCTCTGCCCTTTAATGACAGGCTGCGGTGGCTCTTCATATATATATCGATCTAGCAAACTTTTTACAACTCCCAGAAAAACGAGCACACCCTTTAACGAAGCAGCGTAGTACCTGCCTGCTACAATCAGGCTGCTCCACTGACGCCTGCCTGCGTTGCCAATACCCCCCTTCCCCCCTTCCCTTCCTTCCCACTTGCCCTCCTTAAAAAAGGACGCCGAATCATCGACGCTCCCCTCATGTTCATTCGTCAAGAGCCCTGTCTCGCTCTGCCTCACTACCCATCGGTGCCCACGTGTGTTGCACCGCACAGCCACACACAGGCTCCTGCATGGCCCGCAGCAGAGATGACGCGTTCACCTGTAAGAACAAATAAGGAATCTTCCTGCCCCCAAGGAGACTTTGGGTTTGGCTTTTAGACTCCGGGTGTGTATGAATAAGATGGCTAAAATATATTCATGTATATGCATATAATACCAGAAACACCTGACAAGTGGCATGGGCCGGGGGGTGGTCACACTCCCCAAAGGCCCTGGACAGAAAACGGCAAATTGGAATGACATACATCGCTGATGCACACAGCCGTAGATCCTGGATCAATCGTTCATGGAAGATCGGGAGTTTATAAGGTACCAGAGAAGACAGGCAGGCCTAACCTGCTGAGGCGCCTGCCTCTGGCGACTCATTCAGTCACACACAGCAACAGAGGCACATGATCCTGCGATGACTGCTCTATTTGGTTTGCTTGTAGGCCGCAAGCGCATGTCCATACTTGGTCTTTTCCTTCGCCGCCGCGGCTACAAAATGCTGCTTTTCTAGGGCACTTGCAGTGCGCCACATGTCTCCCAGAATCTTGGCTACGTCCTTTACGCTAGATTTCAGCTCTGGCTGCTGTTGCAAGACTTCCCCTCGCTTCTCCCTGGCGAACAGCATGTAGGCAGACAAGGGCCTCTTCGGTGCCCCTGCATCCTTCTGATGCTTCTTTATGCCACGATGAACCGGAGCAGCAGACGCAGCACTGCTGCTGGAAATGCCGATGCTTGCATTAGCGTTGCTGCTGCCGCTCTTGTGGAAGACTTTTGTCGGCTGGGGAGCTGCCGGCGTCACCCCCTTCGCTGCGCTACCACTGCCGCTGCCTCGCCGTGTGCTTTTGCTGCTTGTCATTCTTAACAACAACTTCGAACTAAAAGCCCTGGTGTGCGTGTTGCTTTTGTGCTTGGCTAAGACACAAGCGGTAAAGAACAAACGATCCGATTGGTTCGCTGATGCCTGAACAGAACACTGACACACTAGACAACACTGGCGGGCGTCAACCGCGAAGCCCCATACCCTTATCCCGAAATCGTGAAGCCTTAAAGTTATATCAGTGATCTTACCCGTGGGAAAATGCAGAAATTTGCTTTTCTGTTGACAGATTCCACAAGGCTGTGACGATGTCCAGCAGCAGCAAGTGATGCTGCCGCTGTGCGACAGCAGCAAGCGACCACTGTCGGCGGCTGCTTGTGTTGTGCTGGTCCTGCTTCAAGGGCTCTTCTACGGGTAAAGATTTCATCTCTAAGTAGAGTTACGGTATATTGAAAGAAGATTAAGGTTATTGCCGAAGTATGCGGAAAGTTTGGGACTTGCGGTTGGAGGCGGTGGTCACCTTTGTTACTGTGGTTCAAACTCTCACACAAACCGTGAATCTGTCATGCTATCCTGGCTTTTTCTAAGCCCTTCCCTTCAATTAATACGGTGATTCTTGCATTAAAGGTGCGATTAACCTCACTAGCGGAGGCTCTAGGCCTTGATGCTGAGGATTTTTGCACTTTGCTATGGTTTCGGAGGGCTCGCATATCGCTCGATCTAAGGTCTCCACAAGGAAACACTGAATTTTAGAAGCATTACAAACTTGCTAGACAATTATCGGGTAGACCATAATATATAACTCCTCACTTCCGCTGCTCGTGCCCCTCAGGCTTGCCACATGAGGGTGAGAGAAGAACCTCTAGGGTGCGCTTAGTGGCACTCTCTTCACTCAGCACTGCGAGCACCCACAGATAGTTCTGTATAGCATCTAGTATACATCCACGCAATATTATGTTTCTTAAATTGAGCCAATGGTTCTCTGCAACCATACGATACGCGAACAGACAAGCCAATTAGTCCACGCTCTACTAATTCTTCGTTGATTATAAGTAGTCTAGTAGAAAACGCTGAATTGTAGCTTAGCTCGCCACAATCAGCAACAGAGAGTGCTAACTGAGGCTGTCATTTCCGGCACCTGATACAACAATTTCTCTCCAGTTGTTCGAAAAGTGCGTACCAGACAAGCGTGCCTAGACACGTCTACTTTCGCCTGTGTGCTTCTGCAAAAAAACCCAAGTAGAGCTTAGTACATAGGTAGGAATTGGATGAATTGAAGTATTTTTGCTCATGCTTATCCGTACAGATGTTTGTGCTGCCTTTCTGAATGTAATGTTCCACCTAGACTTTCCGCAGTGAGACTCTTTTAACCCCAACCCCCGCTCCCCCCAAGTCAATAATTGCTTTAGTGCGCTGTTCTATTGCTTTCCACTCTCCATCCCCTAATTCCTCGGTGTATCAGCATGAGGCAGGGGAGACTAAGAACTAGGGTGCACACAGCTTGAACGCACCAACTTTTCGTATGCACGTACACAGCTGATTCTTGTTGTTATGAGCTTACTACTGTACTCTGCAACGAATATAGTGTACCGTACGAACATCCATACCAAAACATTATCAATTATTATCAATTTTTTGCGAAGTAGAAAGAGCCCCAGTAGAATGAACAGAAACATGCTTAGAATCCTAAGTTTCGCACTTGCGCTCACTGGAGTTTTCTCGTTTTATTCACACCCCTATAAATACTTGTATTTACCATGCATTCGTGCAGCGGCCTTAATCCCACAGCAACACTATCTACTGCACTCGTTCTAGTTAATGGCAATTCAGCAGAAAATCGACTAATTTGTTTGGCTGTTCGTACATCGTATTTTGTGCGGAATACTGTCAGCTCGAGACAAGAGGACGCGATGTTGTGTGTCGGTCCGCTAGATGCTATGTGCGATTGGCTGTGAATCATCGAAGTGCTGAGATGGTGCAGCTAAGCGCGCTCTAGTTGCCAGTTACTTCTAATGCCAGAAACTGTGAGGGGCGAGCCAGCACAGGAAAGTGGGAACTTTGTAGAAGCATTCAGTAACTCTATTAAGTATAGTCTGGAGGGAAGTGCCTCCCTACGGAGACCTTACATTGAGCGTTACAATGCGTACAGTGCATGTCTACTTTGTATAGCTGTGGACAAATAGGGCCATACATCCTTAAAGATATTTACACTAATTCAAAATCAGGTGTCTATATTAAAAAGACCTAAATGAGTATATACACGAAGGATTACATAAACTGGTAGAGGTTCCTCCCTCCGTTCGCACCAAAACGCCTTTTGTCTAGTGCTAACTATATTTATGGCCCTGTATGCGGATGTACATGCATGTATGCTTCTGCCTAATGGGCCGTTTTACTATATTGTAGATCAATAAAAGTGTACTATAAGCAGAAATATGCCAGGTTTCCCACAAGAGGGACTAAAAATGCAAGGCAATAGCGACAGTCGTTTGTTATTGCAAAAGTGTTGCACTTGGCCAGAAAAGCTCTCTTCAGGAGTTATAGTAAAGCGCCTCTATCGAAAGCAGAAATCTTATCTATTCCTACAAGATGAAGGCGCTGCCGCTGGTACTGCTGATGCTCCTGCTGCGCTCTGAGGTAAGGAAGAGGAGGGCACACACGGGTACGGGGGTGTGCAGTGTGGCCTCACGCGGAGGCACTTCTTCTACGCAGAGACAGAGCATTTTTTGTTAGTTTCTTTGCAGCAGCTGCTCGCCACAAATACTGGGCAATGAACGGCAGCAACGGGAAGTGCGATCCCAAAGGTTCGCTTCGCGTGTGCGCACCGGCTGGTCTGCCTGCTTGCAGTTGCTATGCAAGAGGACAGTCCAACACGCTGCCGCTTAATTGCCACCTGGTTGTCACAACGTCGGGCCTTACGGGAGCCACTCGCTGGCAGGCCCTTGGTTTAGAACATACACCTGGCAGTCGCAGCAGCAAAAGCCCCGCAAGCAGGAGCATGACAAGGAGAGCGCGTATCGGGGCAGTTGCATGCACGACGCAGCCATAAAAGAATCACTCATCGAAAGTGGACTTGCCTGATCCGTGGGACATATCTTGAGCTCCCTAGTCGGGCAGGAAATCACGATTGCCATTGGCTGGTCCTGCAGCTCTAGGTGGGCGTAGTTCCCGAGCTGCCTGTACAGCCCAATGGCAACCTTTCTTTCCATATTCAAGAGGTGCTGCAGCAGTCAGGCAGACGACGCAGGTGTCACCGCTTCACATGTAGCCGCCTATGCTCCCGCACAAGCGACCCCTGCACGTGCTGCCCACTGCACACCGCAGCGAACGTAACAAGGCCACAGCAGCAGCCGGTCCGCAAGAAAGACATATGACGCAGCAGGACGTGCAGCAGCAGACCTCAAAAAGTCTCCTAAAAGGACTTCCAAAGAACATTGGAGGCACACTTTCTAGAGACAGAGGAATGGCGGAGGCCCCTCGCATGCCTTTTCGCGCCTGCAGTAGGCACAAGGGCAGCAGCAGCACGGCACACGCGTTCCAGAATGCCCTTTTAAGAGGAATACTTCCAAAGAGACGGCTGCACATTTGTCTGTCTACTTATCTGTCTGTCTGTCTGTCCACTTATCTGTCTGTCTGTCTGTCTACTTATCTGTCTGTCTGTCTGTCTACTTATCTGTCTGTCTGTCTGTCTACTTATCTGTCTATTTATCTGCCACCGGTGCGCGCACTTTGCCTGCACCCTAAGAACGTGCAGTGCACAGCCTACGTGGACAAGACTATTGACGATGTTGACTTCAACGGAGTAGCGGCTAACAGGAAGCGTGTGCGCCATAGCCCCATAGAACATTTCTTCGACGCATGCAAATCCAGAAGCAAAGAATAGGGACCTGTGGAAATTTCAGGACGCAAAAAACACAGCCAGGCATGCGGAGGTGACGAGGAAGCAGCTCTAGTAGAAGCTGTTGCCCAACCTCCATTTTTGTGATCCACATGCAGCAGAAAGCAACACACAAAGCCGCTGAGACAAAATTCCTGCGTCTGCTGTGCTCTGCTTGGCCTTACCGCAGCCAAGGGGGGCGAGCATGGGGTGTGGAATCGTATTCTGGAGCCTCCGCCATCGTAAAGTCGCAATACTGCAACAAGTTCGACTGCAGCAGAAGAAGCGGCCGCAGCAGCAGGTAATAGCGCTAAACGGCTAACATGTCTGTCAGGGGAAGCAGCGTGTATGTACAGCAAGCTCGCCCTCCAGAGGTGCTGCCTCCAGGACCCACCATCACCACCACGACCACCACCTCTACCACCACTACCACCGCCCCTCCTCCTCCTCGCAGAACACGAGCAAAACATGCAAAACCCCATGCACTCCCGAAGGTACCAGCGGGCAAAGAAGCCAACGTACATCCTTCAGATCGAGGAATATCTGCGGTTCCTTGCGACGCGGCAGCAGCAAACCCGCATGCAGGGGGCCCTGCCACTGCTGCTGTTGCTGCTCTTGACTTTGAGGTCCTGCATCTGCGAGCTTTTGCCCGCGAATGACTTGCGTCAGTGGACTCTCCGCAGCGAAAGAGGGCAAGGAGGCGGGTGCCGCTGCTGAAGAAGAGGCTTCTGGAAGGCCTTGAGATTCGCCGCTAGATGTGGCATCCAGTGGCTGCGGATGCTCGTGCTGCTGCTGTTGTCGCATTTCACTGTGTTTTCGCTGCAGCACAGGATAGCTTCCACTTCGCGTGGGTGGGCTCGATGGCCAGGGAGAGCCATCTTCTGCGCGTTGTTGCTGCTGTTGCTGCTGTTGCTGCTGCTGCTGCTGCTGCTGCTCCTGATTGAAACCTTGCAGCCTGGCCACAATAGAGCCGCTGCCCAGCAGCGCCTCGCCAATGGAGGCCCCCTCCTGAGCCTCTAGGACCGGAGGCAGTCCGCCTTGAGGGGGTGGGAGGGGGCCCCCTCGTTTGTACAGCGCGAGGATTGTCCGTCTCACGAGGAGGGCCTGCGTGTCGAGTTTGCTGCTGCTCAAGTCAGCCCTCCAGGAGACTTGAGGCGACGAGAAAATTGCAACGGCGGTGGCCTCCAGCGCGCCTGCCCTCAGGAGATCCGTCATGGAAAGGGCAGATCCGCAGATGTAGGCGCAGCAGCGGGCATAAGGGGCCAAGTCTAGGGGCCCCACCGTGTTCGGGCTGTGGGGGCAGAGGATGAGAACGTTGAAGAGGCCGTTCTGCAGCAGCGAATGCAAGAAAATCCGCAGACCCCGAGGCCACCCGCACACCAACACTACGGGGGCGTTGCGGCAGCTGTACACCGAAGCTCTTGCCTCTGAAATGGAGAGCACTGAGGTGATCCCGCCAAGCTGCTGATTAGCAGCCTGTGCAGAAGGTGTTGTAGCGGAGGACGCTCCGCTCACCATCGAAGTCTGCGTTGCTGCTCTGGGGGCGGGGGCCCCCAAGGGCAGACTCGCGTTCTCCCGATGGAAACATCCACGCGGAAGGGGCCCCGAGGAGAGGCCCCCAACGGTGGGTACCGAAGGCGGGGAGGACCCCGTGGGAGCGGCGGCTCCCCCTTGAGGAACTGCGCCTTCGGGGGAGCCATGATGAAAGTCGTCCATGGAGTGCACAGACGGACTCTCTTGCAAAGGATGCAGCCGCGTACGGGGAGTAAAGACAATCCCTGCAGGAGGCAAGTGCTGGCCAAAACCCCCACCTAAAACCGCGCACATATATATATATATCAATATATATATATATATGTATAGATAATATATATATATAGATATAGATATCAATATATATATATATATACATATCAATATATATATATATGTATATATATATATATAGATATAGATATCAATATATATATATATATACATATCAATATATATATATATATGTATATATATGTATATAGATATCAATATATATATACAAAAATACACATACAAAACGTACATACATACGTACAAAAACACAACACAGAGATAAAACACATACTTGCATACACATACTAAAATGCATACACATAAAAATAGAACAACACACAGATGAAACATATACTTGCATACATACATACAAAAATACACACATACAAAAATACAACAACACACAGATGAAGCACATACATGCATGCATACATACAAAAACACAACAGCACACAGATGAAACACATACTTGCATACACATACATACAAAAATACACGCATACAAAAATAAAACAACATAGAGATGATATACATACTTGCATACACATACAAAAATACAACAACACACAGATGAAGCACATACATGCATGCACATACAAAAATACAAACACATATATAAATGCAACAACACACAGATGAAACACATACTTGCATACACATACTAAAATACACACACATATATAAATATAACAACACACAGATGAAACACATACTTGCATACACATACAAAAATACACACATACAAAAATAAAACAACATAGAGAGGATACACACACAAAAATACACATACATGCATACGTACGTACATTCATCCATACATACATAAATACACACGCGTTGCGCTAAAGAGGCACTGTCAAGTACATGTGGGAATATTTGTATTGTGCGTACAAAGCAACCCTGAGCAGAAGTGTGCATGATAAAGCGCGAACTACTCTAGAAACGCTAAATGTATTCAAAACAAGACTGGACTGTGGCATGCAAAAGAAGAAAGACACCGTACAGTGACCACGTGCACACAGGCCGAGTGGAGGATCGTGAACGCGCGCGAATAATGCATTACAGAGGGAAACGCAAAGATTTACGACTCGAGAGATAGTAGGAGATAAAGTACATGACCAGAAAGAGAAAGACAGCAGGAAGGGGGGCTGCACAGGAAAAGGCCACGCAGAAGCATGGTGGGGGCAGTGCATCTCAGTGTTGCAGTGGTTGTCTATACCTTCAGGAAAGGGAATGCGCTTCTTGTAATGATGCGGGAGCCCTCCGAACGGTTTTCTGTGTCTCCTCCTTGCGCCGAGCTCTTTCGCGGATGCAAGACGGGCAACAATTTCTAGATTGGGGGCCAAGACGATTGCTGCGTATGCCCCTGTGGTTGCAGACGGAGGCGCTGTCTGTGGCAGCGGCTGTTGCTGTTGCTGCTGTCCTCTGGCTGCTGCTGCTGCCTCAGTCTCGGCTCCCACTGTGTACTGCGCGGGATTGATGGCGATTCTGTTGGCGAGAGAAATAATGCCGATGAGGTACACTTCGTAGTGGATGTACAGCACGCGGGCGAGCTCGAGAAACGGGACGCCCTCTACACACGCTGGGAACTCCATGCGGTAGATGGTGTAACCTGTGCCCCTCTCGTAATGCTGCAAGTCTTCCCTGCCTCGTCGTCCAAGTGCAGGCACTCTCCATGGCTTTCGCCTCTGCTGCTTCGAGAAGACGAACCAGCAGCCGACAAGGGGCAGGAAGCCAGGACAGCCTGCGCAGCTCCTCCCTAGCAGTTTCATCTTGACTTCGGAAATGCAGAGTGTCGCGTAGGCGCCCATGTCTTTGACGAGGCCCTTGCGGTGATCGTGTAGAAGCTGCACGTTGATAGGCCTCAAAGGAAAGCAAGCGGCACGGGCCCCTAGAAAGCGCAGCAGCGTCATCTGATCCTCTTCCTGCTCCCGTGTCTCTACACTCTCTCCAGATCCGGGAGCTAGAAGGGGGCCCTCTGCACTCTTGCGGCCTCCGAAGGCTTGAGGAAGCGCCCCAGTGATGGAGTAGGGTCTGCTGTTGCTGAAGACGAAGACAGCTCGCGCTTCCGTGCATGCGGCACGGATGGCTGAGGGGAGAAGGGCCCCTCTGGCCCCCCCCTTGATGCAAATCCTGACACCCGAGTGTTTGAATGCCTTTTGGCAAGCTTCAACGTACGCGGGGACAGGAAGGGGCGTTATGAAGAGCAAGGCAGACGCGGATCCTGGGAAGGCACGTCCCACCTCGAAGCAAAAGGCAGTCAACTGCTGCGGTTGTATGGGCCCTAGAATGCACAGGTAGTCTTCGTCTTGCGTGGGTATGGTTCCGTAAGAAGTGCACGGCTCTCTGAGGGCCTCCATGAGCCGTTGGATCTCGCCGGGCAGGTATGCGAAGGCGGAGACGATGACGCACATGGCTAGCCCCCTTCCGGCAGGGGTCCTCGGAGCGAAATCGCCATAGCCTACAGTCATGACCGTCACAACTGCGTAAAAGCACAAGTCGAAGACTGACATGTAGTTCGCTTCGACATCGGGGGCTTCCAGAATGAAGATGCCACCCGCGAAAGTCAGCACGATCATGAGCCAGGAAACACCGATCGACACCACGCGCAGAGACACCAGAGACAGCGTTGGAAAGCACGTGCCTAAGACTGTCTCCGTGCGCAGGAGCCGCAGGAAACGCAGCCATCCAAGCCCCAAGAGCCAGGGATAGTTCTGCGCCTTGGGATCAGAGACAAAGAGCCGGATCACCATCGCCGAGATGGGCAAGGTAACGATGTCAATAATGGAGTGCGGAGACAGCACAAAGTTCAAGGGCGAGGAGGCCGTTATGAGGCCCACACAGTAATCCCCCGTCACCATCCACACAAAGAGAGCCTCCACCACCGAATACGTATGTGGGAGGGCCGTAAAAGACCAATTCAGGAGGCCCTTCATCCCGGGGGCCCTCTCCATGTACGTTGTTGCCCACAACCAAACCCCACACCACGCCAAAGTGCGTGCCAAGATGGCTAGCAGGCCTGCTGGAGATGTCAAAGTTGGGAGGAGCCAGCAGCGACAGCCGGCCAGAAGGATCTGTCCTAACAGCGACAGAATTCTCCAGGGGAGGCCCCACCGGCGGCTCTCGCGGGCCTCCTCTTCGGGGCCCCCACTATAGAGGCCCCCAGCCGCTTTACCGACGGTGGCGGCAGGGATGTCGGAGACAATGTCGGAGTGGCTCTCCGCTTCCAGGCGCTGCAGCAAGGAACGCAGCTTCGCCTCGACAGTCCGAGGCTTCTTGGGAGGTGCCATGAAGAAGTCTGCGCTGGTTGCAGCCCTAAATGCAGAGGAGAGCCGTTGCTGTTGAGGGCCCAGCTGGGGCACGCCTAAGAAGCCTTCCGCATCGCTGCAGTATCTAACGAGCTTCTGTCCACCCTCCAGCCCCCAAACGGCCTCAGAAATGCCAGCTTCCATGCCGGCGACGGTGTGTCTGTGCGTCACGAATCCATGACTTGCGTCCAATCCAAAGGGACTCCCCTCTTGAGCGGCTGACACCTCCGCACGCCACTGGCCCGCACCTGCCCTGCTGTTTCTGTAGACGAGCCAGAGGCGAGACAGATCGTCTGAGACAAACCTCCGAGGCCCCTCCATCTCGCTCCTCTCCACCGGAATTCCGTTGATGCTCACAGGAAGAGCCAAGGGGCCCCCGCGCTCCCCCGAAACGTCGCCTGAGAAGGCACGAGCAGCAAGCAACTCCGGAATTTCGTCTCGGTAGGCCCTGGGGTACTGCTGCTGCCATCCTCCGATCTGCTGTTGCTGCGACTGCCCTTGCTGCTTCTTGCCGCCGTCTCTCCTGCAACAGCACCACCACCTCCAACAGAGGCCCTTCTGGTGCTCGCGTTTCGTCACCCGGGACGTGGGGCCCCCTGCCCTCTCACTCAACATGTTCCGCGCTTGCAAAGCTTCTGCTTCGATCTGCATCTGCCGCAGAAGCTGCTTCTGGTGATCCCTGGGAGTCATGGCCGGAAACTGCGTTGTCGTGTGTCTCCTGCCATCCACCCGGTGGCTATATCCTAACAGGCGGCCTATGAACAAACGAGAAATACAGCCTCGCAGCCAGACATGGAACCCGAAGCACCTCAAAGGCGAAAGCGCAAAGGCCTACGAAGGCAAAGGAAAAGGCGGGAGGAGGACGGGAGGAAAGTGTAGGCCGGTGTAATTCCCCTCCCCCCACCACATAATCGCATGCAGGTGTACAGGCACAAGAGGGCGGAGGGCAAACAAAAGGCGGCCTATACAGATGCATATATATATATATAAACAGATGCCGAGTCCAGCCTATACAGATGCATACATATATATATATATAAACAGATGCCGAGTGCAGCCTTGATGGGCAGCGGCTTTTTCAGGCAAACCTTCACGCAGCATGCCTTACCATGGAAGTATCCCTTAAGCTGACGCCTCCACTTGGGAACTTTTAAAGACAAATGTGCCAGCAGCTGCATGATGATGTGCACCCCGATCGCCGGCAAAACGTACAAGCCAGTTGTGTTCCTGTGAAGGTCTAAGGCCGTTGTGGTGACGATTAGGACCGCAAATGCTCCACAAAAAGCCCTTTCGAACCATTTAAAAAGCCAGCGCAGGCGTCGTCGCACCCAGAAACCAACTCCGCTACCCTCATCCTTGTAAGAAGACGCCCTTACCTCTCCAGGGGGTGGATCCTCCGTCTCCCCATTGGTGAGGTCTCCACCCTCCGTTGTACCGGGCAAAGGAGCTTCTGGAGACGTGTGGCCATTCGAAGTCTCCCCTGCAGGGGGGCTGATGCCGCCTAAAGGAACAACTACCTGGGTGCACGGTGAGTTACTGCTGCGCTGCGAGCCAAGAGGCCCGAGGGGCCCCCCACGAGAACCCTCATCCTGGCTCGAAATCGCGAAGCTAACGCCTAAAGGGCCCCCCCTTGGGGGCCTCCAACTGCCAAGCTCGCTCTGATCGCCAGGAGTGCGTTGGCTTGGTGTTTCTTGGGTTTGCTGCGCTGGCTGCGGCTGCATCCTGCTTCGTCCAGTGCCCTCGCCAGGCTTTAAAGCGGAAGCGACTGACGGATCGGGAACGTCGGAGGCAGTTGAGGATGGATGCGCCTGGGGTGGACTCTTAGCGACAGGACCGCGTGGTGGTACCCTGGGAGGGCCCCCTGGCGCTAAAAAAGCAAGGTCCTTGGGTAAGGAGCTCATTGTGGTATCCTGCTGTCAGGGTTCGACTGCAGCTGGAGCCGCTGCCGGAGCGGCAGGCCGTTGCTCCAGCATTTGCCGCTTCTCCTGCTGCTCTTGTTGTTGCTGCGACGGTGGCAGGCTCTGAAGCCCATGCGAAGGGGGGCTAGTGGCGTCTTCTGCCAATCCCTCTGCGACTGATGCACTCTTCGCACGAATGGATGCCTCCGGGCTCAAACGCACCTCCCGAAAAGGTTCACGGCAAGAGGATTCCCAGCTAGCAACACTCGCACGACTGCTGGTGCTGCTGCTTTGCCGTGCCTACCACAGCCACAAATGACCCTCTTAATTGTGTCTATATCATAGAAAACGCTTTAATATCCTTGAGTATGTACGATACGTCGCGGCTGACTTGGTTTGAGGGGTTTGTTGCCTCGTCAGCTCGCATGCACCTCTGCAGCATCCCAGTCTCGAGCTGCCAATACGCCCAAGAACCACAAGTGGAATGAAAGTTTATTTACACCATTTTCTACCAACTGACGACACCTACTGGCCTTCCAACTTACCTAAATAAAGGACTTATGCCGACAATCCCACAGGGGCCCCAGGGGGCCCCCTGTTCGTCAGAGCTGGCACGGCCGGAAACGGATCCCGAGTCATCAGCTCTGACTCCTAACCCTTTCGCCTCGATCTAAAGTGTCTCGTACTGGAGGTATTGCCAGCTAAGCCATCAAAAATAGTGGCAAAGGAAGCATTGCGTCTATATTGTCTTCCGTGCAACGAGCAAAAGCACTACCAGCCGAAGGAAAAAAGCTGCACGCGGCAAGGCCACTCCTCGGAACTGCACCGAGGTGGTCTTCGCGGCAGGCAGAAATATTAAACATTAGGTTTCTCTACGCTCGCATGAGGGTGGCCTGAGAAAAAAACGCAGCATGCCATTGTACCAGCAACGCTGATGGCCACCGCGCAGAGTAAGAAGCCAGCAGAAGACTACTGCAGCTACTGTTGGTGCCTCTGCTCCAACATCAAAGTGAAAGGCGTATTCTAATTTGTAGGGGCGTGTGATGCCCTGCACTACCTTCTCTCTTATTCCCTCGGAACCCTAGCACCACTAGGCCCGTCGGAGCTACCCCAGTCGCGGAGCACTTGCAGCACAAATCTGGTTGCTGCAGTGAATAGCTGATTTAATTACTCGAGCTACTATAGGGGCAAGCGTTTCTGTGTGGCACGTGGAAAAATCGGGTTTGTGGCGGTTAAGTTACACGCCGGCACCTTGTACACATACACTTTGATAGTGTCCGCTACCAGGGCAAGAAGAGAAAAAGTGCTGATCACGCGGACCCCCTAGTTGATGAGGTAATCACTGGTTTCCCAGAATCCTTAACTCTGAGATCCGTTCCCAGGTACTTCAGAGAAAACTGCAAACTTTTAGGAGAGATAGAACTGTAGGGCAGAAAAAGGCGTGTCAAGGTGCGCTCAGTAGCCTATCATGGACTTGACGGTACTGTTGCAGCTCTTTTTGGAGGGCACCTGGGGTATTGCTGCGGGTGACACTACTGTAACTGGTCTTAGTGTGAGTTGGCGAGGCCTACAATTCTTATGCTGGGTTTTGCAAATATGTACAGAGAGACACCTAACTGCGTTGGAATATATTCAGATATTAAACGGATGTTTCTTAGCTGTGGGCTGAGCAGCAGACAGGCAAGTACACAGAGAGAGCAACTGTATTACCCCATTCGAACCCTCCCATATGCAATACCTTCCCCATGAAGAACCAAAATAAGACCAGTTCAGCGTCAAGGTACCTGTGACTATCCTTCATGGTGTTCACCGTACAGCAAGATGCCAAGCGTCTCTGATCAGGCTGAGCCGCAGTCTGTTATCTTGTATTGGAGAATCCAAACGACCCTAGAGTCTGCAGTATGGGCATCTTCTAAATATATATATATATATATATATATCCCAAACTTCACGCACGTCCTCCCGTCTGTGATCTTTTTATCTGTTGCTGAGCACTTCACGTCTCGTCAAGACGCAAAGGATATGAGAACACAACCAGCAGAGGCAGCGGATGGCGTGAGCGGCTCTGAAATTTATGAGCCTCACAAAAAAATATGAGTGCGAAAGTTGAAGGCTTACATTGTGTATTCATTTCAAGGAAAGTCGAGCTATTCACTTACCCTATAAGCTCCTTTTATAATATCTGTATGGAAGCACTTTCAACATCGAATTTTCGACCAAATCAAATAGAAAAGTGTCAAGCGCTCCCCTAACAGTTTCCTCACTCGTCGCCCTTTCCACGAAAGGGCCCGACATAAAGGAGTAAAGAAAAGCCGCGGCATATGGCCGTTATTGCTCTCATCTCCTCATCGCACAGTTGCTGGCATCCAGTTGCACAGAGCAACTTGTTTTGCACAAGCAAACAATGTTACAAAATATTTTTTGTTGAACTAATTCTGTCTGCTCTGCAAAATATAACACTAGGCGAGTAGCGCAAAGAATAGCCGATTCGTAAAAACAGCTAGTATGCCAGCAAGTTTTAGGTAAACCGTTCACCCGCTGCATTCGGAGCTCTAAATGCATTTAGGAAGCTTCTTCAGAAGCCGTGCGAACACGCTATAGTAAGATGAGCACTCACGCATCCTTCTTGTCTCCTACAATCCTGTGCTATTCATCCCGCTAGCCGCGCATTCAAACCTGAATGAGCCATAATTAGATAGAAGAGCGCCTACTCATTAGATAGCCTGGAACCAAATGCAGCTTCACAAGATGCTTTGCCATTGTCGGAAGGGGAATAAACAGCTGCAAGCAACGCTGTTAAGCAAGTTTCATTAAGTAAGCCACCATTTCGGTACCCCGCTATTTATAGACGTGCAGAAATGCAGTGGTACCCAACCGCATGCAACAGGGACGCCATCTACAAGAATGCGGACCATGGTACACCCTGTAGCTAGGGAAGGAATTATAAAAGTTATGAATTATAAGCTGAGTCCACTTGAATGCCACACACTAGTGGCTCAAAGAACAGAAGAAGGTAAGTGAAAGCTAGGTAAGTGTATGGATGGCGTAACAGTGAGGGTGGAAAGAATCCGTCCTTGGAGCCTTTATTGAATTCAGACCCCAGCAAGCCTGCAGCGCTCCATTTATGGTCTCTGCATCGAGATATGACAGGCAAACAAATCAGTCCATTCATCACCAATTCTTAATCGAATTATGCATAGTACAGTAGAAAGTGTTTGACAGTAGCGTAGCCTGCTACAGAGCCCTGCGTTTAAGCCCGCATCTCGTTGTAAATTACGCAGCACAGCTTGTTACACACAGCATTTCAAGAGGCACGGGGACCAGTTCACGGAATACGGCGATTTGAATAGTGACTCTGGCTACACCGACGTCCAGTACCGAGAGGGAAGCCAATCAATTTTGATCGCTTTTTCTACTACGCATCTAAGCAACAGTGTCGCTCAAGGCTAGAAGGAGCCACTACCATCACGTGGCAGCCAAAGAGGCGAAAGGGAGGCTTGTAAGGTTCGAATTGGAAGTCTGAAGCTGCAGCATGCATATCAAGGTGCTAGCGATATGGCACACAACTTGCTGGGTGGTCTGTCCCTTTGGCCAGAGAGCAAATGATGGCTATGCTGACAGTTTCTGCATGCAGCCCGAGCATAGCAACTCACCAAAAACAGGAAGAAACGGACTACGGAAGCAATACTGTCACTCGCCGAGTTCTCCTAGCGGCCTTGCGAGCTGCTTGATGGGGCTGCAGCTGAACCATTGTGTGTCCACTGCCGACAGTGGAAGACATGTTGATTCATGTAAAGGTAGTAAATCCATGCTGAGAGGATAATTTTGAGGGTTTTCTTTCGGTTTGCATTCGTCTGTGCGCATGCACAAAGCCACTGCGCGTGTTTTGAACGCTGCAGCAGCAGGCCAGAGGGACAAAATACCACAGCGTATCCTTCCTTGAAGTTTGGCATCTAACACCTACGTCCTGTGGATGTGCCCCTCGAATATTTCCCGTGTCATTCCTTCAGCTTTTCGAGGTCGGCCTTCCCTCTCTCCCCCTTCGCCTTATCGAATCCCCCTGGCGCGCGTGGCGAGCTCACCTATGACCAACCGGAGGTTCAGCAACGATAAGGCTGGAGGCTAGGGCTTAGCGGGATGTCTCTTGTTCTGGAAGGCCGCTTCTATGATACTGCTGCAACAGCTGGCACTGCAGTTGCCTGCATTCTGGCTTCGCTGCCGCTGTTAAGCCCCTGCTGCAGGCTGTTGCTGCCCCGGGGGTTGAGCAGCAACAACTGCAGCATCAGGAGCAAGCCAAGTGCTGCGCCTTCCACCTCTGAGTTCCGCACAGCTCCCACGACTCTGGCTTACCGCATCATTCTTATGGTCCCTGTCTACGCTTTGACATCTTTACTGGCCTTTCTCTTCTGCTCTCCCCAGGGTTCCTTGCAGCATGCAGGAGCTCGACCCTTAGAACTAGCGTCAGATTCGACTACCAATGCCTCCGTTTTCCCAGGAGGCCGTATTCCAGGTCGTGCCGCTGCAGCGGCAGCGGCAGCAGCAACTGCCCTAAAGCAAGGCAGTGGCGGCTGGAGAGGCCTCTGGCTTCGGGGGGCACGTGAGGCCTATGAAGTGTATGCACTCTACACTTTTCTTGAATTGATGATTGCACTCCTGGGAGGAGAACAACAGGCTGTTAACCAGCTGCACCTCAAGGTCTGCCTTCAACGGCAACGCTGTTGGCTCGTGCTGGGACTGCCGCTGTTGCCCCTTGAGTAGTGCTGCACATGCGGACAGTCTGTACTGACTTTTAGGCTGTAGAAAACGGCACTCTAGTGCATGCATGTGCTGCTTTGGCTGATGGGAAAGCCTCTATTCACGACCCCAGAAAAGAAGCCACTCAACTAGACAGAAGAACCAAAGCACCAGGATGCATGAACGCTGCCGGCAAGTGTGCTGCGTTTTTGCTCGCCTTTGCTGTGGTGGCATTTTCGCAGGGAACTTTGCAGCATGTGTGGCCCTTCAACCATGTTCTGCCTCCAATGGAATGCGATCGGTAAGAACCCCACCCATTTGCGGCTCTGTGCGGCGTACCGGGGTGTCCATACAGCTGCTGCTGCTTCTGCTGCAGTAAAACCCAAGGGGCCGCGTCCCTGTGCACCTTTTATGTGCGTTTCTCCTGCAGAGCGTGGCTAGGTCATATCAAACGGCTAGCTGCGCAGTTTGTTTTCGTTAAGCCGGCTGCATTTGTAAGGTCCTCTACCCTCCGTGCCAGTGCGGCTGCTGCTGAGCGCTCCCAACCGCAGGTCCTGCAGCGACACGCCTTTTTGGCACGGCATAGTGCATGCAGACAGCCTGGAAGAAGTCCGCTCAACCCAAATCTATGAAGCCTAGCTTGAGCTCGCGTCTGTCTCAGGTTCTCAGCGCATGCATGCAGCAGGAGGGCTTCTTCTTCGTGGCGCTCATCAGCAACATCTCTGCTGCGGTAAGGGACGTGGTGGCGTTATTTTAATATGCTTTCGCCGCTCTAACGGCAGGAGTGCCCTGTCACTTTTCTTGCAGCCTTTGATACGCACAGCGACTCCGGCAGGGGATGCGCCGCATTTCCAGAGTTTTGGTATAGGCTCTACATCTCAAGAGCGGTGCCAGTCGGTGGTGATTTTGCATCTGAAATCATAGTGTCTCCCTTGCACGCGCATGCCTGTATCCGGGTGTCTCCGCAGGTCGCCATGTATGCACTCATTCTTTTTTATATGGCAGTGCGGCGGCCCTTGGCTCCATGGAGGCCTCTCCCGAAGTTTTTATGGCTCAAGGCCGTCGTCTTTGTGTGCTTTTGGTGAGGCGGAAGGGTAGCCACCATGTGTCGTGTGGGGGTGCAGGAAGCCTCATGGAGTGGAGGTGTCTGCTACCAAGGCTCAGGGTTCACGTAAATATATCTTTTTTGTCATGACTGCCATGACACAGGTTGCCCAATTTTTAGTTCTCCCCTGATGCAGACCGCAGCAAGATGCTTTCTCTGTCCGGTGTACTGATGGGACCTTGGTTTTTCTTACGCTGGTATGGCAATGCTTTTGTGTAGGCAATCCCTTGGACTGCGCTGGCTAGCTGGATTGTTTATTCCTGGGAACCGTGAGGCAGCAGCAGCTGCGGCTGCCCGGCTTCAAGACTGGCTTATTTGCCTTGAAATGGTCCCTTGCGCGGTCAGTGCTAAGCAGTAGTTACGTAGCAAAGCCTGTTAGAACAAGTGTAGACCCAATTTATCCACAGATGCGTACTGGCTTGCCGTCATGTGCAACGGCACTCGGTTGGAGGATGCATGCAGCCGCACGGCCTCAATCTGAATTTCCTGCGCTTTAGAACTGTGTGCTATGCTGTGTCTGCTGCTATGTCTGGTGCAGGCAGCCCATCTATGGGCCTTTCCTGCTCGGGAATTCGCCGCTTTGGGGTGTCCAGGTGGCTCCCCCAGGCTTGAAGGGCGACATGCAGCAGAAGATGAGTGCTCAGTGCTGCTGCAGGCGGCCAATTTCGCGGCTGCTTCTGCATCAACACGTGCAGATACACCCGGTGCGGATGCACGCGGCAGATGCGCTTTCGATGGAACCCCAGATGACACCGGAAACGGAAGCGTCCTTAAGAAGCCGCTGCATCAGCTCATAACCAGCGTGCACCAGCTGCTGATGTCGGACGCTGTGCTCAGTGATGCAACGCATGCAGTTTTCGGCCCACAGCAGCAACAGCGGGAGTTTCACTTAGAACCACGGTCTTCAACAGGCATATCAGGGGGACAGTAACTCTCAACACGATACAGGCAGCGCATGTGTATTGTGAAATCGCAGCAGCTCCCGCTGGCTTGGTAGCTTTGCGTCCACCAAGCGGGCAGCTGCAACTTTTCAAAGAAAACAGCTGCAACAGCGACCATTGCCGTTGCAGATTCGGAATTGCGGCCGAGAAGACCGGTCCCTAGCCTCATTTGTCTCTTGTTTTTGAACGCAAAACTCCAATCCACTGGCTGCGCAGCTGTAGGAGGCTGCTCGCAGCGTCTGTTTCCTGCTGGTGCACTCATGCTGCAGCATCAAGGGTAGCTCGTCACAGGTGGCAACAAGGCTGAAGGGGAGTTTTCAAGAAACAAAACTACTCATGAGGGACCTTGGCATCAAATTTCGGGGGCAGCAGCCCGTAGGGTGCTTGCGACTGCTCTTGCGGCTTGGTTTCCCATTTGCACCTGCAGCAGCAGCAACGGCTGCTGCTGCCACTACCTAAATAGCCCTCCGGCAGTGTTGCAGCAGGCAGTACCAGGCGTAAGAGGATGCCTCTGAGGACGAATGCTGTGAGGCCTGTGAATAGCACGAGAAGCAGCACCTGCTCGCGGAAGCTGCCACCTCAAGGGCCCACGGTAGAGAGTTCTAGAAGCTGCATGTGTGCAGGGTTTAGCGAGGCACTCGCTTGTAAGGAACTCACCCCATATAGGATACTGCTCAAACATGAAATGTGGGAGCCTGAGCACACTGGCGAAGGGTCCATCATCCTTCTGTTGCTCCGCCTGCGGCTGCCGCTGCTCCTGCTGGTGGCGTTTTAGCTGCTGTAGTAGATCTTCTAATCGGACAAACAATAGAGCCTGCACTTCCTCAGGGTTCGGCTGCAGCAAAGACGCGTCCACCTCCCGCATCGCCACGCCGATGACTGGATGGAGAATAAATCCCGAGAGAGAGAACACCTGCACAAGCGTACAAACCCCTTCGCGCCTCACACTCAAGCTGCACTGCTACCTGCGTGCGGAGTGCACAACCACTGCATGCAACGGCGCACACGCAACCACGAATAAACAGCGCGCCTCTTCAATCAACTGGTAGGGGCTTAGCAACAGCACTGGCAAAGAATCGATACGGCGCAACACATCAGCCTAGCAGCACTCGCAGGCAAGACTGCAAGAGGGGCGAAAGCCGCTGCGCTAGCCAGTGTCAGAGCCCACAGGCTGCGTACGGCCGACAATGCGTATAGGCCCAATATTCCCTATTTCTTCGGCTGTCTCTCTCAAGGCTGCATCCTCGGGTGTCTCTCCAGGCTCCATTACACCTCCAGGGAAGCACACCTGCAAGCACCAGCAATCCGTGTGCAGGGAGAACCCCATGAAAAGCCTCTGCGTGGCTGTGGAGGCATCCACTTGTAGGAGGCTGCAGCGCCTGCATGCGCATCTATTGCAAGACTCGTGCGCGCATACTCGTGGTGGTATACATGCTAACCATGGGGCCCTAGGAGCGCCAGCCGGCAATGCAGATCTGCATAGTGCGTAAGAGGGGAGCTCTCAAAGAATTGGCAGCACATTAAGACGCAGAGCTTCTCCTAGAGAGACACCGCACCAAAACCTACCTGATTGCTGTGGTTTGAGAGGAAGGGGCTTCTCAGGGTCAAGAGACAGCACGCCTCCCCGTTGGTGTTGTTGCAGAGTGGCACCTGCAGCAGCAGCAACAGCGGCAGCAGCAGCTATACCAGGACCCTTGAATGCAGCCCAACAGACTCAGTCCGTCTGTATAGTCCATAGCGCGAGACGGAACAAACATACCAAGACAGCAGCTCGCCGTATGCGTAGGGGAGATTCTGCCTCTGGCCGCTGCTGCTGCTCCTTTTGCTGCTGCTGCTCTTGCGGCTGCTGGTGCCCCTGTCTCTGCAGGGCTTCAGACAAGGCCATGAGGCGCTGTACTGATGGGGTGGCTGCGGTTGGATGCAGTGGCAGCAGCTGCAGGTGCTGCGATGCAATGATGGCAGCCATTGTGTCTATAAGGGAGGTCGTGAGTCGCAGCGGCATCGCTGTTGCTGGGACCGCCTACCTCCCCCCCAAAATTTTTCAAGAGCCAAAGTTTTAGAAGCTTCAGCTACAAAGGTGTACAGACACACGAGCGGAGAGGGTATTTCTCTTGTTGCCGGCAGCAGCTGCACCGGTGGCTAGTGATTCTGCGAATATTGCGACGCGCAGCTGGAGAAGCAGCCACTATTAGTGCCGGCTGTAGAGCTAAGATGCTGCTATTGTATTCGCGGCTCTGCTTCCGGCCGCTTCAATGAAGCAGCATCGAGTTACTGGAAATCGACGCTGCTGCTTTTCCTAGTTTGCGCAGAAGGCTGGAAGGTGCGTATGCATATGTGTGTATGTATGTGTGTGTGTACATATGTGCGTGTATGTATGTATGTGCATGTGTGTGGATGTGTGTATATGTTTGTGTCGAGCTGCATGCTTTGGCAATGAAACAGGCGCATGCACACCCATGGGGATGCACAGAAGAAGGGCAGCGGCTGCACACGCTTCAATACGAGATCGAAAAAGGCATAGTTTCGAGGTGTGGCTGCCTAGGGATCGAAAAGAGCAGTAGAAGACAAAGGGAGGTGGTACTCTTCCCGCCTTTCAGTGAATGCCATGTCGGCTGCGGCCCCCCGCATGCAGCCGACAGCAGCCGCAGATGCCACAGCATCGGTGGCGGCGGCAGTTGCTGCGCAGTGTTGCTAATTCCTTTTTTTCAGCAAAACTGCAGCAACACTTAAAATGTACATATATTGGATGTGCGCTAAATTAAAGCCCCTGAGGGCAGCTTGTCCTCTTCGCTAGTCGGGAGGGGGGGCGGAGGGGAGCATGATCGCTATGAGGTTCCCTCCCATTTCGTGCAGTCCGCATGCTACTTCCGCTGCTGGCTACTGACTCCATGAATCTGATTCTCCCCTCCGCTGCGGATTCTCCTGCTGCTGACGCCTAGCCGCCCGAGCCTGTCTTGCAGGAGCAACGGTTGCTGCTGTTGCTGTCGAATGGGACCACCCTCTACCAAAAGGGCTTCATAGCCAGCAATGAAGCCTCAACTGCAGCACAGCCTACGGCCTCCGGTCCTGTTATTCGTGCTGCTGCTGCTATTGCTGCTTGGGTGCTCATGCGCTGCCTCGCCGCACCAAGGCTGCGGCTGGGGGTTGAACTGTCCATCTCGCTTGGTGGTTGCCCCCCCCCCACATATTTCTGCCGCCAAGAAAAGCAGCATCAACGCGGCGTGGAAGCCACACACTGGCAGCATCGCCTTCTGCAGCCCCTCCTGCAAGAGGAGCAGCTTTCCCGGCAGCAGCGCGGCTGCCGTGTTTATCGGAGGCAGCAGACAGCATGTGTGCCCTTTGAGAAAAAACTGGCCTAGTGCTGCCAGGACTACTCGAGCCTTTCTTCTTAGTGGCTCCAAAGCTACCAAAGCAACAGCACTACCATCGCCAACACCTCTGCCCCCCGATGCAGCAACAGACGCCGATTTAGCTGCCGCAGGCCGTCTCTGGGAGCCGGCAAACGCAACCCTAAGAGACTTGTTGCAGCGACGGCTGCTGGCGAACGTCAGCGACATGAAGGCTCTCGAGGCGCTCCTCGCGACGCCCCCCCCCCCCGACAGCGGGGGGAGTGCCAACGCAGCCTGCGCGGGAGTATCAGCGAAGAGGGCACTTTCGGAGCAGCCTCCGCCACTTTCCGAGGCTGTGCCTCACGTCCATGTGCGACAATTTCCTCTGTACACCCCCCATGATGGTAGCGGGGGGAGCAATGAGGCCGAAGGAACCGCTCCCGCCGTATCCTTCTACATGGGGATCGACATGACTGGCCCTTCGCTTCACGCAGGGCATTTACTGCCGCTGCTGCTTCTGCGTCGGCTCTGGCTGCGTGAGGGCATACAGCCTGTGCTCCTGCTGGGTACCATGACTTCGCGTATTGCGCTGCATGTGCGGAGAGGCGGCTTCTGCGGCAGCGGCAGTGGCCCCTGCAGCAGCACAGAGGAGCTCTCGCTGCTTCGACTCCTCGGCTGCGGCAATTGGAACGCGTGGGATGCGGAAATCGAAGCCAACTGCCACGCCGTGCTGCAGCAACTCCGCCGCATTTTCAGACCGCCTCCTGTGGCCAGGCAAAAGCAGCAAGCGCCGCTCCCGACCCCCCTCGTCGTGCAGAACGATACTTGGCTCGACAGCATCCCCCTAGGGGCTTTCCTTGCATGCGCTGCACGCCGCCTGCCTCTCGCCGACATCCTTCCCCGCAGCATGGCGAAGGGGGCGGAGCGGCACTTCAAGCCGGAGCCAGCAACAGCAGCACCAGCAAGAGCACCGTCCGGCAGCTGTGGAGAGGCCCCCTTGGCGCCTGGGGATTTTACAGCGCCCGTAGAGGTGGCTGCTGCCGATGTGCGAAAGCAGAAGCAGCACCAGCAGGAGGAGGCGCAGCAACAACAGCAGGGGCAGGGGCAGCAACAGCAGCAGCTGCTGGGTGTCGGTACAGCAGCGGCGACTGCTGCAGACATCGGCTACGCGTTACTGCAAGCGCTAGATTTCGTGCTGCTTGCGCGGTGTCTCCGTTGTTACTGCCAGATCGGGGGCAGAGATCAATGGAAGAACATATCCACGGGCCTGCACGTAGCTCGGCGTCTGCTTCAGGAGCAGCCGCAGTACAGACACAGTGCGCAGCAGTTGGTGGGGGTGACCACAGAGTTGATGGAGGGGCCAGGGGGAATTAAGATGGGAAAGAATGCGGCGCCTGCAGGGGCCCCTCTGTGGCTTTGTCCTTCGCGCTGCAGCCCAGTAGATTTTTGGCAGAACTGCAGAAACACCGGCGATCAAGACATCCAGAGGTGGGTAGTGTGCTCCTTCTGGCCTTGATACAACTGCATGGGGGCTGCAAGGATGTGGCTCCTGCTGCTAGCCTCGACGGAGGGGTCGTTTTTGCTGTTTTCTGCGTTCCTTCCGGCACGACCTGCCAAAAAGAAGGGCCACTCTCTCGGCTGGTGCTAGACGGGGGGACTGCTGCATCTCGGGTGCAGTCTCTTCTACCGCGCTGCCTCCTCTTGTGCGTCTGCGCTTTCGCTGCAGGATGCTTCTCTGGTTCTCGGATCGGCCGGCGCAGGAAATTCTGATGGACACCCGCGATGAGTCACCAGCCAATATCAACAGGCTCAAGGTGAGCCCCTGCGGCGCTTGCTGCTCTTGCGGCTTCTGCGAACGCGCGCACCAGCTGACTCCGGTGCTGTAGCTGCATTTATGCAGGGAAGGTGTGTGCACCTTGGTACTGCTGCAACTGCTGCGCTACTGTGTTCTCTGCTGCAGGTGGCTTTCGCTGACGAACTGACGCTGCTAGTCCACGGCGAGGAGGGCCTGCAGCGGGCGCACGCCGCTGCGTCTCTTCTTTCTCGCCATCGCGGCAGCAGTATTACTGGCAAAGAAGCCAGGACGGGTGATAGCAGCGGCAGCAACCAAAACAGCAGCAGCAACACCACCACCCCCACGGCAAATGACGGAGCTTCCTCATTGCCAGTAGAGCTGCTACCCACGCATTTTATTTCATCAGCCGACTTCGCCGAGGTAAGCCACAGCAAAAGGGACAGTAGCTGCGTATCTACACCCAGTGGCAGCTGCGCGCACGGCACGTTCCACACAGCAACTCTTGTGCCCCTTGCTGTGTATGTCTTTGCACCAGGAGCAGGGGCCTGCGCTGCCTCGTGTGATGCGTGCTGTCTCCCTGGCGGCATCTGCCCTAGAGGCCTCGCGGCTCATGAGAGGGGGCGCAGTACGTCTCAACGGCGAGAAGGTCACAGATCCGAATCGGCGATTGATGCTGTTCGATTTCAAACAGCAGAAACCCCCAGAGGGGCAGGCACCCGCACTTGCTGTGCTGACAGTTGCAAAGAATCGCGTTGCAGCTTTGGCTGTGAAGGAGTCTGAAAGTCGGGGGCCCTCTCCCCACATCTGGGGGGCTTCTGAGGGAAGAAACACGCACTAGGTGTGGATCTGCGCCACCGTTGCACCTACCGCATCGGCAGCTTTTCTACTACAGTTGGTGCCATGCAGCAAGCTTGACGCCTCCGGGCAGCGTCATTCCAAAGGGCGCAGATGTAGGACGCTCTCCCTTGCTGGTTAGAGACAGCGGGGCAGAGCCGAACCCACAGAGGGAAAAAAGGAAGTACAGAGAGAAACATCGCTGCTAGACAGTCCATAGAAAGAGTAGGAGTCTGATGGGGGGTGTGCCGTGCCTTGCCTGCTATGGCTGCTGCAGTCACGTTCAGCGCTGCTGTTCTTGGCTGCGCTGTACGCAAGGACTGCATGGCAGCGCGGGCAGAAGGGACAGAGCAAGGATCACTCAGAGGACCAAACACACGAAGTTACAGGGAAATAGGAGGAGCACAGAGGAGGGAGAACAGACACGGAAGGATGTGGCAAGAGGGCTGGAAGGGGACACAAAAGAGCAAGCCTATTAGGGGATGGGTGCTCCGTGGGCAGGAGAAAAAAAGCACCACTGAAGAGCGAGCGTTAATCCTTTTACTAGCATTTTGTTGGTTGCTGTCCGGCAAGCCGCAGTTCTCTATAAATCTGCTCTGCCCGAGCTAGCGTCAGGCCCAGCAAGCTTTAACATTAGATGAGGCAGTTACAGCTGAGACGGCGGCTAGTAAAGGCTGGCTGAGAAGGCGCCCGTGGGGAGGGGGTATAGGGGCCGTTGTTGTTGAATGATCACGTTGGGGGGTTCGGATGTTCCCTCTGGAGGCAGAAGGCAGAGCTGTCTTTCCCTGGCTCCTCTATCGTGAGGTCTGGGTTGTCTGAAGGGGAGTGGTCCGATCTTGGCTTTAGCATGCTCCAGGTCGTCTTCAGCTTTCTGCAACACCACCTCTACTAACCTCTGAGTCACAGAGCTGGGGCGCTCACAGAGGGGGAAGTGTGCCTTGTGTAGCTTTCGCATGGAGGCCCTGAGGAACTGCCTGCCTTGATCCATCGCCAGTGCAGTTAGCTGGTTCCCAGTGCCACTGTAGGCCATGTAGCAGAAGCTGGCTGCGAGATGCGCCGTAAGCAGCTCTTGCTCATACTCTAGGCGCTCGCAGAGAGCACGACATACAGCTCTTCTTTCCAAGATATCGGGGTCCTTCCTGCACCAGCAGGTCAGCTTGTGGCATAGGGGCCTCCAGCAACGGCACAGACGCAACAAGCACTTCCAGCAGCAGTAGAGACAGCAGCAACAGCTGCAGCACCACTTAAAGAAGCAGCCACACTGGACTCGCATACACAGTCGTGGTAATGTATCTCCATCTGCTTGGCGCTTTGCTATGAACTTCCTGAAATCCGGACCCGCCCACCGGATGTACATCTTTATCGCTTGCTGTAGATGGAGGGACGCCGTATACAGCTGCTTGTCCCCAACCCTATATCTATGCGTCCTACACCGTATACAACTGCGAATGCATTTGGACTTTTTATGAAAGAGAGTCTTTTCGATGCACCAAAGTGGGGCCTCCACCTGTGCGATCTGCCGTAACACGACTTTCTTCATGTGTTTCTGCTTCCGAGTGGCTGTTCGTATAACCTGGTTGCGCATGCGGTGAGTAGTCTCCAACAGCAAGCCATGCGCACTGTCAATCAAGATAGCACGGGAGCACAGTCGCTGTCTTCTGAGTTGCTTTTTTCGCTTCCGACGGGTTAGCCGCCGACTCTTTCTTCTATGATCACAGAGGGGATCGACCGCAGAGACGGCTGAGAACGCGCACCTCAGACAACGTGTACGATTGCAACCACAGCAGCACCAGAGCTACCACCACCCCTAGAAACAGCACTTGAGGCAGTGTTGTTGCTGTTGCCACAGCGGGGAGGGCTCAAGGTGTAGCTCGTATCGCTTTGTCTATCGAGGCGACTCCAAAAGAATATTGTAGATTGAGCACAAAGGAGGCTCTATACAGCTGAGCCAGGTGCATACGACTGGATACAAGGCCACGGCAATTCGGAAGAAGTATGAACAACAAAAAAAGGGGGCAAGGCAGCAGATTGAAGAGCGCACGGTCCAGCGGTCCTTATAGAAAGGCCACGAGTGAAGCGGGATGTCTAAACTCAGCTCAAGAGAGAAAAGCATAAGCAGAGAGCAACAACATTATAAAGCAAGCTACTTGCCATAGACTTTCCTCTGGTGACGCTTTCGCCGAATGCATCCACAAAAGGCGCGGCAGGGGAGGCACTTGCAACACGGGCAGAACACCATCACCTCAGTAAGCTGATGGTGTAACAGCTGCTTCTAGCAAATGACTTCTGCTCTTTTGGGCAGTTCCCGTGCGTGTGTGTCTTGTGGCAGGCCATGTGCAGCCCTTCATTAGCCCCTTCACTAAGCCTCCCTGAGAGCTTTTATCTCTCTCCTTTTCTGGCTCTGTATCTCTCTTCGTGTCTAGGAGTGCCTTTCTGAGTCTCGGGCCTCTTCTTTGTTTTTTGTTTCTACCAGTGTTGCAGGCCTTCAGAGAAAGACAAACAGCTTCCTGCCTTGTATCCTCAATGCCCTTCCAACTTTCTTTTTCTACTTGCCATCTCGCACATTTGGCTTGCCATCTGTTCTTTTTGAGTCGAACGCTTTTGTGCGCTCCTCTCTCTGGCTTCCCTACCCCTCTGCTTGGTCACTGTGTCGCACAGTTAGTGCATGTGGCTGCTCAGGATCTCAGAGTGAGGGTCTCAGCCTTCATCCAAGATGCTGTGTGGCCCAGCAAGCACCACATTTTGCCCATGTGCAGACAAAAGCGGTACTACAACGATGCTGACGTGCAAGTGGAATCGGGGGCTGGGTGGCAACTGGTGTCCTCTTCCGTGAGTACTGGTTCCCGTCCGTTCGCAGGAGGCTCGAAGAAATAACACTTTTCAAGGCTCTCAAAAGTAATTATAAAGCTACTCGGGGGTGTCTAACTCCCCGTCTGATGACCTTGAGAACGATTGCGGGCAAAGGGACTCTCTGATGTGGGAGTTGGCGTCGTTTAGAGGCATCCACTCAAAGGGCCCTCGAATATATGGGTAGGATCTGCAGTTGCAAGCAAATTAAAGGACGGTTTTCGGGCTCTTTTCTCTATGGGATGAAGCAAAGTGCATCTCTTCTCCCCGATTCTCACGCACGGGGGATTGGCCACCCGAGAGCGTAGCTGGAGGGCTGCTAGGGAACTCCCGCAGACACCTTACAGAAAATCTGGAAGGGGTCTTCTCCTAGAACTGCCTGAAATAACTTTTATCTTCGTTCCAAAGTTTAATTTGTACATCGAAATAGCAAAATTACCTTCAATTGAAGCGCTGGCCAACAAAACCAGATACGGTCACCTGCGAGCCTGTGGTCCTTCACAGCATTTTTTGCGCCGTGCCTGCTCTTATCAAGGGTTGACAGCGCAGCAGCGACTTGAATCTAGAGAGGTGAAGGGCCCAGAAATTGGTTGTTTGTGCAAGGGGAAAAGACTGGTGAGGCCATCAATGACAATGGACGCGGAAAGCCAGCAGTCACTGATGGGGCGTGGCGATAGCAGCAAGGTCACCTGCCGCAAGTTGGCAGCTGCAGACCTCTCTGCAGAGTTACTCCTCGAACACGTAACCGCTTTTCTTATCTGTTTCACCACCTTTTAGTGTATCGACATATGAAGAAGTCTAACTCGCTCTGCAACGGCAACGCCCTCAAGCTGGCAGGCAGCAGGCTGAGGCATTGCACACTCCGCCGGGTGTACGCATACCTGAATGGCACATGAAAAGTCTGAATGTGGCAGCCCAAACCATGAAAAAAGTAGGCTTGAGGAGCTGCAGGTCTGAAGCACCAACACAAGCGACAACTACGTGTGCTTCAAAGCAAGGGCGTCCTAGCCTCGCCTCCCAATCAGGTGTCTCCAGGGGCGGCTCAACAGCAGCACTGATGCCTTCAACCTTGCTCATTCCTGCGAAGCGACAAAGGAATCGACAATGCCAGCATGAGCGCCAATACCACTACCAGCGGCAGCACCAACACCGACAGAGGGAAGGGCGGGAGAAGCACCCAGTCATTATTCGCCTCAACAGAGATGCTGGAAGCAGAAGCACTTTTCGTAACTGCAGAATTCGCACCGACAACCGCCTTCAATCATTTCGATTTCATCTCACAAATGCTCTTTCCAATAACCAGGTAGGCATACGCGGAACTTATTGCTCATGGTGTTCTCGCTGATGGTTCTGAGGCTGCAAATGGGGAGAGGAGGCCATACATATGGCTATATGCTGATGATTATACTGCTAGAGCCCCTGGAAAAACACAAGAGCAAAGCCAACTAGGTACAAAGATTACAGGCTATAACTGTGGTTTCAGCTTGAACTCTGATGTTTACTGTCCCGCTTTTCATTGTTGCATGAGGCTTTCCTTCGCTTCCGACCTGAAGCCCTCCCGCTGCATTTTCTTGCTGCTCAGGCAAGGCTGAAGCTCCAGGGTTTGGGTGTTGTTTCGTTAGCCGGCAGCATAGTCACCGGCCTTGCCCGTGCGTTGCAGCAGGCAACAGGCTCTCGAGACGCCGCGCAGCACACTATGTCACCTTGGGAGGCTCACCTTAGCACTACATCTGCTGTGGAAGCGAATACGGGGCATTTTAGAAACGAAGAAGGAGCAGTGCAGCGCATCCAGCGGGGTAAGCAGCACCTGACGCACCTGTGGCAGGAACAAAAGCAGCTACCCCAGTTATGGCAGCGGTCACAGGCCCCCGAACTCGATAGAGCACGAAAACCTATGCATGCTCTCTGTGCTGCTGCCCACCGTAAAAGCAGCTGCAGCACCTGCAGCGTCTGCAGCAGTGTCTTCAGCTGCTCACAAGAAGCGGAAGCAGCAGCCATCCCAGTTCACCCTGCAGCTGGCGTGCGTAGGCGCCGCTATGCTTCTGTTCCCCCTACTCAGTCTCCTTGCCCTCTCACTACTGGCGTTGCTGCTGGTCTCGCTGTCCAGAAGGATGAGGAGCTGCTGCGGGTGCACCAACGTGTTAGGGAGCTCTTGCTGAAACAGCGGCAGCAAATCCAGCAGCAAATCAGCCTGCAAAGGCAACAAGAACACGTACAACAGCTTTTGGAGGAACAGCAACGGCGTCTCCAGTTGCACGACCAGGAGCAGCAGCAACTGCTGCTGCAACAGCAGCGAAAACTGGCACAACTTCAGCAGACCCTGCAGCACCGAGATCTCGCGCAGACGCAGCACCAGCACCAGCAACAACAGCAGCAGATACAGCAGCAACAGCAGCGGATGCAGCAGCAAATGCACCAGCTACAGGTACACCAACAGCAGCAGCAGCGCTGTGAAAGATCCCTAACAGTTCCAACAGGTGCCCCTGCGCATGGCCTGCATCAGCATGACGAGCAAGAGCTTCGTGCGAGGAAGAGGGAGAATAAGATTCCCCAAGGCGAGTCAAATTCTGAGCCTCTGCACCGCACTGCTCCAGCGGCCCTTAGTGGCAAGTGGGGTGAACAACTACAGCAGCAGCAGCAAGAACGGGAGCTGCCATGCAGTGGCAGCAGCACTGGCTCAATGGCCACGACTGCTGCCCTTGGAAATCGCTTGCTGCGCTCGCTATCATCTCTCGGCCTAAGAAAAGAAAAGTCTGTAACCGATCCGCAGCAGCAACAAGAATCTCCGCCCGTGTGGCAGAATCAGGAGCATCAGCACAATCAGCAGCATGCGAAGGTATTCCTCAAACGAGAGGACCAAGGATGGCAGCACGGGGCACGCCCCCAGCAGCGGCAGCGCGACCAAGTACGTACACCACAGCACCAGCCGCTCTACATGCAGCAGCGCATGCTGCGAGAGTTGCAGACCTGCATGCAGCAAGGCGCCTATAAACAGATGCGTCATCATCTTCAACAGTACCAGCAGATGCAGCAGCAGATGCACCACACAGCATGGCTGAGGAGCCAAAGTCCTAACCGTTGCAGTAGCGGCGGTATCAGTACCAGCATACGGCAACACAGTTTCGTTCATGGGTGCTCGCGACGGAGATCTGAGACATCTGGCATGTACTCTGCAAGTCTTCCCATTCCGTCATCAGCAAGAGCAGCAGGGAAAGAGCAGCAGGGAAAACATGCCTGCAGGCGTGAAGGACCTGATGCTGTTGACGCCTTTTCCCCTGCGCCTCCTACTACGGCAGTTTGCTCTAGTTTGTCAATCCCGGACGGCTGCGTGGTGGTGCAGGAGGAGGTCAAGGCGCAGGTTTTAGATGTTGCTGCTGCTGCTGAAAGGGCGAAGCGTATGGGTAACGCAACAGCAACCGCAGCTGTGGCAGCAGCAGCGAAGTCCCAAACTGTTCAGCTGACTCGCCTTAGACCTTATTTGGTTCCCGTTGATATCTATGTGCCTAAGCTTGTCCACGTGCCCTTACATATGATACAACAGCGCGTAGAGCATGCTGCTGTCAACCCGGCTGCAGGAGCTGCCCCCGTCACCGCGCCTCATAAGCAGCAGCGAGGCCGGCTAAGCCAACGGCAGGTAGAGGCATTCAATATACTGCAGCACCAACAATTTGAGCAGATGATGCGGCGAGCAAGGGAGCAGGCTGCACTTTACGGCGCCCAGGCACTGTCCATACAGCAACTGCTGTTGCGACAGCACACGCCGCCGCAGGAGCGGCAGTAGCAGGATGATGCTCAACGGGAAAGGTGCTCCACTTTTCGACGAGTAGGCGAGGCATTTGTTCCAATCGCTTTTCATGCCCAAAGAGCTGAACTCAACCCACCGCTTTCTATATATAAGTCTTCGCACTGTGTCCCTACAGGCCCGCCTGCGGCAATAGGAGACTGCGCTATTGCAGGGTCCTTACGTTATCAGGACACCAATTAGAGTCAGACCATTGGCGGAAACACCTCTCTCGCTCTATACATATATATATATATATTTGTACATGTTTACACTTGTTTAATTCATGACTTGAATGTACACCATACACTTTTGAATGCAGATCATTACATTTATATATATATGTATATATGTACATACAGCCTCAGACAGAGGGGCGTCGGCTTTGTCACAAGCACGGGAACACAGTGCAACGTGCATGCATATATGGACTACGATCAAAATCTCTATGCCTGTACGTTCCTACTTAGCCCGGGCAAGTTTATTTACAGCGCTATCTAGATCAGAGAGAAAGAAAACAAGAATAGTTACCTCCAGGAGCCTTCGCCGCGCTACACAGCTGCCATGTAGAAGCTGAGTGTCTGTGTCCCTGTTGCCCTTGCTGCTCCTGCATAACGTTGTCGCCCGTTCGCTACACAGGGACAGCGGTGGCCTGCATGGCGTGTGCGCGGCTGCAGCTGCATGCAGCAGCAGCGGTCAAGGTTTTCTATCCCTGTGCAACTGAGTAGCGGTTCGTGACTTCAGCCGCGTATGCAGCCGGGCATCCATTAGAGACGCTCAACAGACAATCCATTGCGGAGCTCTTGTCGCAGACATGACAGCAGCAGCAAGCACCTATAGCAGCGCCAGCGGCTGGTTGCTGCATGCAGCGGGAAAGGGTTTCTCGTGGCGAGTTAGACACCCCAGGTGAAGGGAAATGAACTGCAGTTTTGAACCGCGCTTCTTAGCTCGAAAAATGCAAAGCCACGAATTTAAAGGCCTGAATAGGAGGCTTTAGGTGCTAGAATACGGAAAAGGAGGTAGGGCGAATAAAGTTTGGCACGATGTAGCTTCGGCTAAACTGCGCAGCAGCTGCATGCACCGTGGACCGAAAGTGTATACTGGGGGAGCCAGAGCAGCGAAAGCCACAACCATTCAGAAATTTCTGGCGCAACAGCGCAGAAGTACCAAGACGCATGGTAGGTACGCCTGCCTGGGGGGGTCAATGTAGCATCTAGGGCAAAGGCTTTAGTGCAAGGCTCCGCACAAACACCAAAGGATTCTCTTGGTGCTGCTGCTGCTGTTGCTTGGGTGTATACAGCACAACTATGGAGCAGACGTGCGTAGACGTGAAGGCAACAACCTGCGAGGCGGTGTATACGGCCCAGCGGCTCTTGCTGCTTTTACTGCTGCCGATGCCGCTGCTGCTGCTGGCGATGAGGTGGCTAGGAGGGAGAAATAACCATTTGTCATCGCCTGGTAGCTGATCTTGCGTGGTGTAGTTCTTCAGCTGTAGTGACAATACCTCTTGTGCCTGCTCATCCTCCGCATCCAGGCCCCCCCAAAAAGACGTGCCCTCCGTGCTGGTGGAGCTGGGAGTACACCGCAAAGCAGCGCCAGAAAAATCCGCGGGCAGCCTGAAGAGAAAGCACAAGAAGACACCCTAATGCTAATCTCAATGATGCGCACTTTTCCACAGTCAATAGCGCCGCATAAGCGTATGCGTATGCACGAAGCCGCATTAAGGGGCACTGCAATGTGTGGGGAGGGAAGCCAAGGGTCATGGTGGAATCGTACAAGAAGGCAGATAGAGCACGAGAGAGCGATTTGCAGAGAAATCGATGAGAAAGCAACCTACTTCCACGCGTTGCTACCATACTATCTGCCCGAAACTGCTGCAGCCACTACGAAAGCTCACGTGTTGACGCCAAGAGGCAGCGTGTTGACGCCGATATCCTGTGGGAAAAACCCTGAAGGGTCCGCATGGATCTCGTGCGGCTTCACATCGGTCACCCCGTCTGTTGCTTCTGTGTTAGCGCCTCCGTCAGTGATCTCTCTCGCTGCTGCTGCACTTGCCTGCACGGCTGTTGCCGTTGCTGCTGCTGCTGCTTCGGGTGCAGCCACAAAGGACGCAGCGAATTGCACGCGTCCGGTGACTAGCACCGCAGGACTCCTAGAGGCATCAATTACAGCAGCAAGCGCGGGAAGAACGAGATGAAAGAGAGGGACAGCCACACGGGATGCAGCTGCTCCCCCTCACACACGCCAGAAACATTTGGCGCGACATCTACCTGTCTGGCCCGAAGTTTCTCGCACGTTCTCCATTGGGTTGCTTGTCTCTCTATCTATCTATGTATCTATCTATTTATCTATCTATCTATCTCTCTGTGCTGGACTTCCGCAGAGTGTGTGTCTTATTCTTTCTTAGGGTCAGTGGATTGGCGATCTCTTTAGAGTTTTCTTGTGGCGTCCATTTTCTCGTTCTGGTAGCGGAAAACACGTCTCTGCACCCCTATGTGCCTCTCCAGTGGACTTCTGTACATCCCCCCTCCTACGATGTCTCACTACTCGTGCAGCAAGCCCCTCTGCTGCCACTTTCTTCCCAACCATCTCGCTTACTGGAGTGCCGTTGCAGCAAAAGGCCCACGACCTTCCCCAGGGGCGGGACCTAGCACCGTCTCACCCCCCCACCCGCCAGCTAGCCAGTCGTTGACGTGCAACCTGGAGCAGGAGCAGCAATACGATCACAGGCATTGCGACAGCATCAAGGGCTCTGGCGGCAGATGCATGCAATCGCCAAGCCGCAACAGTCACGCGCGCGAGGAATTAGCACAGTCACCCCCTACGCAGCCCAGCAAGCGCCTTCCCCCACCCCGAGCGGCCAAGGCACGCAGTTAGGCTCCGTAAAATGAGGCAACACCAACAGCAACCGCAAGGCCTTCCTACCTGATGATCTTAAGGCTCCTGAGCTGCTCCTGCTGCTGAGGCAAAGCCAGCGGCTGCCACCCTTGAAGGGAGAGACTCGCAGACGACTCCCAATAGAAGAGCTTTGTTCCTGCAGAGGCCGCAGGCGCAGCCGAGGCATTAAGGACCTGCACGTGCAGTTGCTGCTCTTGCAGGAAAAAGGAAAGAAGGGGGAAGGGGGTACACGGGGTGTAAGGGGAAAGAAGAGGGGTAAGGAGAAAGAAGGGGGGAAAGGGAGGCCCGCCTTACGCTGAAGTCTGCTTCCTACTGCCTCCCATATAACACCCGAGGCTAGTCCTCCGCCTGTGCTCGACTCTGCAGCACAACCAGAAGCACTGGCATCAGCCGGATGCCATAGATTGCGTCAGTACACCCCACAAAGCCCCAACAAATGCGGCCTGATGCTACTGCTGCCCCTGCAGGCGTGCGCTGAATCTTTTTTTCACCTCGCCATGAAAGCCCGTGTGGATCGCGGCCGTAGAAAATGACGCGGGGGGGCCTGAGCCATGGGGCGTTACACAGATGCAAGCGGCATCCGCATCCTTGCATGCACGAGCCGACGGCAGCACGCGCTGGACGGGAAGACTGGTACATGCTATATATGCATATGTGTATATAGGAAGGCGCACAGGAGCAGACCAATGCGCTAGGCAGCGGGAGGCATGCCAAAGCATGCGTTTTGAGGGTGTGGGGTGACGTCTTGTTTATCCACACTGCCCTCCCCAGCGCTTCCCTCGCTAGGCCCTTCTCTATCTGAGGGCGTACCGGGGTGTCTGGTCATTCCAAACACGAGCTCCCAAGAAGCAGAAAAACAGTGTAAGAAGCAGGACGTTCATTGCTCCCCACTGCACCACACAGCGCAGCACACCCGTTCCCCGCCTGAGTGCCGTGCTAGGGGATGAAGGGGGGCAAGGCTGGCGTGTACGCCGCTTATTCGTGCATGCGTGGCTCTACTTCCTGAACGAAAGCCGCATCGTCGTCTGCAGACGCGGAGGACGCTGCTTTCACACTGGCAGCAGCAGCAAAAATATAGCCGCCTCAAAGAAAGTGACGCTTGCATCCCAAGCCACACGCACTCTCCTAGATCTGCGATGCGCCCTAGGCGTAACGGCGAAGAGAACAGCGCCTAAAATCCAGAGAAGAGGAGCCCAACAAAGAATGCCCGCCGCAAGCAGAAGCTGCTGACAGGTAGGATCATCGTACACTGCGGCGCTGTCTTCCTCCTCCTCGTCAATCTCCACCCCCTCCTCAGTCGCAGTCAGTCTTGCGGGTGTTGCTGGGGCCGCTGCAGCTTCCAGCTCGCCGTTTCGATGATCTCCTCTTACCCGTCTCCAAAGCCTGCGCAGAGGACTGTCTCTGCTGCTGCTGCTGCTGCTGCTCGCAGTTGCTGCTGCTGCTGCTGCCTCTGCCTCGGCTCCTTCTGAAGGGGGGGCGCCTGGGGATGTCACGCTTTCTGCTGCCGCGACACTCCGTCCCTCCAAGAGCAGCAGCGCTTGCGCCCTATAGATTGCAGCCACCAGGCCTCTAGGCGCTTGAAAATCTGTGCTGCTGCTGCTGGTAGTGGTGTTGTGCATACTGCTGTCAAGGGCCGTGCTGGCGTCTCCCACTCGCCTCCTCTCAGAGAAGCTGCCGCTGTTCTCCTCCTGCTGCTCCTGCTGCTGTTGCTGCTCCTGCTGCTGCGCTGCAGCGAGGGCGTCCTCTGTGTGTGCAACACCCTCCCCGACTACCGGTTCATACCTTCTTCTGCGCCTCCTTGAAGGCCTCTGCGGCTGGAGCTGCTGCTGCTGCTGCTGCTGCTGTAACGGCAGCCGCAGCACCCGCCGCATCCAATTCACAAAAGTTCCCCCTGATGCTGACTGCTCGTGCTGTTCAACAGCTAACGGCATACTGCCCTGGGGTGTACCTGCTGAACCACCTGCAGCATCGGAGCTTGCCGGCCTTCCCAACACACGCGGCTGCAGCTCCAACGCACCTCCTGCATTGCAAAACTCACAACCAGCACATATATATATACATATACATATATATACACAAACACACACAAACACACAAATACACACAAACAAACAAACAAACAAACAAACAAACAAACAAACAAACAAACAAACAAACAAACAAACAAACAAACAAACAAACTAACTAACTAACTAACTAACTAACTAACAAACAAACAAACAAACAAACAAACAAACAAACACACACACACACACACACACACACACACCGTGCGAAACAGCAGCTCCACTACCACCCCTGTTCCCGCATTCCAGCACGCAGCAACTGAACGCGCGACCAGTGGTGCTTTAGCAAGAGGCCCCCACAATAATTTGCAGAAATAAAGACCCTAAGGCTTCGAAGAGAGCAGCTGGCTGTAACTAGGCTTCCGACTACTAGTTCAAATGAAACTCCACACTCAGAAGGAAAGCTCTTTTACGCCTGTCTACTGCTCCTGCTCTTGCTGCAGCTCATGTGTACTGCGACTGCACGTACCAAAGGCTAGACTGTCGATATCTGTGTCGCTCTCAGCATCAGCATCGAACAAGACATCTCCACTATCAAGGCGTTCGTCATCTGCACCTTCTGCTGCTATTGCTGCGGCGGCAGCTGCAGCTGCTACTAATTCGTCTTCAGCCGCATGCAGTCCCTCTTGAGCTGCTCCGCATCCGTTTGGCCGTGCTGTTCTCCACATTGTTGCCCAGCGCTTCAGAAGAACAGGGGGCCTCTGTTTTCCTGAGGGAGACTCTGCCGGGGGTTCTAAGTGCGCTAGGCCCTTCTCTGCCGCCTTTACGGCAAGCAGACGAGGAACCTGCTGCTGACAGCTGTCGCTACAGCTGCTACGCCTGCTCAGGGTTCCCAACGAAGGAACAGGAAATACGCAACGTGCTCCCTGCTGTATGCGCTAGAGAGCGCAGAGAGTGCCCTGAAGCTTCGTGGTATGCCGCCCCCGAGCGAATGCCTCGCAAAAATCGCTTAAAGCGCGAATCAGTTCAGTCACGACACGCAGGACGAGCTGCAAGGCGGTGCTGGTAGCTGCAACAGCATCGTCTACTGCTGCAGAGAGGAATGACGGCTGTTGGAAAAGCCACTCCAGCAGCAGGTCCTCGCTTCGATCAGGCCACGACAACGAATGTCAAAATCCTCATAACTCGAAGTTACGTGGAAGTCTCACAAGTGCCTTTTTCCCTCCGTATGCACAAGACAGGGGGCGACTCAGCGGATGCTGACCCTCTAGGGAAGGAGGGGGGCCCCCAAGGTCAGGGGGCTCTTGACCTTGGGGGCCCCAAGCGGCGCAGGCTCCGGTAATTCCTTCACTTGAAGCCTCTCTTCGCATCAACATTCTGTTCGCATGCATGCTGGGGTGTCTCATCGGGGATCTCGTTCAAAACGGCTGTCGTCGGGGGGTGTTGCTGCTCCCGCCCCTGCAGTTGAGCACGACGGCCTTCGATGCAAAACTGCCAAACATCGAGTCTCTGCTGCATCAGCCGCGTACAAGAAGAGGCAATAAGAGTCTTTTCCAGGGCTGTTGGGGGTTTTTGCCATTAGACCCCCTGCCGCTGTGTCGCTTGCTGGTATCGACAGGCGGGGGCAGCTGAAGCACACGCCTGTAAAGTCCACCTGCTGCTCTCTAGCAGCAGCAGGTGGACTGCTCAGCTGCACTCGGAGGGGCAGGCCTAGACTGTGCCTGATGCAGCGTCGGAAAAAACGGCGGCAGCAGCACTTGCTGCTGCGACAGAGGCCAGCTGCACAATGAACCGGAGACAGCTGCTTCTGCAGCAGCGCCTTCTGGGGTTGTTGGAATTTTTCGTTCTTTTGCAGATGCTTTCCGTGAGCGCAGCGAGGGTGAAGGCTCCTGGCTTTATCCTCTCCCTTGCTGCACGTACTGTTAGGCCTTGTGGCGCGCAGTTGTCAAGCATCCAGGTCGTCTCACCGTCTATTCCTTTCCAGAAACAGCCACACTGCAACAACTGTAACGCTAGCAGCAGCTGCTGCAGCAGCAGCGACAGTGGCGGGGCGGACAGCTCTACACAGGACGCGTAAGCTTGTGCTGCAACAACGTTTGATGCTGCAACAATCTCTCATGCTGCAACGCCATCTGATGCTACAACAACATCTGATGCCACAACAGGATCCGATGCTGCAACAACATTCGATGCTGCAACAACATTTGATGCTACAACAACATCCGATGCTGCAACAACATCTGATGCTGCAGCAACACCTTGCGCATTGCACTCCTACACAGCCATTGCTATGTGTTGTTGGCACTCACTCCTATTTGCAAAAAGTCCTTCGCCCTGCATAGGTGCCTCAACGCTCTGCTGCTGCTCCTGCCGCTGCGATGTGTCTCTGTACAGCCTCCAACTCATTGTTGGAATCGAGGCTCACGTACAGCTTGCCACCCGCAGCAAGGCTTTCTGCAGCTGCCCTGCTTATCCTGCTATAGAGGCTTCCACGGAAGCACTGCCGTTTCAAAGAGGCTCTGCCCTTTTGCAACACAAGCACGCCGATGCATTGGGAACGCTTCCGTGGTCTTCGCATCAGCAGCGGAACCATCAGCAGGAGCACCAGCGAGATCCACTGCGGCAGCGCCAGCAGTCCTTGTGTCAGCTTCCGAATACGCGTGTGTGCCCCATCTGCTTAGGAGATGGGGGAGCCTTGCCTTCGCCCAACAAAACGGCCGTGAAACTCGCACTTGGTGCCGCTATGTTGATGCACTGTACCACACGTACGCAGAAGCTGCAACGGAAGCTGCGTCGGTTTAGCGGTCAATACTCTGTAGACGGCGGCAGAGCTCCCCGCCTCGCCACTAGCCTGCAACGCTAGTCATGCGAACCTTCTCTGCTGCTGCTCCTGCTGTGCTGCTGCATGCAGCCGATGTCTTGCGCTTCGACCGCAAGTGCTACGTGTACCCCGACCTTGCGAAGCGATACCAAATCACGCAAACTTTCCAGTGGGTAATAAGCGATGGGCTTTTATTCCCTCTGTCTGTGTCTCTTTCCCTCCGTCTGTCTCTGTTTGTTGTGTCTGTCTATCTTTCTCTCTCGTTCTCTTTCTTTCTTTGTTTCTTTTTCCCTTACCGTCTGTTATTTGGCTGGTGCAATCGATATTGCCACTGGTGGGGGAGCGTTGTTGCAAATACTGCGGTGCGTTACGTGCCAGTCCTGATGCCGTTTATTTTGGGAAAAAGCCTGCATGGAGCCCCCTCTGAGACAGCTGATCGTATTTGTCTACTGGCTGCCGACACATCCTTGTCGCTGCTGCTTTTCGTTTTGCTCCCGTTGATGCCTTGTATGATTTCCTGCTGCCATTAAAGTCAACCCATCCAGAGGCTTCCCTCCTGGCGTCAGAAAGTTCCAAGTCTGATTGCCTCATCTCCTACTCTGGCACCGCTGGGAACGTGCCCAAGCCTCATTTAATGCTCGGCTGCCATGTGCCGCTCTGCAAAGATTCCTGTGTCTCTTCCCTTAGCTGTCGCTTTTTTTCCTGCACTTTGCGCGCCAGCAGGACCCCACGCTTTTGGCTCGCTACGGCTGCGTGCACTGTGGTGTCTCCTTGTCTGCCTTGCGTGTCGTCTCTTTCTTTCTGTAAATGACTGCGTCTCTTCCTGCTACCTTCCCTCCCAATGCCCTCTCGACTTCACCCTTCTTTAGCCAGCCCTTCGACGGCCCGGTGCTGGCTGCCGTTGTACTGCTGGATGGATATCCTTGATCGCACGTTTTCTGTAGACTGTCTTCTTCTGCCCCATACTGACAGCCCAATTGGCTTCGACGGTTTTGTTGAGATCCCCTCCGGACGTCGCGTTGCAGTTGCAAAGGTCCAACTGGAAGAAGACACTGCAGCGGCTCAAAGAGACCAGCAGGTGGGCAGATATCAGGCACCCGTGCCTAAGGAGGGTTGCAGGAGAGGGGAAGGGGGCGAGGCCTCGCCCCCTTCCCCTCTCCTGCACGGGAGTCGCAGACAGAGAGCAGCAGGCACAGAAGACCAGAGAAGCCTACCCACGCGAGGGGAGAAGCTGCTGCTGGCTGTAGCGGCATAAGATAGGAAGGGCTCTGTACGGCCGTTTTTGTCTAGCGTAGAGGAAAGCAGGAATTCTTGAGAACGGGGGTCTCTGAGCGCCACATGCAGCATGAAGATTGCATGTGTGAGGTGCAACGTGGAGGCGAGGCTTCAACAATAGACTTTTTGCTGCACGCTGAGAGGCACCACACACCAGTGTCATCTCTTGTTTCCTCAGGTCGGCGGCCGGGTGCTGCTAGACGCCAACAGGGCAGGTACGCCTCTTATCGAGGTTGTCACTAAGGTGTGTCGCTTCTTTCGATAGTCCGCACACTCCCTTTCTTCATGCTTTTCACCATCCTCTCTCCTGCTACTCTTCTGCTGCTGCTGCATGTTCTACCTGTATGACGACGTCCTCCTGTGGCTCGCCGGCTGCGCCCCTCTGTAGAACGGGTGCCCCTTTTATGATTTCTGCCTGGCATGGCATGCAGGAGGAGAAGCCCGCTTACGCTTCCCCTCTGCATCATGTTTGTACTTACTACATGCTGCAAATGGTCTAGTCACTTGTGCTGCATGCAGGCTGAATCATTAACAGCCGACGAGGCTGCAGAATTCGTCTATGAGCTCCTTACAGACCTTCGAAATGCTGGTAATAATTGAGGACGAGCTCTTTCTTTCTTTCATTCTCTCTCTCTCTCCCTCTGCAAATTTATCTGGTGGGCGCCTTGCCGTGTGCATCTCTCCTGATTTCCTTCTGAGCGTTATTCTTTCGTCGTGAACTGTATCTGTACTTTTTCTTGGATCCTGATGGTCGCCCCATGCCACGAGCCGCATGTTGCCATCCCTGCACGAGTGCTTCCCTTGTCTTGGACTGCTCGCGGCTTCTCCGGCTAAAGCAAACAGCTCGAAATGTCAAGAGCTGTCTCCTGGCGTGCTGTGCCGCCGCTTTCGCCCTCCCCCATCGTCTTCGTAGTACACTTGTATATGCGCGTAAAGGGTAAAGGGCGACTGCTGCCAGCCCGTCTCCCTCTCTTTATTTTTCTCCAAACACCCATCTCCACTCGCTTTCTGTGCATTCATTCCGCCCTCCACTCTAGTGCGGAGCGGCAAAGCACGCGTCCTAGCGCATCTTCCTTGTCTCCTCAGGGATTTGGAGGGGAACCATGGCTGCTGGAAGACTGCGATGCGACTTAAATCTGTCTCTACGTTGCCTGCGCACGGGGCGGGATTTTCCAAGGGTCGGTTCGCCACACACGCACGCACGCATAGAGCCAAGCGCCTGCGTCCTCTCCTTAACAACTGTCTTTCTGCTGCAAGCTTTCTGTGCTGTTCTTCAACAGCTGCCATACGGTACTAGTGTATGCTAGGTGTTTCTGACCTCCGGAGGCTTTTGCTATGCTCTTTTTGTACACTTAAGCCTCAAAGAACCCTTTGAAGAAGGGCACGCGTTGGCTTGTCGGGTTCCTCGGTAACACTATCCTGTCGAGTGCATCGGTTAGTCATTTTATTACTGCATCGCGTTCCGTAGTCTGATCAATATCTGCATTTTGTTGCTGCTTTGGTAGTGCCGTTGCCCCTTGTGTATGTAGGAGGGGAGGGTTTCTAGCTCTCTTCCTCGCTTTCTTTGCGAGGAAGGAAGGCCATTGGGTTGCTGCATTGCAAGCCTGTAGTGGTACCTCTCTCGCTGAGAGCTGAGCTTTCTACCGGGCTCAGTGTTTTTGCGCACGTATGCATTTCCTGTGTGTTCGTGTGGATGGTCGTTCATCCGCATGTGAGGCCTTTCTATATCGTTCCTACGCCATTGCGTATGGCACGCTGTTTACACCGGAGCTTTGCACCCTCGCCTGTTCAGGTGGAGCTGAAGAATGTGCGGAGTCTCAAGGCTGTCCGCCGTGCTGTGCATGCGGAGGAAGAAAGACAAAGGGATGTTCTAGCTAGGGGCGTTTCTCTCCTTCCAGAGACTCGGCATTGGGACGATAGCCAAAGAGTGAGGCTGCTCGCTGCCCTGTCGACTGCAGCTAGGACACTGCCAGCCGTCTCTGGAGTCTCTCCTGACGCATGTAGAATACAAGAAGCCTTGAGAAATGCCGTCGGTCGTGTGGCCTGATGCTGCAGCGATCTGTGCGGCTCCGTAGCAAACTGAACTCCTCTAGGGTCTACTTCCCGTTTGAGGAGACGCAAATCCCGGAGGTTGTTCTCGACGCAGAAACAAAAGCCCAAATCCGGTGAGCGTCCGATACAGCAGAATGCTGGCCTGCTTTGGGTGCGTTAGAGGCGGGTGGTCTTCTGTCAGGGGGATTCTGACAGAGTAAGGAACCAGGTAAAAAACGTGGTTTTGAAATACCACTTCTTGCATAGGACCTCCGTGTTGCTGCGGGCCTTAATTGTGGGTGCTCGTCTCCGCGTTTTGTTCTCGCTCTGGGTGGTATCTAAAGCCCCAGGCATGCATGCAAAGCTGCGTCCTCCGCATTCGTTTCCCGAGGGTTTTGCTCAGGTCCAGCCTGGTGCCTCCTGCAGCCACGCGAAGACAGATCTATGCCCAGTGGGGCCTTGGTGCTGCAGTGCGAATTCAGCTCGCAAGGGACCTCGAGGTACGCATTCTTAGTTTGAGGGAGGGGTATAAGGAAAAAAGGAGACAGGGACACTCAAAAGAGGGAGGGAGAGCAGGGAGAGACGAGGGGGAAGCGGAGTGGGCGGGATCTGGTGGGAGAGTGAGAGGGAGGGCGAGGCAACGAAAAGGCACGAAAAGAAGGAGAGGTGAGGGGGGGAGATGGCAGGGGGGCCAAGGGTCAGAAAGGTCAGGCACAACGCGAAACTGCTCGGGATGGTGGAAGCGGAAAGAAGAAAGGAGGAGCTGAAAGGGACATTGACACAGCCGCGAGGCACAAAATGCCACCGGCAGGGGTTGCACAGGGGCCCTGAGCTAGGCGAAAGATGCAGCTGAGGAAACGGGCGCTGCAGAGAAGAGCATTAGCGACATACAGCTCAAGTGGAAGAGACAAGAAAACTGTAGGCTCGTATGCGGTTAGGTGTGGGCTGTTGTTGGTTGTCGGCGAGCAAATGGTTTCAGCTTTCGCGCTTCTTTGAAGCGCTTGTGGCGGCGGGGGCTTCTCCCGTACGCAGCGGTCTCTTCCTTCTAAACGAATTGCAAGCGGCTCTGAAAGGAGTTTCATCCCCAGGACCTATTGAGTGCGTACGAAGGGAGCAGTAGGCTTCACATTATCCCGAGCAGGCGCGATTATGCCATGAGCTACACATTTTGGGGCACCTATCTGTATGCAGACGCATGCATGTTTCCAGAGCCACCAAACGGCTAGGTATAGATCTGCAGGGATTCCTCGTCTCATTAGCTTGCCACCTTCTGTGCTTAGGCCAGCAGACCTGGCGCTGGCGTTGTGCGCGGCGGAGAGGGGTACCCTCACCAACAAGGTGCGTTCTCTGTCTTCCTCCCACTTTCCCTACCACTTGGGGTGTCGCATTCGGAATTTGACGCTAAGTCCTTGACGCGCTAACACTAAAGGCTTTGGAGGTTGGCTGTTGTCGCAGACACTGCGCCTCTACGCTGCTGCCCTTTCCCGCGGAGACCCCAATGCAAAGCAGCTGCTGACCGAAGAACCAGTAAGCCCCCAACTTAATCAGAGAGCAATCAGCGAAGTTGCAAGACTAGAAACAAACCTAACACCTACAGTTTGCAGCGCTGGTTCTGCATGCGCAGGGAGCAACGGAGGCAATGGAAGCCACGGCAGTCAAGGACCTCGAGCACATCTTGAAAGCATCTAAAAAGTAATTGCGAGCGCTATGCCGCATATATCCTCATAGCGTTAAAAGCTAGGAGCATTGCGTGGAGGCTTAACTAAGATTTACAACTGCTTGGGTATGCGTTGCAGGCACCGTCCAGGGACCCTTCTGGGCAAGCTGCTGAGTCTGCACCCCGGGCTATGTCCTCTAAAGGCGCGTCACCTCATAGACAATGCACTAGCTAGCCAAACACAGAAAAAAGACACGAATATTACCCAGCCAGGTGCACTGGGCTAGACCAGGTGGCGTGTCAGCACGGAGAAGCTGCTAGCGTCCGGCCTTCCTCTCCTTCTTCGCCACCCTCTGTTTCTCCTTCTCGATCCGTTGCTGCTGTAGCAGCTGCTGCTGCTTGTTTCGTTGTACCTCCCTGCAGCAGCAGGACCAGCAGTAGTGATTTTCGTGTGGTGTACCTCATCTAGCAACCCTAAAGCCTTGGCAGCAACAGCAACCCCAACTTCAGAAATACAGCTTTATCCCTGGAAAGACGCTGCAGCTAATGGAGCCACGGGGTAGTGGGAACTTGTGAGCTAGTTCAGGATTTAGGTCGGATCCCACATTTCATGCTCAGCCTTAGCCCTCGCCCGAGCTGCTTGAGACGCCTGCTGTACCTGCAGGAGGCAACAGAATGCACATAGGATAGAATCGGAAAACTCAAGACAAGTGCGCACTGGCGTGCATACCCTTATCCCTAATATGCTGCAATCTTTGCAACCCAAACTTTAGCCAGAACCAGTCCTAACACTGCGCGCGCTAGGGGTTAGTTGGACATTCTCACTCGTGCCCTGTTATCGTTACACCAGATGCCTGGGCCGTCTGTAGGCTTTTTGTTGCTGCCGCTGCTGCTGCTTTGCAGCTGTAGCCGCCCTTCCTCGTCCTCTTCCACCAGTTCATCGATTTCGTAACCATATTGCTGCACCACTCGCTGCAGGAAACAGTGCAAATAGTAGACAGATGAGCGCCATCCGTCACTGCGAACGGCACGAAGCAAAAGCAACCGCTGATGCAGCGCTCTTTCGGACAGCCTTAATTTAACCCCGCTTCCTGAAAAGCTATCAGCGTCGGCACACGCGCGTATGTACTACCTCCCGGATACGCCTAGCGGTCTCATCTTCTGGCGCTTCTTCAACTGCTTGGGGCGCTCCTGCTGTGCTGCTGGAGAAGACAGCATCCAGAGCTTGCTGCCGCTGCTTTTGATGCTGCTTCGCCGTAGCAGGAAGCACCTGATGCACCCATCTCTCCGCACAGCCGCAGCAGAAGGCGTCGAGCTGCTCCTGCCGTTGCGGGGAAGGGTCATCCAGTGAAAGGCTGAGTGTCTCCTGTATCTCCACTTTCAGCTCGTGCTGTTGCTCCTCCCCTCCTGCATCTCCTTTTGACGCCGCCTCGAGCACTCCCAATACATACTCTGTAAAACAAGGGCCTGGCCATGGCTCACGCTTTAGCCTTTCGTGAGGAGTTTCGGCGACACACCCAAGGCTGTGTGTGCAGACTAGACAAGCAAGTTTTACTGCCCCTCACAGATTGTTGGGGCTGTTACATTAACGCAGGCGGTCTACAGCTATGCGGTTCGTCGCTACGGTTCGATACTTTACGCTTCTTTTGTGTCTACCCTGCATGACGAATTTAGGGGTAAGGGTAGTTTTCGCACCAACGAAGACTTCTGTGTCCAGACCAAGGGCCTCGAGACCCTCGGAAAGGAAGCTCTTGAAAGCAGAGAGTTCTTCTGAAGATTCCATTTCAAGGACTGAGCTGTGTAGGGAAATTCTTGATCAAATACGACCCGTGCGTTGTGTTAAATAGCGCCAAAAGTGAAGCAATAAGCGGCTGGCATCCCGATCTTTGCACAGGAATCACTGCGTGCTAGGCCGATGATTCTAGACCTAGCGCCTTATATTCAAACTCTAGAGTAGGCCTTCTTGACCAGAAGCCGGGCAGGAGCTCTGCCGCTTGTTACCACCCATCGAGCATTCGCAGCTGTCCGCTGAAGAGGTAAGGGCACACGGCTTCAAAATGCCTAGCATTGTATCTAGGACATAATGAATAAGGCTCCCTTTGAGGCATGCATCCATGGTAGCTGATGCATGCTTGGGGCCCCCAGCCACCCTGGGGGCCCCTGCCCCGCAGCGCAAGAGATACTGGGAAACACACCGTTATAGGCAACATGAACTTCTCACTTCTAAACCATTGACCCCGAATGTCGCCCAATTACCCCTCTAAGCCTCCATTTATGACAGGGCACCAGGCAGAGTTGTAGGCTGTCTTGGCGGTATACACCAACAACCGTTAGTTACGCTCTGCACGCCCCCTTTTTAGGCTGCCAATAGGTGTTGCCGCTGGCAATGAGACTGGAGATCCTAGATTAGACGGTGATCTGCGTGACTTGAAACACATACAACTAGTGTAGCAACGCACTTAGACAACCCGTGTCATCGAGAAGGGCACTAAGCGGTTCGGCTTATAACAATGAAGCGAGCTCCGGTGACCTGAAGTGCTGCTGGAGCAGGTGATGTATCCTCCGAAGCACCATTGTACTTGACGCAACAAGGGGGCTGTAGGCTATGCCTGAGGCTGCGGCCTCCTACAGAGATTTCGATGAACCGAACACCTCTTTGAAAACGAAGGGTATTGCGATGTCTAGTTTTTATTGGAAACAAAAGTATACACGAACTATCTTCTAGGCAGGCACTTCTTCGATATGCAACGCCTACCCCGAACGTGTAGTGTTCAACGGTTGCGAAGTCCAGGGTAAAGTGGCCGCGAGCAGGGAAGTCAGATAGGGCTTCTGCCAACGGTAAAGCACAGGCCGATACATCAGTACCAAACATGCCGTTTTCTTGGGTCCATTAAGTGAAAACAGCTTCTTATAGGGCCCGCGGTCCTTATAGGCCAGCCTCAGTCCCCGCTTGCCATAAAGGATCTGTTACGGACAATCCAGCGGTGCATATTGGGAAGCCCCCGTTCTACGAGTTGCTAAGACCGCAGCAGCTCCTACTCTCCGGCTCTTGCAATCTCCGATTGCATCCGTTCTTCCCTGTACTCCTCCACTTTTAAAGCCCCCCAATTACGCCCCTTACTGCAAATAACCTGAGTGCCCGTTTCGCTATATGCAGCAGCACTACACCGTGCCCTAGAAGCATGAGAGTAGACAGATGAAAGCGCTTTCGCAGAAAATCTACGACCCCCTTTCCTCCTTACAAACAAAAAACGGTAGACTGAGGTTGGGGGCCTACCCCGCACACAAACACACACGGTCACTTCAAGTTCCTTTTTCGGGCAAGAGGCGTTCTGCCTCCTTGGGCCCCTGCATAGTAAAGCAGCATGAGCCATGACGCTGGCCGCGCAGCTAGATTCCCTACGGTCTTTCCAATGAGTAGAATACGAGGCAGCATGCGAGGCCTCCGGTTCCGCCAGGCCAGCAGCGCATGCAAGCATCAGTCCATGTATGTAACAACACATGCCCAGCACGTAGACGCATGGACGCTATCTTTACAGCCCCTATACCTACATGCTCTTTCCAGCAGCGAAAGCACAACGGATATCTCTCCCCAACGACCCTACATGAATGCATTTTGAGAGGATATATCGGCAGCTGAGCCTGCACGAGACACGGAGACAGCTGGCTGAGCCTCATCACCCTGAATTGCCTGCACGGTGGCTGCCAGGGGCCCCTCCTCACTTGAGGAGACTCTAGGGACCCAGACACACCCAGGCATTGACTCGTCTGAGGCAGGCACAATAAGCGCAACACACCTAGTTTCTCCTGCTTAGCAGCCCGTTACATTTCCGCATGCAAGCTAGAGATGCGTGCACTTAGCCGAATCCCCCCACGCGCACACACTCCGCAGCAGCAGGGCGGGACAGAAACAAAGAAGAAAGCAGTCAAAAACAGCAACGACTTGAAAACCGTAAGGAAAACACGCTCGACAGGCCAGCATAGAGAAAAGGCTTACTGGAAGGTGGCGAGTTGATTCCCTGCGCAGTACTAAGGTTCCCTGCAGACCCTTGCGATAGTTGGTGCTGCTGCTGGAGCTGGGGTGGCAGCAAATTTGGGGGCAACGATGCTGGGAGCTCCAGGCCCTGCAGTCGCATTTCGATGAACCGTCGCGCCAGGGAATATTCATATAAATCCAAGTAACCGTCCTTAGTGACGTCAGCCAAATTCCATATCCTACAGAAATGGGACACACAGACAGGCACATATAGATGGATATCGATATATATATATGGATATGCGCATGTGCTTGCACCCACATAGGCAAGGTGAGAGAATAGCGGGGGGCGATGCGAAAAAGACCCTTCGTAAAGCTATCAAAGGCAGATCGCAGCAAACAATGACACCAAGGCACCCGAAGAGGGCCCTATACGCAGCGGTAGCCTTACCTGTGAAGGATGCCGCTAGGCAGCTTGCTCTTGACAAGATCTACCTTGGCCTGAGAGCCGTCCACGCGTCCAAGAGCATCAGGGCCCATTCGCTCGAAGTCCTGTGGCGGTGGAAGCGGGTGCATGTATGTATACACACAGACACCACATGCGCAAGGCGCATCAATTCACACCAAGCTGTAAACCCTACTGGATCAGTAAAGTGCCTGGTTTTAATACCTGTGTTCTTGCCATTGAGCGTGGTGATGCACGGGCTTACCGTTCTGTACGTCTCGAGGTCCACCGGCTGGTGAAGGTACTTGTCAATGGCCCACGTGGGGGCTGAACTTCCTTGCGACAGGGTTAAAAATGGGGATACCTTGCCCTCCACCAACGAGCCATCCGCCGCCGTGTGGGGTACAGTTGCCCACTGCGCGCACGCATACAGCTCAAACGCACGCACCCGGATTCCAAGAGAAGTCCGACTTCCCACTCCGTCCTGATCCTCTCCCCACGCACGCCCACGCCTACACGCTCCACAGACCCCACAAATTTGGCTTTCTGAGCACTTAACGCACGGAGTCCGTCGGAACCTGCGCCATAAGCTTAGGAATTTGCGTTCGTATGATGTTATCTAGAGCCTCAAGCTGCCGCGTGTCCAATTTAGGAATCTTTCCCCAATCGAATGCCGCCAACTTCTCCTGAGGCGCAAAAAGTACGGATACCTGGCGCTTGGGTGCTGCGTGCATGCAGACGCGCACCAAGTCACATGCCTTACGAAACTCCTCAATGGGGCGGGCATGCAGAGAGAAAGATTCACTACACAAAAAGCAACTCAACTCTCCGACAAGAGCTCCCAACCCTGCACAAACTCGCTTTTCCCGCCCCCCTCTCCCTTCCCTTTAAATTGTGCAGATGTGCAAAGAAGGCCTTCGGGACGGGCACTGCTGGCCAAAAGCTGCACCTGCATGGTGGCGAGGGGCGGGAAGTCCCCTAGAGGAACACCATATTCCTGAGATACTTGTTGGTAGACGGTGCCAAGCTGCTGAATGAGCTGTTTCTTCTTGGATTCCTTGCCAAACATGGGCAGCTTGTTGCGCAGAGTTGTCAGCAGGAGCGCATGCACCTGCAGAAGGACGGAAGTTGCGAACGGTACGACATATACATATACACAGGGGTCTCGTGATGGGAGCCGGTGGCACCACCTCTCCTAGCCGAAAAGGCGTGCAACCGTTCGAACCACGAACAAGACACGCGAGTATATAAAAATGAAGAGAGACAGCCAGAGAGGAAGATGAAGACAAAGCCTCCAAGAGAAAGGCCGACCGAGACAGTCGAAGGCAGCGGCAGAGACAACACGGTTCTGAAGGCAGCAGAGGTACACAGAGTATCAGCATACACAACAGGATCAAAGAAGATGAAAGGCGCCTGCCTGACCTTGGCAAGTCTGGCCCTCTTGATGAAATCATTCAGCTTCCGAATTGCCGCGTCTCGCGGCACGCGTGCAATGTCTGAGTAGAGGTCGTTCGCCTAAAAGAAAAGAGCTGGACAGGAGAGCTGATGACGGGTGAAAGTAGCAGCCACGGAAAGGTCAGGAAAAGGTAAGGCGAAAAATAGGCTAGCCAACGGGAGGGGGGGCCAGTAGCAGATGCTGCGCTTATGGTGCGATAGGAGCAAAGGCGACAAACAGAAGCATATGAATTTTTTAGATAACAGGGACTATAAATATATGTCCCAAACTGCGACTTGTGTATAGAGCGCTGCAGCTTGTGTGCAGGGTGGATAAATGCTCAATACACTTTTGAATCGAAAGAAGACGCAGTGGTCATACACATGAAAGCGCGCATAGAAAGAGATAATTGAGGGCTTTGAGCAAAGCTGCAAAAACTCCAAGAGCCACTAAAAATACGGCCACTACTGCCAAAATATCAAAGCCCTTCTACAGAAGCACAGCACCGAGATGCAAGAGCGATACAGTACAAAATTGAAAATCCCTAAAGCAACCGACCAAGACCCCCGCATTGCGGCAAAAACAACCCCCGCGCCGCCTGAAGGAATGGTCTTTATGTCATCATCGTAATAATAAAACGTACAGTCGACTCAATACACACGAGCACATCCAGCTCGGCGACAGCATAGTATAGGCCAGCCAAGCGCATATCGAAAAGAGCCGACCAATACAAACAACCTCATGCAAAAAGCTAAAACCCTTGAGCCCCAGAATCTAACCAACCTCAGCCTCAAAAAGCCTGCGGTTCTCGTCGTTCTGAAGCGGGTTGTTCCAGAAAGTGCCGATGTACACTCGGGCAACTTCTGGAGAGGAGATCACCTGCACGCGTAGACCATTAAAACCTCAAGACTCGAATCTCCCGGAAAGACTCCGTCCGCATACTCAAACGCAAGTGTGATCATCCGACATGGGGGTCATACATCATCGTCATTCCCTTACGAGTAAACTGCCTACACGCACCTTTCCGAGAGACCACATCAATGCCCCGTATACTCTCATGAGCTGTTGGTACGAAACCATGTCTGCCTTGTTTAGGACGATGCGAATCTTTGTGTCATTTCCCCTTAGCGCCTGAAAAGCGAGACCTCAGGAGTTTCACCCATTGTGCCCAAAACCACGAGGTAGCTTTTTAGCCCTACAAAACCTTCTCTATGCAGGACAGGCCTGTGCAGACTAGGGGCTTTTCAGGCATGCGACTTCGCAGCATAGGCGCTTGGGAAGAGCAATTGGTGGGTAGACGTTGTACATTGATGCATCTCCTAAATTCGTCCGAGATATCGAGCTTGTGGGCATCGAAGATCAGAAGAATGAGGTCTACACGCTCCGCAAACCACTGAACCACCGCTTCAAAGTCATATCCCCGCGAAGTTTGCTTGTTTCCGCTGAGAACACCAGGGGTGTCTATCAAGGTTAGGCCCTGCGGCAAGCGCAACACCCTGAAGGTTACAGCCCGACCCTAACTGCTGCTGACAACTTGGAGGGTCCGGTGATCTTCTAGTGCAATAAAAGCGGGGTGGCGATACGGCACGCGCGCACATCAATGCACAGACGAGGAGACACGACTGAGAGTAGGCCCAACTATAAGGAACACGCGGGGAGAACGCAGTGCCCCATTCATTTGCCTCCAAAAGGGTAATTTTATTGAAATCTTGTCGTCACACCACGTATTGCTTCCGTGTTTGCGCGATAGGTAAACTCACGTTTAGAACAACACACGGCAAGAGGGAGCACTCGAAGCGCTGTAAGAAGGTGTTTCCGAAGTTGGAGAGCTGGCTGAATGGCTTAGTAGGATCAACGACGGCCGTGTTTCCGGGTATCACCTGACCGCGAACCTCAACCCCTCAGCACTGAATTGAAAGTGCGAGGTTGCAGTGTTAAGTAGTGTAGATGGCTCTAGAATCATAAGGTCTCAGAACCACACGCGGGATGAAGAACACCTCTTGCCGTATGGGACGGAAGGCAAGGTTTCTCGTGCAGAAATTCTCACCTGGTCGGTAGTCCCCTCCATAATGGCAACAAATTTGTCGGTTGTTGGCTCAGGGCCTATTCGGAGGCCTGGATAATCTCTTTCGAGCAAGTGTTGCACGAACGTAGTCTGCGCAAGCAAGATCCCAAGCCACACCCCTGAGGCGCTGAAGGTTTGCACGCCAACTTCCCCGTGTCATCCGTTGGAATGAAGGCCGCCTTCAATGCAATCCCACAAAAACTTGACGCTTACCTTCCCGGTGGAGTACTGACCCAGCACCATGACCATAGGCTTCGCCGCGAAGTCCCCATCCGTGAGAAGCGGCGAATAGAACTGCTGAAATTTGAAATCCGACTCGAGAGGGAGGAGATGCTTCTTGTACATCGCCTGCAGGCCGGTCTTGACGCCCTTCCACACACATACATGCACACATCTGCATGCAAGCCCTTGAGCTTAGAGCCTTAGAACCATTTTACACGAGGCAAAAGCATTGTTGCAGAGGAAGAGAGATACAGGGAATGCCCGGAACTGGGGCCATCCCCATCATGAATAAGGAGGATGCTTCATCATGATCCTGCGCATGACTGTGATTTCGCCCTTTCGCGTAGCCCGCATGCAAAACAGAATACGTGCAAGCTTCGCGTTCCTTGTTTGGGCTGTTGAGATGTAGCCAGAACCCATGATACACCCCACCTAGATCTCCGCTTATGCAGATATGCGACTGTATTATGGCGATCGGTGTATTTCGGGCCTCATATACCGCAGGAGAGGGGCTCTGGTCTTACATTGTAAACGTTGGCGGACTGCTGCGTGCCGCCCTTGCGGCTACCGAAGAGCCATTTGCTCATTGCTGCGCCGGGGGGGTATTTGAAATGCGTCACACTGTTTGCATTTCGTTCTGAATTCGTAGCTCCCTCTAGGGGCCGTCTTCTCCTATCCGGGAGCAGGCCTTGCACCGTTGGGTTCGGTGTCTAAGGTTTTAGGGGCGTCTGTCCCAGCTGCAAGCTCCAAGCGATTGTGCCACGAAGTCGCCCTAGCAGATTACGAGGAGCTCTATCCTTGGAACAGCCACAAGCAGGAGCTGGTCCAGGTACTGGTGCTGCAGCGAGGGGCTGCCGGATTGCGAAGCCTCAGAAAAAAACCCAAGGCAGAAAATCGAATATAAAGTAGAAATACAAACCCATACACAGACTGTAGCTAGGAATTTGAACCAACGTTTGCCATACACGCGGCGCATGTGGTCGCGGTCCCCGCCGCACATGCAGACAGCAGTAGACACCGAGGCGTTCTCTTGGTTCACTTCCTTTCGATTAGTCCATCATCAAGAAATGAGAACACTGCAACTGCAACTTCAGGGTTTGATGACTGTGAGACAAACAATCACAACAGACAACCAAGGTCACATGGTACAGCTAGGGCGGATGTACCAAGCTCAAGCTTTACGATTTGCATTAATCATTTCAGCGGATAAAAGGCCTTTCCACTCAATTGGTGCAACTATGATATATCGAGCATGTATTTTGTTCAACGGACCCGGTGGATACACCCTGCGTTCCAGCACCGGCGCAGGCAAGCGAAACTCTTGAAGGGCAAGAACATAGCGCTCAGGTTACTGCTTGCAGAGGCAAACCTCTGCAAGCAGACCCAAAGCAAAACTTGATTAAATTTCGTCACGTTTCCTCCCAAAATTGCTCCCTCCCTTAGATAGTCATCTCCGCAGGATTCCGGCATGAGGGCAGAGGGGAAGTAAGGATAAGTATTGCTACAGCCTCTATGCATTCCGACCATCTGCGCTAAGTTGCACATAGCCGCTTGTCGCACATGTAGACACTGGGAGCTCATAAAGTATTGAGCTAACTCTAATCAGCAGCAAACAGCATACACAAGCTGCCACGCCAAATGCTCAGTTCTCTGCTATATCCATACTAAATATCGACGGTGTGATAAAAGTGTCTAGATGTAGCTCCTCCCACCACATTTGCCATCCTCCTAAGACAACCACACGCCGCATCTCTCTATGTGGCAGCTGGGATCAGCCATGAGCGGAAGGGCACATAAACTTACGCCCCATCGCCCCCCAGGAACAGGTACTAGGTAGAGATTGCGGAAAGAAGGGGCACGATAAAGAAGCATGGGCATCCTCTTGCAAAACCCAAAAGAAAAAAAGAGAGAACATTGGCCAGCTACGAGGGAGGGGCCATCTCCACACAAACTTGGCGGTGCGATGTCTGGCTGGGGTGTCACAGCACTGAAATCTGTGGCCATCCCGCTCCACAACTACGAAGAATGAGCAACATAGATCAATGATTTCATAGTTTACACTCCTACAGCAACATCGCCTTTTCTCACCGGGCAATGCGAGCAGGCTGATGCAAACATCTAATAAAACAGAGCCCACTTAAATGCCCCAGGAAAGAAGCATGTACGAAAGTTTCAAACTGAGACACCTGTAAGTATTTAGGTATCCGTCTAAAAGATGACCTTCAATATACTAACAGAAATACTTCGAGAATTACCTTTTAAAATCTATTAACTGAAAGCACTGCTAGGTATCCCGTGCGCGGAAACTTTGGGCGGGGGGGCGAACGATGAATACCGGAAACGCAGTTGGAAGCACGCACGGCCACTGTCCTTGAGAACCACAGAGTGCCATAAGCTCTCCATTAGGCAACGCAGCCTGCAGGTACACTTTGAGCACCCACAGGCGTTGGCGGGCAGCTCCACATTCCGTACAAATTCCTGTATATTGTGCTTTCAGTGGGCCTAGATAAAGTGGAAGCTTTTCTGCTAGATTAGTTATATTGAACTAAGAACTAGTAGAGAGCTGGCTACGTGGTTTGTCTCTTTATTCATCTTTTTTGTTGCAGAACGCTATTGATCAGAGACAATAGGATGCAATGTTGTATACATCTGCAATAAATACTTTGTGCACGTAGCACACAGTTCTCGAAATCTTGAGCGAGAGCAGCTACATGCACCATATATGTTTCTTTCCCCTCATATCAGGAAGTTCTGGAGATGTAGGACAGAGGACGAAAGGAACTCTTCTGCAAGAATACTCAGTAGCCTTTTAATTATGTTCTGTATTGAGTCTGGAAGTGTGCTTTTCTACGTATGCGTTAGATGCAACGTTGTAGTTGGTCAAGTTCGATCCAGCTCTTTCTCGCTCAGCCACTGGCTGTGGATGCAGCGAAGTTTCAGACCTCTTGACAGCGGTATTCTCGTGTTGATCAAGATAGTTCTTAATCCAGTAGAGTGTTTTGGGGAGGAGTCCAGGGGCAAACTTCATCTTGTTATGAAACCTGACGTTGTCACAACGTGTCACGACGCCGTTCGGGCAGCACAGGCTGGCCTACAAGCGTATGTACACTCAGTTGTTCCAAAACTGATTAAAGGACCATCAAAAGCCGCTAAACTCTGTGATATGGATATACCAATGATGCTATGTCGGCCAGAAAACTATAATTGTTTAAGGATAAGCAAGTAGGCACTCGAGGACTTTTTCAGCCGTTTGGAGATGCAGTTGGCTTTGCACCAGCCAACTAAAGATAACTGAGTTATTATTGAGGTATCATTATCACAGGGAAGGTACTTCAATAGTGGCTCTTTTCACATGGAGGAAGTTGTCTGCCTACAGAGATTATTACAGGGCAAACCTTCATACAAGCCAGTGACTTATCTTTTAATTCCGAGATCACATCAACAGCAAGCTTCTAAAGAATCGAGTAGGCTACATCAGTAAATTGCACCAATAGATCGGTATCTCGGCTATTATGAAGCTGCAATTCTCACAGGCCACGACGTAGACGACAAAGTGCCTAATCGGGGGGTTGTCTCAGGTCTACCAAACGTGTCATGCAGGTTGGTCGAAAAACGGGCAGCGACTTGGTGATTAAAAAACTGATTGATGGGGCTTTTGGGAATAGTAGCCTCCTTAAGGCTTCAGGTGCAGAAGAGGTCAGCTCCTACGCTCTCGGGGAGTAAGGAGATTCAGATCGGGACCTAGCGCCCATGGATATCGGGGGATCTGTCAACCGACTCTAGGCTGCTACCTCGAGTGAGCTTTAAAAGATTGCCACATTTAGCCCGCGCTCCGAAGCCTCCGTAAACAGCCCCCAAGCAGCGCAGCTGCTTCTTTGCTGGAGAATTTAATCACGGAATCTGACAATGCAGCTGCATGTAAAGATTCAAAGAACTTAAACGCCAAGCTATCAGGTAACAAAGGCTTTTTGGCAAGCAATGGAGGCGCATGAGTAAAACGGAAAGCCCTCCACCCAGGCAGGGGCACAAGTGAAGGGGCCAAAATCATAGAGCCGCACCCACTACGGGTCAGTTCTGCGCGGATTCAGCTTCGCATTAATGAGAAATACTTTCTAGCGCATTCTACAGTAGACAAAAAGGATCTGCTATACGAGGAAATGGTGCCAAAGCTCAACCTGCCTATTCACCCGTAAGAGCGGTCCTTACTACTCAAGTCAGCTGACGGGCGGCAGAACGTAAGATCTGCTGGCCTAAGGCGGTTAAGAGTCGCTTTGCTGCGGCATTAGGTCCTATCATCATGGTCCACTGCTTCTATGTTGAGCCATGCACCATGACACAATGTTAGGTATGCCATGGTGACCCATTGGGAGGCGCGCATGCATCCACTGCTGAACGCTGTTACGTGCCGGAGAGCGTCAGGAAGAAGTAGATCCTGGTCTCCTTAGTAAAGCTTTCAAAATATATTGTGGGCAGGGTAGAGTCGGTGCCTCAACGAGGTGAATCAGAGTTTTTATGTGGCTGGCAAAGCAGCGCAGTAAGCGGAGACGTTTCTAAATGTACATCCCGTCTTAGTGGCTCTGCAAATGGACACTTCTTAAGAATTTGAGTTAAATGTGCAGCCAAAAGGAGGAGCATCACCGGGCATGTATCACGAGTGAGTCAGTGAAGATGCTAAATAATGACAATCTGCTACCGTGAGGGACGCCTGTTGTTCGTCCAGCGCATCGCTCGAGTTAATCCCCAGGTGTGGACCAAGCTATATTCCGAGTTATCGAAAGCTCCCACCGCACAAAGAATAACATAAACATCACCCAAATTAGTTGGCTGAGTAGGCAAACTACAGGAAGCCTCCAGCATGTTTTGGGCGTGCTGAGGTTTGGCCACCGAGAAAAGACGGAACACGACGCTCGTGCGTTGATTCTGAGGTCCTGAACAAGCCTAGTGTGAAGCTGGAGCTCTTGAGACCTTTTACTGCAACATCCTTGTCAAACTAAGCTGGTGGAGCTCTACTCGGCATTTGACTCCACAGTCGCCTTCTGGAAAATCTCTATTCCGCCTAATGAAAGTCACAAAACGGCCTTCCATATTCGTGCGCTCAAGCTTGAGTATACCTGTATGCCATTTGGACTGGTTAATGGCTTAGCACAAGAACACCAGCAGGGTATGCAAAAGTTTTAATTCACCTTTCGAGAAAGGTGGATGACAGTCTGCATGACTGTCTTCTTATCATGCAGCCAAACCATTCAAGAGCAGCTACAGGACTTACGGCGTGCAATTCAGCTGTTGTGAAGTGAGCAGTGGTATGTGAAGGCAATCAAAAACTCTTTTATCAGAAAAACTTTGCAGCACTTTATATTTCGGTGCAGGAATTAGGGCACCCCCAAAATTGAGGCAATCAAGGCGTGGCTTACGCACCCGAAAAGATGTTTGGACGTTCTTCAAAATTGGATGTCAATCGAAATCTCAATCTTGAATTTGCTCGAATCGGTGCTCCCTTGACAAACCTTGACAATCTACTAAAGAAACCGTGGTTTACTACCTGGATACAGCAGGCTTATGCAGCAGCAAGAAGACTTCTTGGTCTCGTGTCAAGTCCTGTACCCTCACTGCCGGATCATGAGCGTCGAGTTTGCCACACCACCGAGACTACTGAGTGATGGAGTAGTGATTGTTTCTCTCTCCCCACAACCTACGACCGATCCAAAGCGCGAAATTACTATCTGCCCCTGAAAGGGAATAGTGGTGTCCAGCGATAGAAATAAACTCTTAGTAGTGTTGAAGGATATGAAAAAATGTCGTCACTGTTTATGTGGAAGTTGTTTTGGTCTAGAATTGTCATATTACGAACGGATTAGGGGAGTTCGATAAGTCCAGAGCTGTTCGCTGTTTTGCGCGTCTTACAGGAGAACTTTAGCTTCAAGTATACTAACGAGATTTCCAACGTACGCGCCGATGCGCCCTCGCGAAGATCAAGCTGCCCACTGCTGGGCAGCACAGCTGCACTTCTCTGCAATGATTTACAAGTTCCATCATGCTTGCTTGCGTTTTATATTTTTGGCACCCATACATCCGATACTATTGCCAAAATCCAAAATGGCGAAAGGGGGCTGCACTACCACGTTTAAAAAAGATGATCAGCTGCGTTTTAAAGCACAGTGGGGAGTCGAACACTTGTACACTTCTTGGCTGCTCTGCAGTGTGGGCTTGCGCCAAGTACATGATCATGTTCGGGCCATAGTGGGATCTGCACTCTAGAAGAAAGCTGACACGGTCTTGGTGGTGGCCGGGGATGAGTCAAGCAGAAGAGGAGTATGCACTGTTATGCTCAAATAGTCAGCAGGGAAGGCGGCACAATTCTCATAGACAGGGTCTCTTGCAAAGGCTTCAGAAGACTAAACGGATTTGGACTGATCTGAATATGGAATTCGTTCTTGGACTGCAAGAGTTTAAGGCTCAAAAATATCGATGTCTGTATGTACAATCTCAGCAAATACGCCCATTCGATCTTTTGCTCCAGCTGTGTCAGGGCTCACGTAATGACTTGATCATTCCTGGCTCATGTCCAGGAACGTCACTTATCTAACAGGATTGTTGTTCTGGATAATGGTCCGAAGTTTGTCAGAGTCTTCCGCCGTGCCTTAATGTCATGGCTATGCAGGGTTCTTCTGCAGCACTTTCGACACTGTGATCACGAAATGTTCAGTGCTTGGCTTTATCATCCTCCTTAAATTGATTTAAATAATGAACCAGCAGTAAAATTGTCTACTCTGTTACTCTCCTACATCCATAGACTCCACTGAGGGGACCCTCTCCATTCCAGGCGTCAAGCTGGTGTTCCATGGAGAGCAGACATCCAAGGCAGCGAAGGAAATCCGAAAACATCAGATTTGTGCTTGTGAATGTATGCACAAAGCTCAAGCTTAGGCAGTCCATAGTTATGAGCAGGAGGGATCAGCTGTGTTTATCTAGCCTAGAGATTTCGTCCTGCTGGATCGGCAGGCTTTACGAGGTGCACTCACGGGGAACCACAGGAAGTTCTCGGTTAACAAGAAGCATTAACCACTCTCGTTAATTATAGCTTTCATTTCTATACTATTAATTTTACTAAAGGTGGAGGTGCCGCGGAGCTGTCAACCTTGACTTTCAGAAAAGTCTCAAATTCTCCAAACTATTCGCGAAGTGTGAGCGCAGGCAGGTGACCGGTCTGGAGGCGCAGGATCCACTAGAGATGCTGAGAAGAAGAATAAGCTCCGAGGTTGCCGTAGAAGGAGGTCATAGTGAGAAGAGGTGGAGAATGCCAACCTTTACGGCGTGGAGGAAAAAGAGCATCTTGGAACTTCATTGCTTGTGACGGAAGTTTTGCTTTCCTTGGTCCACAACGTTGATCGCCATGAACGGTATTCCCCGTGTTTCTATTACTTTCCTTTCGTCGCACATGTTATCTAATTGATGTAGTTGCCTTTATGAATGGGTAATGCTTGAAAACTTGCCGGTAATTATATATAAGCTGCTATATATGCTTGGAATTCCGAGCAGGCACTCTTAGCTTCCTTGGCTGTAAATTCCCACTTGAGCCTTTTTAGGGCTCGTAGGTAGACTCTGCTGCGTGCAAGGCTGTATCCACATACAGAAATTGATTTGGAGGGCATGGAGGCCCTGCGGAAACTAGTGTGTATTTCGAGCCCATTTGCGCAAATAGTTTGTTTTCGGCTGTCTTGTAGTAGGATGCGTAATTCAGCGCTCCCAAGACAGACAGCAATCGCATGGCCGCGGTCATGGTGGCTGAGCTCCTCGTTCATTGTTCGTGAATGAGTGTATTTTTCTTCTTTCGATTTTTCTTTGCAGGCTGATACCCGCTTTGTTCTTCTCGATATCTCTGCTTTCGCGTCCCTGCCTGCTAAGGCAGTGGCGATGGAGCCGTTTCTCGTCCGCGACCCTGCACTTAGCTCACAGGTACAGAGGACGAGGCCGAGTGTTTGAAATGAGGGAAGTAGAAGTTGGGGAAGATGTAGCGAGAAATGCTGCCCTTTATCTTTCGCACTTTTTGGCATATTAGCTATATTAGATGAAGAACTAGAGATGAAATCAACCAATTGGTGTGTGTTTGTGCAATCGCATTTACTCCACGGCAATTGGAACTCAATGCAATCAGAATTTATGTTGTGTGCGAGTGCGCTTGATGCTATGCGCAGCAACCTGTGAATGTTTGGAGTGTTTAATGGGTGCAGAAATGCGCCTACTAGTTGTCCCCTCCCCCTCGTGTCGGAAATTCGAGGTTCGCGGCGGAGGGATGAAGGATTAGCTTCGGATGAAAACAGAATATATCTTGATTTTTTTTGTGACTCTCGAGTGAAATGTTCCCGTACTGAGACCTCGGGTCAAGCATTACATTTTATAGCAATGCATGGTTCGACGTAGCTGCTTCAGCAATTTTCCAGCATCTATGCATTATATGGGACACTGGAGGAAGGCCAGCAACCCACGCTTCAGTTCTCTGTCTTGTCCCCTCATGCCGGAACCGTATGGGGTGAGGGCGAAAGGAGGAGCGATCCCTGATATCTAGCGCAAACGCACACAACATCGACGCTTGTAGTCTTAAATTAATGCCACTCTGCAACAAGCCAGAGATCTGAACAGCGAAACCACATAGCCAATGCTTTTTAGTCCTTAATCAATGTTACTAGTGGGGTAAAATGCCGAAGCGTAGCTCGTGCTCTATTACGATCCCTTAGATCAATACGAGGAGAACCACTGGTGCATCCATGCACGCTAGATGCTCATGCAACTGGCTGTACACTTTGGGAACCCGTAGAAAGGGGAGCAACCGGCAGTTTCACCCCTCTCTCCCTCTCCCTCAGACCGGAACCGTGTGGGGTTAGGGCAAGAGAAGGAGCAATCTATCTAAGGATGGCAAGCATTATCTCTGCCTGAAGTTTCGCATCAGGCTCGGGGCTAAAAGTGCCCTCTCATAATACGATCCAAAGTGGAGGATTACACAAAATTACACGCTGAGAATACATTTAGGAGGCGCAGTGTCATGGTACCTCAGCAGGGACCTCAGCTTTATTACGTGCAAATGTGTATTAATAGGAGACAGATTTTAATACGTTCTTTGATTATTTTAGCCTTTCATCATTAAGGCTGCCGCCACCAGTCGGTGCATGTAACCCCGAAGTCCCTGCGCATGCAGACATTGTGGGGAAGGATCTCGCAGGAGAGCCCCTGCTGTGGGGAAGCCGGTCAACTAAGTATATCCTTTTAAACAGGAAGCGGCTTACTTTAGTGCCACTAAGCAGTGCACATATTAAAATGAGCTATAAGTTGAAGGTGAGTGATAATATTGGAGTCACTTGCAAAGGTAATGCACTAAATTGAAAAGTGCCTTTCAGCTTCTGCCACCGTAGGGTGCTGCTGCCGGGTTCAGCCCTGCTGCTGCAGCCGCTGCTGGTGTTGTTGCTGGTGTTGCTGCTGCATTTGCTGCCTCCATGCGTTCTTGATTGGCGTTTTGCGTTTGTGTTTCGTGGTTTTCGAGTTTGTAGCTCGGTAGCGGAGTCCCACGATCACAATGAAGCTGAACATTGCGAACCCAGCCTGCGGGCTGCAGAAGACGGTGGAGATAGACGATGAGAAGAAACTTTTGCCTTTCTTTGAACGCCGCATGGGGGCTGAGGTGCCAGGGGACTCGTTGGGTGACGAGTTCAAGGGCTATCTCTTCAGGATTAGCGGCGGCAATGACAAGCAAGGCTTCCCCATGATGCAGGGTATCCTTGCAAACCACAGAGTCTCCCTCCTCTTCCGCGCGGGAATGAAATGCTACAGGCCTCGCCGCACCGGTGAGAAGAAGCGCAAGAGTGTGAGAGGTGCCATTGTGGGGCCCGATCTCTCTGTGCTGAACCTCGTCTTGCTCAAGAAAGGCCCTGCAGACATCCCAGGGCTTACTGGGGGAGACAAGCCGAGAAGGCTCGGACCTAAGAGGGCAAGTAACATCAGGAAGCTCTTCAACCTGGGCCCTGAAGCCGATGTTACCAAGTATGTGGTGAGGCGCACGATGGAGGGCAAGAACAAGACCAAGGCACCCCGCATTCAGCGCCTGGTGACAAAGTCTCGTATTCAGAGAAAGCGCGTCCACTTGAACAAGGTCAAGAGGCAGGCGCAGGCCTCTCGCGTGGCGCTCAAGGAGTACAAGGACCTTCTGCACAAGATTGCATCCGAGAAAAGACACAAGAAGCACGAACACACCAAGGCAATGCATGCAGCAGCAGCTGGTGCTGCTGCCACCGTTGCAACGAAGACGGCCCCTGCTAGTGCCATGGGCAAATGCAAGGCCAAGAGGAAGTGAGAGGCTCCTAGAAAAGTACCACATGATGCAAAAGACGGTTGTGAGGCTGCATGCATCTACAGGTCTGCAGACCTGATGAGTGCGCTTGTGTTGCACCAACCGTCTCCTTTTAACAACTTTTAAGGCTTGTGCCAGTGAGAGAGAGGTGTATCACGCGTCCGTTTCCTCCAAATAGGCTTGAGTGGGAGCATAGGGAGTGTACCAGGCAGTTGAGCTTTCCCCGTTTATTCTTGCGGCAGCTACTCATGCGTAAATCTTCGGCCCAGTGCGCACAGAAATAGTCTTTGTAGAAAGATGCCTATCCCGTCTGGCAAAGAAGCACACCTGCCTTATGGGCTGGAGATCCCATCCGGGGTATAATTGTTAGAGATACGAGAGCGGTTGCTTCAGCAGTCAGACCGCAGTGGGAGGGGGCGACCTGCAATTTTTCCTTCAGGAGACATGCCACAGTATGCTCTAGAAGACCATAAGGGGCAGACAAACCTGTACACGGAGGAGGCAGGCACGCCCTATAAAAGCATAAGAAACTCGCGCATCACGTGCAACGGCTTGTTTGGGCAGGCGTTAGGACCAGGCTCTCGTGGTGGCACTCTCATTGAAGAGACATTTTCAGGGCGGGGTGCTTTTGAAAGGAGCGAGTCGGCTGATTGCATATTGTTTGTCAAATTCGGATGTCGGCGTGCTCGGTTCTCCTGCAGTTAGAACTGTTCTGTTTGGGGGTCCTGTTCAGTGGCCGTCGAGCAACCCGCCTGCCCAGTTGCAGGGATTGCTGTGGGAAAGACGAAAATTAAGCCTCAAGGGCAGTGCTGCGAGTGGTAGGGTGTCGAGCGCGAATAGTGCACGCTAGAGGCAGAGGCTATGGGGCAGGAGGAAGACGGGGCCGGTGGGTGTTATGTACAAGGGTCAGAGGAGTTTGTCGCTTCACTGCTCCCCTGTTGCTTCTTCCACCCACCGCTTTCTTCGGCGACAGATTAATGGCGAATGTCATGTTTCAGGCAGCGCGTGTAAGCAGGTCATAACGCTTTGGGTGTGAATGGAAGGAATCCAGGGGGTGAGTGTTGAGAGGGTACCGGGGACTACGAGAGCACAGGTCCACTAAACAGACAGCTAGACGGCCCTCTATGAACTGTTTGAAGTGTATGTACTGCTGGGAGGTCGAGAGCCTATACGTAGAAACCCCGTGGACGCCTCTTGGTGCAGTCGCCTTTGCGTGTTTCCCCTATTTATCATACTAGAGCGAACCCGTGAATGCTGACTGACAAGGGAATGTGGAACGATGCCCTGGGGTACATGTGTCGTCTTTGGTATCAAATAAGCACAAAATACAGAAAGACAGAACAGATCCTCCAGTATGTGCTAAGGAGGAAGGGTGAACCCAAAGGGGCCAGCAAAGATTTTTCTATAGGAGGAGCTACTCTGTGGGCCGCTGATTAAGGAAAATCCAAGGACAGCAAAAGCCACACGCAACGGCAACTTGTGCCGTGTAGTGGTGGCATGGCAGACGTGTGGAGTTGCCTGCCTTACATAGCTCTGTCTGAAGTTGTTACAAATTGTGTGAAATTGGGGGAGAAACAAGCTAGAGAAATCCTGCTGAGGCCGGCGAAATTTCCAGCATTTATTCCCCTTGGCTGTTGCGCCTACTCGAGTTGCTGTTTCGTGCCTTGCTGCTCTTAGGGTCAGGCACCCGCAGAGAGCAGTGCCACACCAGAGGCGTTATCCAGGATTATCATGTCGCTCTCCAGGAGAGGGACGCGTAGAGTGTTGCAGCTGATGCTGCGAAACCATCGCCAATCGCGAGCCGATGGGCGCACCCTTTGGGACCCTGTGGAGAGCCGTGGATAGTCCCCCTTCAGCAAAACCTCCGCCGAAGCCATTAAGGTTCAAGTGTAGATGTGCTGGGAAAAAAGAGCGACAAACATTTCAGAGAGAGAGAGGCTAGGAGTCTTCAAGGCGCACCGTTTTGCAGGGCTATTCGAAAGAGAATTGAGCGAAGTACTAGGGGGTGGGACCCCTTGGGAAGACGTAGTACCGGCATCCGTAGGTGGATCACTGCCGATTTCACCATTCCATATTTGCAAGGCTTCGTCCTAAGAGGTCAAATCGCTCAAACACAAGATGGCGATACACACTAGAGGGCCGCATTTCGAGTGCTGCTCTTAAATAGGGGGGTGCAGAGTGGAAAAGGCGAAGAAGCTTCAGAATAATGCACAAGAGAGAACGGGTGTTGCACAACTGCACATACAGCAACAAAATGCCCAAACAAGGCCTCAGTACGAAGCAACAGGGGAGGCCACAAGGAGAGGCGGCATCGGTGATGGCCGCCTCAGCATGAGCATCCGCAAACGATTTGACGTACATGCAAGCGGCTGCTCTCTGTTGAGTCTCTTGTCAGGAGCGCTGCGATATTCATGTGGCGCCATGCCTTGCGCTTCTGCGTTGAGACATACAATCCAAACCGTATCGACATATATATGTATATATATACTTGCAAATCGTCGACCCTTTGGTTACCCCGGTAGGACCAATATCTCACTTCATGCAGCTTCAAGAAGACCCTTGAGAGCCACATATGAATTGTGGGCTGCACACACATACGCACATACACACACACATACACACATATACAGCGGGAGATCCTTTCGAAGGCAAAGAAATACCCCTGAGATCGTACTATGCAGAGCCCACGCCCGCACACGCCGCAGGAGAGCAATCCAATCAGCGAGAGAGGAGACCAAGAGGTGTGCAGGCAATTAGTTCGTACTGTTAATTAGGCGGCCCTACCTGATGCGGCGACAGCCGAGAGGCAAGCAGCAAATTGTGCGACGCTTCCTGAAGAGCAGCACAAACAGGCAACGAAAGGCGCTCCAACACCAACTGTGTGACAACCCTTACGCAACTCAGTTCCCCTCTCTGTCTGCCACCCCACAATTTCACATATCGCCCTACGTGTCGCCCCCCTACCCCTTATCGTGCCCTCCACGTTCACAAACCGCTTTCACGAATCGCAGTGAGTGCATGCAGACACGTAGACGAGCAGTACAAACTCTAATTGCTTAGCTACGGAGTGCAGTGTGTAGACCCCTCAAATGAAAGACGGACGGTATTTTGGCCCTGATCAAACTGCAGCATGGCGAGCTGCAGCCGAGGCGCAGCGTCCCTAGGATTTCTCGCGGTTGCCTGCAGCCACAAAAACACCCCATCATCCACCTCTCAAAGTCAGGGTGACAGAGTTTGCCTCCCAGGATCGTTGAAGCCGCGAGACTGCATAAAAACCCCCAAGACGTGCGTCTCGACGGACACCTCCTCTTCAAACGAAATACGCCACAGGATCTCTACCCCTGCCCAGAGGTGTCTAGATCTGAGAGGGCATATTTAGAGAGACACAGTGAAGTACAGACAAAGCGCCGAACTTCTAGAGGCACAGCCTAGAGGCGCCACGTGCATGCGGAGCCACACGAGCGTCCGGGTGGAAGACAGACAGAGAGAGAGCGCGAGAGAGAGCGAGAGACAGAGACAGCGAGACACACACCACTACCCCCGTCAAAACGCGTTTGGAAAGTGCTACAGATGGAATCCACTGCACGTCCCGCCGTAATCACAGTTTGTTCTTCGAATTGCGCAAGGAGATCGAGCAAAAGACGAATCCTCAAAGCATATTTAGCACGTAGCGCTAGGCCCCCGTACTGCATGCACTACAAGGATCCCCGTGTTTTGCTGACTTTTGGTAGCTGCCGCTAATATCTGCTGTTGCGCATGAAGGAGGCCCTACCCGTTTGTACAGAGAGGCTGCCTTCTGCGTGTGCCCTGCTGTGTGCATACAGTGGGCCAGGCGAGACAAGCCCTGAGGCACCCTGGAGCTGAAGAGACGGAGACAGCAGCAGATAACCTGCGCCGCCTCCGCATACTTCCCCTGCCTTTGCAGCAGAGCAGCCAGTCCATAGAGTAGCGGATAAGACGGCACGTGTCGAGACAGACCGGCCTCAAAAACCTCGTAGGCCTACAGCAGCATCGCAGGCAACGGATTTCCACAAGTTGCGTCACAGCAATCGTGCTGCTGAGAAAGCGTGATGATGATGTAGCGCTGCCAAGTGCAGCATGTACTGCGGGAAAGGAGGAGCCGCTAGAGGGGAGAGTGCATCCTTGGACAGAAGCGCTTGCCTGTTCAAGTTGGTTCTGCAGCGTCAGTTCGCGGCCGCACAGTGCAAATGCCTCGGAGAAGAAGTCCCCTAGATGTATGGCCTGCAGGAAATCCAGCATTCCAAAAGCAGAGGCAGGAGAGGAGCGGCAGCATTGGGAGCAATCCCACAGAGGCGCGAAGAGAGGAAGCAGGGTGGAGAGGCAGGAGAAGTAGCGGGATCTCCCCACGCCAACCGCGTGATGCACACCTTATAGAACGCCTCCACTGCTTCGTCCTGGAGATTTGCGCATGAAAAATACAGTCCGAGGATGCACCTGCGTCAAGAAGAAGAGCAGGCCGTATGCACGGGCTGCCTGTATTGGATATCCCTTTGGACAGACGATCAAGGATGCGGAGCAGGTTGCGATCACCGCAACAGTAGCAGCACTCCCGCAAAGGCAGCATTTCAAGACCCCAATTCACACACAGGCACATACCATAGATAGGGTTCCTCAGGAGAGAGAACGTCCAAGGCGATCAACGCCACTCGCTGCTGCTCCCCCGCGTCTTTAAGGCGGGCAGCACAAGCGGCCCACGCTACTAACGTATCGCCAGAGACAGCCGGGTGCTCTCCCGCCTTCCTGCACATGCCTCAAGAATCAAAATTGACTTTAGCGACGCGCTCTTCATTCTGGAGATGTGAGGCTTGAGCCAGCAGAGCACTGCCGAACAGGCGCGCAGAGCAGGGTGGGGCGAGCTTCGCAAGGAGGGGGGGAGGGAGGGGCCTAGCGTTCTCAAATTCGGAAGAAAACTAATTGTATTAAGTTGATTGTCGCACCTCAGGAACCGAATGGCTTCTGCGTCGTTCCCTATCGCCGCATGAGCAGCGCCAACCAGTTCGAAGAATAAGAGCGATCCAGACGGAAGCAAAGGCCAAGAGTTCAGCTGCTGAAGCATCAAGTGACCCTCTCCACGTTCCCGCAGTAGCAGGCTGTTGGCTGCAGCAGCATCAGCAGGCAAGAGCAGCAGCCGCAGCCGCATCATCATGCACGCCAGGTTGCAGAACAAGCGCGAGGAACGGACTCCATGATGAGCTACAGCTGCACTGTGAGGGCTGCTTAGGACGAGGTCACACCTATAACCTGCAAGGAGTGACTGAAGAGACGCGAACCACTCTTCCAGACTGCTTCGTCTTGCTGTAGCTGCCAGCGCCTGTGTTGCTGGGCGTGCAAGACAGCCAACCATTGTTGCTGCCGACGCTGCAGCTGCAACAGCTCGCGCTGCTGCTTCTGCAGCAGCAGTCCCTGCCGCTGTTGCTTCACGTTCACCTCTCCGCACTCTTGCAGTTCTTGCAACCGTTGCAGCTTGGCTGCGACCTCTTGCAACTGCTGCTGCAGACTCTGCTGCATGCGGACAGCCGCCTGTCGCTGCTGTAGCAGCAACAAGGAGCAAAACCGTCGCATTATGCGGCCCACGCGGCTAGGATTTAAGGCCGCTTCGAGAAATTGCATAGGGCTTTGGCGTGGAGGCACCAACAGAAAAAAGGATGTATCGCTGCACACTGCAAACACCCCGCAGTATCCAGAGCAGCGACAGCTCCAGCACCTCTTTTATCGACAACTCAAGATTGATGGGTAACTCTGTCTCTGTCTCTCTCTCTCTACGAATCGGTCTAGGGAGGAGGCGGGGGGGAAGCTTCGCTGGTTGCTGCTTCTGCAACAGAAGCAGCAACCAGCACACCTCTTCCCCGTCCCCCTAGGCCTTCCAGAGCAAGCACGCTGCTAGCACCACCTGCAGCCAACGCACCAACAGGAAGTGCCGCCTCAAAAGAGCAAAGGGAGAAAGGGGACAGCTGCAAGGCGCAAAGGAAGCAAAGTGCCGAGCAACGGCGGAAAGCGGCCTGGGAAGACGAGGGAGAGGCTGCCTCCTGCAAGCAAGCGCAGCAGCGGCAGAAGCCACAAACGCACTTGCTGCGATAGCAGCAACCGCTTTAACAACCCGTGCACTTGCAGACACAGTGGAACGACAGCAGGCACAGCCGCAGCGCAGGAGAAACAACATCTGGAGAACGGAAATGCATGCTGGCTGTATGTCCTACCCGCTGATACGCCAAGCCCACAAGGTGCCACAGGAATGACCACGCCTCATCACCAGCAAACAACGTCTGGCGGTGCAGCTGCTGTTGCATCTGGGGTGGATCGACATCGGATTCCATCCGTGATCCTGCAGCACTCCGCGCAGCAGCAACTGGAGTCACGCATGCAGCTGCAGCTGCAGTGACCTTCCGTTCCTGCAGCGCTCCCGCCTCAGTCGTCTTTTTAATGATCCGGCCGATTCTTTGCTCATCTGCATGCAGCATCCAAACCCATCGATTCATGCAGCTCAAATCTCAGAATAGCGAGGACGGCCATTGGACAGGAGGGCTGGCAGCCCGCTGGGGAAAAGCGCAGGTGCATGTGTGTATGCTGAGGAGGAAGTAGCGGTATCTGCAGCGAGACTGCCTCAGCAGGCTTGACAGCAGCGTGTCTAGCAGCAGGCACATTACCAGTTGCTGCAGGTTGATCTGTTGGTCCGAATACGAGATTGAGAACGTCCTGAAAAGCACCAAGGCCAGGCTGAACGTGGGAGCCCAACTACAGCTTGGAAAGGCGAACCCACCCCACCCCCCTTTCAGCAACATCTGAGGCTGTTGGATTTGCCGGAAGCGCGATTTGTCACCCTGAGTTCTTCTTCTTACATTGATCCTGCTCGTGTCAACAGAGAGACTGCAGAGGGTAAGAAGAATCTGCCGCTGCACGCCCGCGCATGGGAAGCCTGTAGCAAAAGCACCGCCTCTACAAACGCTTTTTTCACGCATGTGCCATTTTCTCGCACTCTTCAGCATGTGGACACCCTGAAGCCTGTTATATCCCAATAGGGCAAGCAACACCTGCAGGACTGAGGACAGCACAAGTCCAACAGGAGCAAATCAGGAGCTCCACAACCCGCAGGAGGAGCCGTAGCAGCAGCTCACTTGGATCCATAGCAGCTATATCAAGAATAGCCTGTGCAGCCTGCTCGTCTGCCGCGACGTGGCTTAGTGCGTGGAGCCACTGGAGGCTTCCTGGAGGCCCCTCAATCGCCGCCTTCAGCTCAGCCTCCAAAGAAGCTCTATCCAGATTCCTGCCCCAAACTGAGCGCTGAGACGGGGGATTCGGAGGCTGCAAAGAAGCAGCCTCTGAATCAAAGCTGCAAAACAACCAAGACTCAAGGCCTGTCGCTCCTTGTACCGCGGCTGGCGTTCCTGCAGGTGCTGGTTGCAGTGCTGGGGGAGGGGGGCACAGCAAAGGTGGAGAATCCTGCGCAGAGAAGAGCGGGAGGCCGATCACGTCACTGCTGCTGCCGCTGCCGCCGTAGCTGCCCCTGCTGTAGCTGCCACTTCTACGGGTGCGATGTCTTAGGAGTGCTATATTGTGCTGCATAAGTTCCGTCAATGCGTGAGCCTGCTGTTTCATCCTGAAGGCGCTGAGAGCGGCGACAGCCGTCTCCAGCTGATATGCATACACCTCAACATCCGAATCCACCAACACCTCGTTGCCTGTTGCTCCTAGTGCGGTCCCCCCTTCAACTAACGGGGGGCCTCCGGGGGTCTCCTTCGCGGAACCCACAGAATGGGCCGATAGGAAGCCCCCAGGGGGCCCCCTTGAAAAGCCTTCTGAAGCATCTATCTCGTAAGGGGTGTACATACACCGAAGATGTCGAGAAAGTGACACAGGGGGCCTCGGGTTGGCTCGCAGGATTGAGATCGAGAGAGCGGAAGTCTTTAGGGGCCGCTCTTATCCCTTAAAAATAGCGGTCCGCATGAGCACATGAAGCTGAATTAAGGGTATTATGGTGCTTCCCCCTGTAAACCCCCCGAGCCTAGATACGGCAGATGACTCAGGGGGCCCCCCCCTGGTATCATTACTCCGTTGCATACGCTGTCGCTGTGCAGGGAATGTATAACCGCCCTAATAAGACAAAGAACAGATGAAGACGACATAATAATCCAAAAAAGACAGCACAATTATACGCAGCAGCAGACAGTCTCCTAGGGAACCCCTGCGAGACCCTGGTTCTTCTGGGTGGGAGAGGTGTTCACGTGGCCGTAATTAACTCGGCCAAATCACACTCTCCGATCTTCGTATTCTCTCTTTCACAGCCACTAATTCCATTAGAACATAGGCTATTCCTAGCTGTATTTGCCTCCAGAGCAACACTAAATGAGAGTTTGTCTTGCGCGATAGCGGGTTCGTTTCAACGCCGCTGAGTAACTTTCAAAAGGATCGAGACAGACTCCTGTTTCTGGTGCAATGTAGCTGCAGAAAGTATTCGGTCTCACGCAGATGCCTCTAGAGGCATTCTGCGCTGAGGGCAAGGAAGGTGACGAAGGTGTATGTAGAGGGTGTGTAGTGTAGTTTTCAGTCTGTGTGTGAGCGTGTGTACATGCTGACACATACACTTTGTGAAAAACACACGAGCTGAGCGGGGCCCTGTTGAGTAAAGAATCGGCGTGCTAAAAAGCCCTAGTGCCCGTTGAGCTGCCTTCTGGCAAGGACTCGACCTACCCAGTGAGCAAGTTGGTGCTCTGCTAGACTGCACGTGCTGCGGGCACTAGAGACCGGCCACTACCGTATAAACAACGCCCCTATCCTCTAAAATCAAATCACCAAAGTCCTTAAGAATTTCATGGCAGATATAGCACTCAGCCTGCAAAATATTCGCGTGGCGCGACGGGCAGCTATAGTACATCTACGGTTGCGACACTGCCCCTTGCATGGCTGGTCACTCCAAAAGCTACCTGATAACAGCATTTTGCACTCTGTTCGAGATACATGACACCCCAATCCCTAGAGAGAGGCTGAAGAAGCCTTGAAGGAGGCAAAGGTCCGTGCCCTATGGGCAGTGAAAATGGGCTCTCTTTTCCCCTAAGGATGGCTGTTTCCCAAGTACGTGGCAGTAAGGCGATCGAACACCCATACCAGAGGGCCAGCGACCAACCACGCAACACTTCCCTGCTGCATACACCCCGCTATCTGAACAAGATCCACAGTAACAGCAGCGGCTGCTGCTGCTGCTGCCAGCCGTATTGCAAAGTTCGTTCAGAGTTTGAAGTGCCGAACGCCGGGTCGGATGTCAAAAGCACCGACACGGGCCTGCGCAGCTTGCGCCTTCTTTGTTTCTTCCTGAAATGCGAGCATAACAGAGATGTATGTAGGCTCTAGCGGCATGAGCACGAGGAGGACAAGGGCATGAACGGAACCACACCACGGTGGTGTGTGTTTATGTATATATATAATATATATGTGTGTGTGCATGCGTGTGCGTGTATGTGTGTGTGTCTGACCTTTAGCAGTAGTTTATTGGCTTTCTTGTTCGCCCTCAAAATGCGTTGTGCCTCCTTCACAGCCGCCTTTCGGATCTTTCGCTCCTCTGGTGTTTCCCCACGGGGCCGATACGTACAGACCTATGAAGACAAAGAGACACGCAGAAAAGCAAATGGCCCTTAACAGGGGTGGCATGCTAAAGCAGGCATACAAAAAAACGCGGAGAAACGGACACCCGGAGGTGCAGAAAGAAGGGTGGGAAAACAGCTTCTGCTACGCCTGCTGCGCAGAATCTGCTAGGGAGGAAGCCCATCAAAAAGCCACGGCCAGAAGTGATATTTGCTCGAGAAGAAAATAGAACACTTGACTCCGAGGCCGAAAACTCAGCACCATCATCTCCTTCCTTTCTTTTACACTGCTGCTCTAGGAAGCGGCAAGAGGTCTCACCTCGGGCAGCTCAGCAACGGTTTCTGCGTCCTCGGGAGTAGGCGGCAGTTGTGCGCGGCGAGGCTCTTGGGCGCCTTTCGTTCCCGGCACATCACTGTCAAGCCTGCGGAAACACAAAGTGAGAACCGAGAAGGCCTCGTTTTCGCCGGTGTCTTCTCTCTTCGGAGACAAGGAGAAGACCAGCAGCAGCGGCTCATATTGCCAGGTGTTACAGTTAGCCCTAGGGCAGGATCAAAAGGAGCGCAGCGCCACTACCACACACACACGGCAGCAGCTGAAAGTATTTCAAGAAGTGATACGAGTTTCGGCAACGGGCAATGCGGCTCACGCCAAGCATGGGGCCAGCATCATCTTGGTGGCACGAGAGGAACCTAGGATAATGGAGCGTGGCTGTACAGACAGTCCAGATCTCGCGGAAATAATTGTTTCTCCGTCCCTGCAAGCACGGGACCATGCACATGGGTTTCTCTAGCTCTATATACAAATATATTTATATAAATATATATTTCTCCCTTTGTGTTCCTCCAAGCTCCGAACCCGACCCCTCAAGCAAGGCCTGTGCATGTCGTGAGGCTTACCAGGTGGGCCGTGCTCGAGCAGGCAGCAGGGGCTCTGCGTGTAGTGGCGCCTTCTCTCCTTCCTCTTCCTGCAATCTGGCGAGTGCCAGTGTCTTCGCTCGGAGTTCATCATCTGCGCAGAAGCAGTAGGAGACAGTTGCAGCTAGTTCCGGTGAAAGATCGCGCGAGGGCAGCAGGCAGATGGCTCGTCCTCACGACGTGCAGCTAAGAGCACGCCAACTGGAAACGAAGTCTTCGTATAAGTCCGCAGGAGCTGCCGCTTTCAGAACCCACTTCGCGGCTAGCTGTCTCTGCACTGTTTCCGTGCAGAGACAGCTAGCCGCGAAGTGGGTTCTGAAAGCGAGCTCACTAGAGACACCGCACAAGGCAGGCTGTCTCAAGACATACCCATCTCACAAAGACAAAACTCGTTGTCGACCCTCTTCAGGGTGCCTCTGCTGCCCGTGCCGCTGCCGCTGCTGCTGTTGCTGTCGCTGCTCCAGCTGCTTCCTCGCCGGCTCCAACGCTCTCCCGAGAGCTTCGAAGCCTCCACACCCTGCGGTCCTATACCCAATTCCACAAAGCAGTCGCCAACCAAAGGCACTCACTCCACTCCTCACCAAACGGCAACCACCACCTAGGCCCGCAGAGAGGCTAGGAAAGATTGAGGGGCTTCAAGGTCCTTACGCTCTTGAGACTTGAGGAACGCATCGAAGCACTCCTCGTAATCCGAAAAGGAGTCGCTCTCCTCCACTTCTTCCGGATCCAGCTGCATCTCCACACATGGCAATACAAAAACCCCGAGGCTGAGAGACTAGACCCTCCACTCCAAGCGTGCACCGGCAAAAACACGGGAAAATGCCGCTCACCTCTCCAATGCATTCTTCGCGGTACTCCTCAAGTAGCTGCTCAAGCTTCTGCCTAAAAGGCAGCCACACACACTTCGCTTCGAACACTTACCCCTCTGCCCCCAACCCGCAAGCCTCGAAAAAGCTCGACCGAACGCGCACTCACGCTTGCGTGTTATCGACAGCGGCTGCCCTGTATTTCGCCACCCTGTCTTCGCCAACTTGGCTCTCCGCCTCATCCTCTGAACAGCCAGTCCAAGAACCTCCGGATTCGTCCGACTCCTCGCTGTCTTCTTCCCCAACCCCTCCAAAGAGACGATCACCGACAGCTGGAGGCAACAGAGGGGGCCGCGAACCCCACAGTAGCTCCTTCTCATTGGGTGTCTGGCGCATGCACATGCAAGCACGCTGAGAACTCTGCAGAAAAGCTAGCCACGCAGCAAGCTAGGAGCCGCCCCGAGCTAGCCAGGCACGCCGACGCCACGTGCGCCCGTTCCCGATAAGGGCGTAGCAAGCTAACAAAAGGTCGCAAGGAGCCGCCAGGGCAAGCCTCGAAGCAGCACGATAGCAGTCACCAAGCCAGCAGTCCAGTAGTAACTCAATGCTCGTCAAAATCCCATAGGGATGCGGAGTTTTACCCATTGTTTGCCACCAGTGTCTGCCACAGCTGAGGCTACGAAATCATCCGCGATCTCTTCGTAACCGTCGTCGCTCGCCTCAAGGGCGTCCAAGACCTCGCAGGCTGCGAAAAAGCGCGAAAGAAGAAGGAGTCGAGTTGCTCTTGCTTTCGATTCGCTGCCGTTGCAGCCTGTGCAGCAGCAGCTGCTGGTACCCCTGCTGCAGGCGGACCCCTTCGAGGGAGCTCAAGGTTTAGAGTCTCGTGAATATTCACGCACCTTCTTTGTCCTCCCGCATTCCCGTTGCGGTCGCCTGCTCCTCCTCGGCTATGACTTCTTCTCCTCCAGCGTGGGGAAGGAACGTTCCCCCTCCTAGACTCTGAGATGACAGCACGGATCCAAGGAGGCAAGGCACCGGCAAACAGTAAGGGGCGTCCCCAAGCCAAGAAAAAGTAGACGCAAAACACACAAGCAAATACACACAAGCAAACACACACACACACATACATACATACACACACACACATACATACACACACACATACATACACACACACACACACACATACATACACACACACACAGAGGGAGAGAGAAAGGAGGAGGGAAAAAGACGTAGAGGCGCAAAGAGGTATGCATGGAAAGGAAGCAAGCAGAGGTATGAGAGCAACGGCCCTTGATAGCCTGACAGAGTCCATCGGTATCCGCGCACATAAATGAGATCCCATAGAAAGAACACCCAAATAGCGGCAGGCAGCAGCAACGCAAACAGATATCCAACACAGGGCGCTGCAGGGGCAGGGGAAGTAGATTAACAGCGTGCTGCATACAGTGACACGCAGAGACTGAGAGTACTCACTACCAGGTGTTGGGAGTAGTCGTAGCCGTCTTGAGGGAAGTAGCAATCCCCAGACTGAGGAACCCGCAAAAGAAGGAACGAATGCTGTTGAAGCAGGGAGGAGTCAAAACAGCGGCCTCTAAGGGTCGCAAAAGAAGGTGGAAATGGGAAAACTAACTGCTCGAAGCTCTGGCCACTCCACAGAGGCCCCTCCCACACGTACATACGCATAGCATTAGGCACCGAGCGCCAACTGTCTCGACAGAAAAGTGACACAAGGGGAGGCAAGAGATCGAAAACGCGCGTAGAAGGAAGCAAAAACTGCCGAACCCACGCAAGAAAACCGCAAGCATCAAACGCGAAAGGCAGACGCATCCTCCAATCAGGGGGAGAAAGCAAAAGAAAAACACCTCATGGCAGGCACACAGCGTACCAGATCCGCTTCCACGCGCCTCTTCGGCAGGCCCTGTAGCATGCGCATGCAAGCCGCAAGAGTCTACAGCTTCCGGTGAGCAGTCACATATCGCGGAGAAAACACAGAGGCGGCGGGGCCTAATGACTCACGGCTTTGGGGCCAAAGAGCAGGCACAATAGAAGATACATGTACATGTGCAGAAAGTTCGATCTGTATTACTGGAGAGAGGAGGGCAGAAGGGCGAAAACGACACGAGGAAGCACCCACAGCACAGGGCAGGTATACCCTCCATAAGAGACCAGAAGCAACAAGCAGTCTTAAGATGCGATAAACGATAGAAGATGACATGAAGGAAAGCCCACACAAAAGCCAAAAGGGTAGAGGGACGGGGTGGGGTGGAGGGGTAAAGAACCAACTGCCTGACCTCGGTTGCTTCTTCTGCGGCTGCCTGCTGCTGATCAATCTGCCGTTGCAGATATTCTGGTAGCGGCTGCAGAGGCTGAAAAGGTGAGCAGACAAGATCGTAAACCCTAGATTTTGAACTGCTTTCGCCACATGGCCTACACCAAAGGCTTAAACCCGCAGCAGAAGGCGCTGTCGGGGATGTAAGCATGCACGTGCTCTTAAAGAGGAGCAACAAGGGGCCTGGAATAGAAGCTCTCCGAAATTCCCGCCAGGCCCTCCCCCAAAGCTCTATGAAGCGCTGCTGCGCATTGCTAGTGCCGATTAAAGCAGCAGCAGCAGTAGCAGCAGCAGTAGCAGCAGCAGCAGTTGCAGCAGCAGCAGTAGCACCAGCAGCAGTAGCAGCACCGCACCTTATTCTTAGCATTAGGGGGGATAACGCGCTGCAGCTGCATGCGAATCCTTTGCCGCCCTTGCTTTGCTTCTACTTCCTGGCGTAGCTGGTGCTGTGACATTGGTAAGAGCTTGAAGGTGAATGTGTTTGGGTTGTTCTTGTGAAACCGCACTTTCCGGCCTTTCCCTTTGCTGCTCAGTGGCAGCTCCTGAGACTCTCCACGTGCTAATACTTCCGGCTCTGAAGAACCCTTTGCTGATGGTTTGCCATCGGGATGCCCTTTAGAGGGGCCCTCGAGGCCAGGTGCTCTTTCGTCGAACATTTGCCGCGGGGGAGTCGATGGGCAGGATCCTGGTGCCGTTGCTTCTGTGTCAACTTGTGCTGACTCGGCTGGTGAGGCTGCTCTTGCTCTTAAAAACTCTGCATGCCAGCAAGAAGCCTTCTGTTATAGGCGAGAAGGCGGGCAATTCGGCATTTGGACGCCGAACGCTACTGCATGTGGCAGAAGGATTTGTTACGCCTGCGATCCTTCTGGCTGCTCCTTCTCCATCGCAACACGGAGAAAACAGAATTAAATACTCTTTGAGTCCACCTTCATGTCAGCCCTTTACTGCTTGTCCTCCCCTGAGGCCTTCTTGGGGGGCTTTCCAGTGTGGGACAGGCGCTGGTGCTGCGCCGCTGCATGCAGTGCAACAATGCCGTGGCAGGAATCACCGTGCATCACTAATGAACAGATTGCCCAGATATTCCTCTAAAAGGACTGGTTTTATTTTCTTCATGTAATTTGGATGCCTCTGACAACTAACCTCCCGTGTCAGGGGGCACGCCAGTGGCAGTGCCAGCAGCAGACTTCGAGAGGCGTGACGCAGTTTCGGGCGCTGCTTCTAATTCTGCCCGAGCTGCCAGGTTCAGAAAGGTGTACTTATGGCTTCTTCTCTCGTAATTCCCTTCGGGTGGAAGGTCATGGTCGGCGCTGTCTGCACTGCGCCTGGAGTCTCAGCAACATTCAAGTCGCTACCGGCATCAACGGCAGCAACAGCGGCAGTCGCAGAAACGGCTAGGGCATCCAGGGCCTTAAATAACAGCCAAACTCCACGAAGTGAGGCTTTTTGTGGTGCCACTCGTTCCGAGGGTCACTGTATGTCGCTGCGGCTGCAGGACGGCGGAAGCACCTGCAGCACGACATACAGTGACCAACGCATGAGCAAAAGCGGAAACAAGCACGTTTGGCGCCGTGGATTCGCAATAGCAGTCAAAAAGCCACTGCCCAGAGAGGCTTTATTGGGGGACGACAATGAAGATGCAGCGACAGATACGGCAGGATCTGTAGCAGGGAGGGAAGATGCCGCTGGGCTGATTCTGATGCGCTGCAGCGAGCACCCATCTTTTTACCTCCACGCTGACCCTTCTACGGTTTCTAGACTACAGCATGTCAGGGCAAGACGCAATGCAATTGCTGCTTCTGCGGACCCTTCAACAGCAGCAGCAGCGGCAGCAACAGACTGCATAGGGCTGCGAGTAACCGTTTCTGGTGGTGGATGCAGCGGCTACAAATACTCCTTTTCAGTTGTAACACGTGAAGAAGCCGAACGAGACGGGGACTTGTAAGCACTGAGCACCTCTTGAGATGCATCCGTTCTGCCTGTAAGCAGGCCAGACCTAGTGCAGTGGTAGGCGTCATTTTTTGTGTCTAATGATTCGGACAAGTTGCTCCCGGCTCGTGTGTGGTTTTCGTGCCTCAGGATCTTTACGTCCGCAGGAAGCGGCTCGGAAGGCGACAGTCAAGACGCAACACACGACCCTGGCGACAGGAGCAGCACCACCCGTAGTAAGAACAACAACAACAATGGCGAGAGTCTGCAAAGCAGCGTCAACTACGTGGCAGAGTCGTGGTTCGTATGCGTGCCTCCTCGAGCACTGTATCTGCTGGAAAAAGGCAGCATGCTGTCATTTGAGTCGTCTTTGGGGGGCGCCTCATTCGTACTCAAAGGGAACCGCAAAGCCACGAGCATTTGCAGCTGCGGTCACTCTTTCGGCATTGACGCCCCCTTCTGATGCAATGCTGTTGTTGCTGCTGCTGCCGCGTTTGCTGTCGACCCCGTTCCAAATAGCGTTCCCCCTGCGTAGCCTTGAGGAGGCCGGCAGCCTCCTGGTCTTTCTTAGCTTACACCACGCAGTCTTTCTTGTAGACTGATCTGGCTGCAACAGCACATTTTGCGCTGTCGCTGTCGCTTTTCTGTGCAGCGTAGTGTATATTCTTTAGTTTTTCGTCATCTGCGTAGCAGTTGGATGCCTGTGTGTATTCGGAAAGGCGTCAATTGAGACGCCCTCGCTATGCAAAAGCGGCATTACCGCTCGCCTTCCTTTTGCGTGTGCGTAAATACCGACATTTTTTACACCTGTACCACTTAGATTTTTGGTGAAAGGCGACAGCTGTGCTTGACTGTCCCTCCCCTTTTATCTCCAACCCGGATGTCTACCGCAACGGGGATTGATTATCCCACTTTCTTAATCGCTGAATGTCTCGTACACGTATGCATTATGCACCGCGCTGTAAATCTATGCAAGCAGGCCCTTTCTTTATTGCCTCTTCCGTGTCTGATCTCTTCCTTGAATAGAAGAACTGAGTCGTGACACACTCCCCACTCTGCCCATCAGCGCCATATGTAGTCTGCTTCCGCCATGCTTCAACTACCAGGTCCCTTGTAGGGAGAGTCTAAGTGGAAGTGCCACCTACAGCAGTATATCCCCTCACCCCCTGGCTTTGCCACTATCGCTGTGCAGAAGGATGTACATCTTCCAAGTATTGAATGCGACAGGAAGGCACTTCAGAGCTCTATGACGAAGCGGAGGAGGCTGAATCGCCACATCACGTACAGGTTCCCTCTTCAAGCAGCCCATCTAGGCTCATGGGCAACGGGGGATCTCAGCTGAAGGTCACCTGTTCTACGGCCCCGTGGGGAAGAGACACACACTTTCCTTGAAAGTTACGTTGAATATGCAGTTAATAAGTGCAATCAAGTGAGATGGACCCGATGTAATGTATGTAGAGTCTAATCGCGCCGGTTATCCGGCCAGTTACGAGGTTGCTTATGCATGCATGACGCTGCAACGCCGCGTCACTCAGTTTTGGCCGTATGCTCAGCCGTGTGATACCAAAGGACGCATGGCTTCTGGTAGGCATACGTTTACGCTGACTACAACAACTTCTTGCCGCATGCAGCTCGGGGCTGCAGCGAGAGCGCCGGCAGCTGCCGGTGCATGCATGCGCGGCTACGAATACTGCTGGAGGGACAATGTATGAAGAGCTGCATGCGAATTCGCGGCACGCAAGGCTATGGACCGGTCCGTGGGCTGAGATGGAACTATTTAGCCCTTAGCTCCATACGCATCGCCAGTAGGCTGCCGGAGGTTGTAGCAGCACCTGCTGCTGCTGCTACTGCAACGAATGCAGCGGCTGCAGCACTGGCAGCACAACTTGCCTTTAGCAGCATGGACACAGGCAACAGACCCTTCAGCAGCAAGAACACCTTCGACTCTAAGGGGCTCGCGATACTGCACTGTCCTCATCGCCTATTTGTTTCCGGCAGCGGCGGCTGCATGTAAGAGTAGGAGCCTCAGCAATAAAGGCTGCAACACAGACAATGAGTCGCAGCTCCCCTCCTCGTTTCTCAGTCCCGGCGGCTGCTGCCTCTGGGGCCCCCCCCTCGGGGGGCCCTCAGTTTTCTTACCCAACAAATGAGGATATGCAAATAGCCCGGAGCAGCTTTTTGCAGCTTGCAGCTGCAGTTGAAGCGGCAGCAAAGTCCAAAAGCGTTAGCAGCGCCGTTGAAGCGCTCAAGTGGTCTCTCAAGGGCCTCCAGGATGTAGCTCGATTACTCCTCGTCCTGATGCAGCAACAGCAACGATGCAGGGTGCTTCTCTCGCAAGCGGTCTGGTCTGCGGCAGCTGCGAAAGTTGCAGCTGCATGCAACAGCTACATCAGCGAATTCCTCCCCCAAATGTTGCTGCTCTACACGGCAGAGGTCCAGCTGCAGCAACAGCAAGAACAGCCACCCATGCAGCAGCAAACGCAGCAACAAATGCAGCAACAAATGCAGCAAATGCAGCATATGCTGCAGCTGTCCAGGGAGCTGCAGCTGCTGCAGCTGGACTTAATGCAGAAGCTGCTGCATCAAGAACCAAGAACAGCTCCACTGTGTGCTGAAGCAGTTGCCCGTATCCTCGACATGCACCGAGGAGTGTGGGGCACCAGCAGCAGCACGCAGAGCAGCCGCTTGGCGGTAGTTACAGCGGCGTACGATCTGTTGCAGGCCTGTGGATCGGCAATGTTGCAGGAGACACTTGCTGCAGCAGGTAGACTGAGCAGCAGCGGTACTGCCGCAGTGTTGGTGAGACTCTGACGCTGGGCCCTGCAGTCCGCTGTCTGTCCAGCTCATCTCTGTACATCGTTCCTTTGGATCGCCGCATAATGTGTATATACACTCCTGCACGCGCGAGTCTGGCTGACTTGACAGTTCTGTTTGTGCGTAAATTTGCACCAGGCCATAAGCCACAATCCATTCTCCGAAGTGACCTGTAAATCTGACTCTCTGGTGTTGTATGGCGAGATGCTGCGTAGCCTGATCTTCTCTCCAGGCAGAATCCATCCATGCCTGTCTGGATGCATGCGTGAATTTCTTGACCCATCCTTCGCCTTGCTTTCGCTGCAGGAATATATTGGTGGAGCATCTGCTTGCACACGAGGTTTCGCGGCTCTCAACAGCATCCGCTCACAAGTCCACGACTCGCTGCTTCGCCTCCCCTTGCTGCTAGCCCCTGCTGCTGCTGCTGCCGCTGCTGCTGCTGATTCGGCTGCTCCGAGTCTATCTGAGGAGCAGCTGAATCAGCAGACGCGCGCTGCAGCAGCAGCCCGCTGCATGCGGAGCTGCCTCTCCGTAATTTCATCGTGGGCAGAAGTGCTCCACGCAGCGGCTCAGCAGACGCACTCTGCCGCTGCAGCCGCCAGCAAGGGGCAGCAGCAGCGGCAGCAGTTGTCGCTGACGTCAGACACCGCATCCATGCATGCAGAGCAGCTGCTGCGAGACACCGCTGCCGCGTGGGCAGAGGCGGACTCGCAACTGCTGCTCCAGCTGCTCTTGCAGCTGCCTCATACACATGCAGAGGCGTCGTCAGCTCACGCTGCTCCTACAAGTTCAGGGAGCCTCGACACTCCAGCAGCAGCGCATGATTCCCCAGGAAACGGAGAAAGCTGGAATTCTTCGGCACCCGCAGCACCAGCAAGGGGAGCTATTAACCCTCTCGTGTATGGCGAGGTGCTGCAGACGGTGACGTGGATCTGCAGTCGCGTGCCTCAGCAGCTCCGCTACTTCTTGCATCCCCTCATTCAGACAGCGGAAGTGTTGCGAAAGACGCATCAGAGAGCTGCTGCTGCAGGGGCGGCGTCGGCCTCTCCAAAAGCGGCAGATTCCTCGATGTTGAGCGACACTTGGCCGGCAGGAGTGCCTGCTGCTCCCGACGGGAAAGGCTGCGGAGTCCACTGTGCTGCAGAGGCAGCAGTAGCGTGTGGCGGTGCAGAAGCAGTGCATGCGCTCTTGCTGCTCTTGCAGCGGGAAGGGCTGAGGCTTCTGGCTTCGCCCCGTTGTACTCCAACGGCAGGTCTGCTGCTGATCGAAGCCGCAGGCAGGAAGGCGTCTGCTCGTTTGCTGCAGCGAGAAGCAACAGCAGAATTCCAGGCTATGTGGATACAGAATGAGGAAGGCAGAAGGAGCTGCTCCAGCCTCGCTGGGACTGCCGCCGCTGCAACTGAGGGTGCTCTTTCGAAGAAGCGGCGCGTTGCTGCCAGCCTGGCCAGTCAAATCGGAGTAAACAGCATTAGCGTGCCAGCGGAACTGAGTGTAGATGCGGACACTACTGCAGCACGCGCAGTCGCAGCTGCATGCAGCGCCATGGCTGCTGCCTCCCGTGTTGTCGTTGTTGCGGAGACGGACAGAGGGGCCTGGCGGGCGGAGGAGCAGCAAGTAGATGCCACTTCGCTGCTGGTAGAGGCTTACAATCCGCAGAGGCTGACGTCGCTCCTCATACAAGGCCTGCAGCGAAGCAGCAGCGGCAGCAGCAACAGCGGAGTTGCTGCACGCGCATGCGCGCCAGTAATGGACTTGCTGCAAGCGGCGGAGGCTAAAATACGGCAGGGAGACTCGAGTAACCACCGCGCTCATGAGTCTGCTGCTGCACAGGGATCTTCCAGGGGGAAAGGCCAAATATCCCTGCCATCTCTCTTCGAAGGGTCTTTGCCTGAAGAAGATCTCGCAAGCTACAGCGCCGCAGTACGCTATCAAGGGGGAGGAAGCATTAAGCCTTGAAGGATTCTCTTGTTTGACAGCTTTCTTCGCGCGCGCTTGTGCTGTCTTCCCGGCCGAAAACCAGCACCAGCAGCAATTCGTGAAAGTAATAACAGCGGGTGCTGGAGGGATGGGTTGTGTCTGAGTGCGGCAAGTTCTTCGAGCTTTCATGGGGTCTTGCTTTTCTGCAGGAAGCCGAGGGGAGTAACAGCGACCATGCCTGTGAATTCCCGCATCTTGTGCATCCTGCGGAGTCGTACATGAAGCTTCTTGCTGCACAAGTTCTCAGTGAGAAACCCTCGTGAACCCTGCTGCTGCCGCTGCTGCAGCGGTCGTATCAGGGATGCTGCTCCTGTTGGTTGTGTTGCTTCGGTTATATGAGCGCTGCTCTGAGTATTGGTGGTCCCTTTGTGGTGGTGTGTCTCATCCATGCAGGTAGTCCTCTGCCGGAACGTCTGGCAGGCAGCAATGCATACGCAGACCGCCTCTCGTTCCTTCAGGTAGGGGTGACGAGGTGTATGTATGAACGTGCAGGCCTAGCCCGTGCGTTCTGGCGATGTCATGATTAGGGAAATGGAGGGGGCAGGGGAGGTGCCTGGCCATAGCAGCTGCCTTCTGTGTCGATGCACGCCATAATAATTACTCACCACTGCTCCGTTTCCTGCATGCTTCTGGCGCAGTGGAGACAGCAACTCTTTCTGCGGCTGGTAGAGCGAACTGCAGAGCCTATGAGGAGTTACCTCCTGCAGAAGACTGTGGCAACCATCTTTCGGTATGTCTGCTTCCCATTTTGCAGTATGCCTCCTTCTAGTATGGGCACGCGTTCTTCAGTGCATGCATGCGTTTTGCCCGTCTGGCTGCTCCCCCTTGAAGGCTTTTCGAGCATCCGAAGCGGTAGTGTGGCAACGAGTCCGAAGTATGCCGAGGCAGCACTGCCATCGAAATGCTTTCACCGGTGCTGCAGCCGATGCTGCTTTTTCTCGTGTGTATGGTTCCTCCATGTCTGTTGTTTATCTTGGATCCTTCCTTCTGAACCGCTTGTAGGGATAGGGCGGTGTAGGAGTTGAAAGATATAATGACGTGTGCCAATGTGCTGCCCCCTTCCCTGCGCAGGAAGGACGATGCCTTCAAGGTCTCTCTGCAGGTATGAGAATATCACTCCAGGATAAACTCCACATTTTGCGCTTTACTTCCCGCCTCCTTCCTGCACTGTTCGCTGCTGCTGCGAGCGCAAGGTTTGCGGTGGCTGCTGCTGATGCTGCTGGCTTTTGTCTTTCAGGGCAGCAGCACACCTTTATTCGTGCTGCAGACGCATCTGGCTCTGGCTCTTGACCTTCTTTTCTTCCTCTCAAGCCGAAGCTGTAAAAGTCACCTCCAGAGCAAGCACCAGCAAGCGTCGACAGCAGTGTTAGCAGCAGGCTCTTCTCCCCTGACCTGCTCGCTTCTAGGGAAGCTGCCAGAGGGCGTGGAGGGATGGGATTCTTGGAGTCTTTCAAGATCTTCACATAGCCTCTCTCCCATGAGCGACTACGAAAAGGCTTTCGGGGAGTGTATCTCCAAGGCATACTGCCAGGAACTTTTGGATGACACGTATGTGTATCGACGCCTGCCTGTTGCGCTGTCGCTGCTGCCCTTAGCGGAGTTGTTAGCAGCACGGTAAACGTGGTGGTGCTGCTGCTGCTGGCTGCTGCCGCCTGCTCGTGTGGATGCAGGAGCCTTCGAGCTGCATACAGTCAGCTCATTGGACGCTTCCTTGTGGCTGCTCCTCTGGTACCCCCTTCGGCTTTTGCGCTGCTCGCGTGGCTAGCGGACGGGCCGCCTCCAGCAGCAGTGGTGGCTGCAGCAGCAGCAGGAGCAGCGCTTGAGAAGCAGCAACAACCTGCCGAAACGAATGCTTCGACGACAACTGACACGGGAGACAAGGCTGCCACGACAACAGCGATGCAGATCTGCGAGCAGGAGCAGGAGCAGCAACTCCAGCAGCAAAACTCGTACGCAGGATATTTGGCTGCGGCGTGCGGTTTAAGCGAAAGCCGCAGCGGTAAGGCCTTGGCTAATGACAGAAGGCTGGTGGTTGCTGCTATATCCCAAGTTATTCGGAGAAAGAACGCCCCCATCTCTCGACGGTAGGCTCTTAACGCGGATCTGTAGTCAGCCCTGTGCATTTTTCTGTATATGCTGACATGCAGACACCGCAGAGAGCAAGCGTAGCTTTTCAACCAGGCCCCCGTGATTATATATATATATATATATATATATCAGCGCATTCCTGTTGCTGCACGCTTCTTTGTAGCCTTCCTACCCGTACGTATGTGCCACAAGGCGCATGCACGTCTTCTGGCTCGTGTGTATTTGCCCATGCCCTTGCATGCTGTTTTTATCCTCTGTTGTTTCGTATACGGGTGCTTTTGTGCAGGAGCGCTTTCACGCTGCTAATGCGGCTGTGCCACGTGGGGTCTCCTGGCTGCCGACGCCTCTTCTCACGCCTGTTTGCTTCGGCGAAGGGGACGTACACCCCACCCAAAGACGCTTGGCAGCACCAAAGACTGAGAGATATCTTGCTGCAAAGCACGATTTCCGAAGCCGCCGCAGCAGCAGCAGCCATGGACGAAGCAGCAGCAGCGCAGAGCGCCATCAAGTGCCCTGCGGGGACGCAGCTGTGGCAGATGCCTGCGCTACTCTTGCACCAGGCAGGGTTAACTACTACCACTGCTACTACTGGTACTAGTACGCAAGAGCAGCAGCAACAGCAGCGAGACGATGGTGTAGCGGTAACACCTGCTGCTGTTGCCGCTGCTGCTGCTGCCGACGTCGCCGCTGCAGAAGGAGCATCGGGGAGTGCAGTCTCTGCGGAAGAACTCCACGGCTGGGGTTCCCCCGAAGTATTCTCCGGTCGTTGGGTCGAAGAGGTGGCGTCTCTTATTTATGCGTGCGTCTCTGAAATACATGCGAAACAGGAAAATAAGAGTTTTGGCTGGAGGGTTACGCCTTGTGGGGGCTCGTGCCACCTTGGCGTTTGTGGGTGTGTGCGTGCATGTAGGCGTCTGTCCTCACTGCAATTTATACATTGGCTTGAGGGTGTTGCTGCTGCGGGCGCTGTATCGGGAGCCGTGTTAGCTGATACTGCGTCAGTGTGTCTCCTGTACACGTATGTGCAAGTGCTGTGGTGTGTGTCTTGACAGATCCTCGGGAGGGCGAAAGGCTGTGGAATCGCTCACGGCTCTCATGCGTGTCAACGCTTTTCCGGCTGCCGTTGCTGCTACAGTGCTGCGGGACGTTGCTGCTGCTGCAGGTACAGCAGTGGCATTGCTGCTGCAGCTGCGAGGTTTGCTCATGTGCTAGCGTTGGTTGCCTCCTCTGGGAGTCGTGCGTGCTGCAGGAATAGTGACTTAGCGCCCTGACAAAGGCGGAGATGTGGGCACCTCCTTGATATTTGTCTGCCGCAGATGCTGGAGAAAAGGCGGCTGCTGCTGTTGCGGTGTCTTGGGCTGCGAAAGAGGCAGCCGAAGCAGTGGACGGAGGCGCGGGGGCGTCCTCAGTTGCTGCAGAGAAGAGTGCAGCTGCGCCTGGTGGAGAAGAAGCAGGAGCAGCAGCAGCAGCTGCTGCTGCTGCCTTGACTAAGGCAAAGGCGGCAGCGGCTGCCGCAGCCTTCGATATGCGCAGTGGCGTATTTGCTGTTATCGCTGCAAGAAATCCTTTTTTGCTGCACCTGCTGCTGCGGGTTGCCGTCTTCTGTACAGACACTGCGATGTTCAAGCACCACGAGCAGCTGCTTCTGCAGGCAAGCAGGCTACCAGTTGCTCAAGGGGCTTCAGCCGCGACACTGGCAACAGTGTTGGTGTCGGTGGTACAGCAGAATCACCAAGAGGCACCAATTGTGACGGAGCTGTGTGTTTCTGTGCTGCTGGTGCCGGTGCAGATCGTCGCGCAGATCAACGATTTACACCACCAGGTGTATCCGCAGCTAATTGAGGTACGCATGTTAAGGCGGCAGCTGCTGCAGTCCCCCAGCATCCGCAACCACAAGAATGTCAGCAGTAGTAGTAGTAGTAGTAGTAGTAGTAGTAGTAGTAGTAGTAGTAGTAGTAGTAGTAGTAGTAGTAGACTGACTGGAAGTGGCCTTCTCTACGCGTGTCTGCTCGTTACTTTGTTGTGCTTCTGCCGCAGCTGCAGCAGCCAGAGCAACGGCCGTTGCTGCGGGTGCTGCTTCAGCACTTAGCAGCGTCCACGTCAACAGCACTTCAGAATGGAGAGCTCCTGCCTCATCAGCTACTGCAAGCTACCTGGGCCGCCTTTGAGACGCACAAAGACTTTGCACTTGTGGCACCAATGCTGCCATTTTTCACGAGGTTCGTCCTGCTGCTTAGCTGCTCCCTGCCGCTGACTGCTCGCGGGCTGAACGTTGCACAGCGCTCGGCTGCCCTCTAGGCGGAAGTGTGTTTGCTGAGTTTGCGGACCAGCTGCAACCCACGCTGGTGCTGCTGCGTTTGTTGTTGCTGCTGCTGTGCATGCATGCATGCATGCAGCGCGCAATGCCAGGTGTACATTCAGCAGCTGGTGCTGTCCACAGAGGATATGGCCTTTGTATCCACCGTGTTTGCGGACCTCATGCGGGCCCGTGCCAAGATGCGTCAGCAGCAAAAGCAGCAGCAGCAGCAGCAAGACTGTGGCATATCTCCGGAAGAGCTGCTGCTCTGTACATACACTCTGTCTTGTCCGACTGGTCAGTGTCATCTCTCGCCCTCTTGGCGTCGTCTAAAGTGCCGGGCGCTATACCGTTGCCGCTTGTGCCGTAGAGGGGGTGGCAGGCATCAGCAGCAACCCCCTCAGACAACACCCTCAGGCGGGCAGATGTATGCGCTGCGTGTGTTGCTCTTTAGTTGCCGAGAGGAAGAAACAAGCGGCAGCTCTAGACGTTTGCTTGGGACTAACGGGGGCGCTCCCCACTTCACCTACGACAGAGGAGCTACTGCCAGTGCATGTACGTGGCAGTCGTCCTATGTAAATGTATTGTTTCTGGCCTCCCTGGCGAAGGCGCATTTCTTTTCGAATAGGGGTGGAAGTTTCACGCGATAACCCATGTGGCAAGGATCCCTGCCGAGCTCGCTCACTATTCGTGCAGCTGCTTTTCCACAGGTGCATGCCTTTGCAGCTGTTCTCCACGGGTATACCCCTGTCTCGTCCGGCTGGTGCGGTGTGTTCTTTCTCCTACAGGCCGTGGCTGCTGTTTGTCAGCGGCTATCCGATGACACAGAGACGCCTTTGCAGCCTATTTTTGGACGGCTGGTCAGTTCCTTGCTTGTCAGATTTCGGCTAGCTGGCTGTCAGGATGGCCGCCGTGGCAAGAGCATACGGTTTGAGGCAGAAGAGTTTTGTTGTGCGTGTGAGGGTTCCGCAGCTATGTCGTGCAGCGCAGCACTTGCCTTCCCTGGGGGAGTTTCTCTCATCAGTTGTTTTTCCGGCCCTCATTGCTCGACAGGTGAGGCAGAAGTAGCGTCTACTGACTGCTATCCTGGGTTCTACCCACCTCTGGGTCAGTGCAGCAACGTAGATACCTCCACCCTGCCGTTGCATCTCGCTGCACAATGCACTTAGACTCACGAGGAAAATGAAAGCTGCGTATGGTTGTCCGTTTATTCATACGGATTTTGTTAGTGCCTCCTGTGCATGTAGGCTTGGCTGACTCCTTCCCTGTGGAAGGGCGTCAGCATTGCCGTAGGGGCCCTGTGGCCGTCTCACAGCGAGACTTTGCTGCAGCACATCCTCAGGTTGCCACAGTGCGCCTTTCTTAGTTGCATGCATACAGCTGAGAAAATTCCCTTTTCGCCTCTACACAGCTGTAGCCCTCTCTGCCAACAGCTCCCTAGCTTCCTCGTGAAGCAACTCGGTGGTGGAAAGCTAGGCGTGTCCGCCCTTAACGGCCCCCTTCCTGCACAGATCGATTGTTGCTTGTGTGTTCAGGGAAGCAGGAAAGCCGCTGTTACAGCAGCTGCAGCAGCGGCTGCCTATCGCTTCGGAACTGTCGACCCTGCTGGCGCAGGATCCAGTGGTAGGCCGTCGCTGCTGTTGCCACTGTTGCTGCCGCTGCTGCTTTTGCGTGTCGCATCTGAGGGAGGTACATACACTTGGCATCTGTGCGAGTCGTGTGTGGGTGTGCAGGCGCGGCAGCAGTGCCCGCCATACTTGCAGGTCTTGCTAGGCATCTCTACGTAGTGAGCCGGTGAAGGCAGACTGGAATCGGTCGATCTGCGGCTCGTTCTGCTGTAGTAACAGTAGCAGCTTGTGCTGCTGCTACTGTTACTACAGCAGAACGAGCCGCAGATTAACCGATTCCAGTCTGCCTTACGGGGCACAGCAAGTGTCTTGCTAGCCCCTGTTTTCTGACAGAAACTAGCGAATTTCGCTACGTTTTTTGTTTTTACACGCAAATCTATTGTGATGTCTAATTAGGCCTCATCACGAAATCCCAGTGCCAGCAAAATAGGCCCGCTAGAAAAGGGCCGAATTCCCGCCCTCAGCGCTAGTTGGAGGTGGCGAAAACTTTAGAACCTACGTTGCTAGGAAGGAGTGTAATAGACACAAAACTCCTTGAGACCCGCTCTGCTTCTACAGCTGGAGCTGCTGTTGCTCCAGCGTTTGTGCAGTCTGCTCCGTCCTTCGTAGCAAGCGCCTTCCAGCCACAGAGTAACAAGAATTAGCACAGTGACTGAGGGAACCTCACCAGGATGGCCTCGACTAGTTGAGAAGTCGTGCGTCGTGAAATTCCCAAAGCGGCATCCCAGAGTCACAAGGGCCCCCCTCCCCCCTAAGGGGCCCCGCCCTGATAGGGCCTTCTAGGGTGGCCTAAGGCTGAATGAGGAGCAGCTCTGAGGGTTGCCACAGCTGCACCTTGTTATCGAAGGAGACACTTGCCCCCAGGAGAGACTGTCTGAGGTGATGCACGCTGCTGCCGCTGCTACTGGTGTTGCGGCTCGGAGGAGGGACATGCGACGTGCGCCAGCAGAAGTCTGTTATAGGGGCGGAGTGCCCTGCATGTACAAACAACAGACCAGGGGGCCCCTTGGCCACCCCATTCGTGAGCTCCTCCGTCGTTTCGCCTGTTTGCATCGCCTCCCCCTTCTGTTGCCGTTGTTGAGGCGCACTAGCGGCTACCAAATCCCAGACAGCAACAGTGCCGTCCTCAGTGGCCGCTCCAAGCAGATGAGCGAAATCGGGGTGAAACCGTACGGTGCTAATAGAGGAATCCCCCACGCGAGCAGGGTCGCCTTCGGAGGAGGCCCCTAACGGACAGCTCCCAGCGGAAAGGGATAGGAGGGGCTGTTGCAGACTGCGGGTGTCGAACAGCGAGATAATGCCTGCCGAGTCTCCTACAGAAAAGACACAGGGTTCTTGAGGACTCCAAGAAACCGCATTTGCTGCTGCTCCTTTGGATACTGTGACTGCAGTTGCAGTTATTGCATCCTGTTGCCGCCAGTCCAGCAGTATGCAACTGCCGTCCTCTGCCGCAACAGCGGCAAGGTGGGGGTGGTGGGGGTGTTGTTCCAGGTCGTTTAAAGGCGCCCTTCCCTGCCTTCCTCCCTGCTTCAAGTCGAAGACCCTCACGGGATGCGCCTGAGGAGTCTTTTCTGCAATCTGGACCCCGCCCGACGCCACATCTCCCGGCTTTGTTGCGCCTTCGTCGCCGCTGCTGCTGGTGCTGCTGGCAAGGTCCCACAGGCAGCAAACACCAGCGGAGTCAGCGGAAGAAAGACGGCGTGGATCTGCTGCACTCCAGCTTAGCCCCTCAACAGAAGCTTTCCCATGCCCGAGTAGCGCCATCTGAGGCTTGGCCACGTGGGGGCCCCCCCCCCCATGGCCGCCTCCACTCCCCACAGCAGCAGCAGCGCCACCAGTGGGAGGAGGCGAGGAGGGAAACGACGGGTGCTTGCTGTAATCCCAGAAGAGAACCAAGCCATCAGGTGTGCAGCTAGCTATGTGCAGAGGGTTCAGAGGCCTCAAACGTGCCCTAGACACATTGCCGGGGTGTACGAGGAGGGCCTTTATCTCAAGGGGCCCTGCCCCAGCTGGGGGAGGCGCTCCACGAGTCACTTTGCTTCGAGGCGCTGTGAATCCTGCAGCAGTGGCAAGTAGAAAACGGAGGAGTGAAAAGCTGGCTGGCATCAGCATGCGTGTAGACCATGACGGCAACGCATTTGTTCAACAAGGTGACTTGTCAGTATGACTGCAACCGCCCCCTGCCTAGCAGCAGTTGAGCGCAGCTGGCCCCCACCCCACTGCCCTTCCCCCCTTCCATTAGTACCAGAAACTCCAGTCTCTCGGCTACATGGGCAGCAAAATCATAAGAATCTACAGGATTAGCAGCCATTAGCGCAGAAGAAGGGAGGAGCGTGGCAAAATGGGCAGAAACAGGCATTGGCGCAGAGAACTAACCGGAGTATGTTTCGCAGACTATCGGATCAATCTCCAGGGAGGGCTGTGGGATTCTAGCCTCCGCCTGGACCAGGAAGTTTGGCTCAGTGCCATCTGTTGCCGTTCCCAACAAGAGCCGCACTGCTCCTGAGGAGGAGGAAGCCTGGGCAGGTGGGAAGCACTCCACCTACGCCACACCAAAAGCGCAGATGATAGCTTGAACTGTGTAATCTTGAGCAGACTTTATACACATAAATGCATGCACACATCGTGGGGGAGACGGGGGAGCGAAGGTTTGGCTGCTGATGCCAGGCCAGAGCTTCTACAGCTTCGCGAGCAACCCCAGTGCAAATACTATAAACTTCCGGCAAGGAGCGAAGGTCACCCCATCCGCATGGGCGCAAACTCGCAGTGAGGCCCCCATAAACCCCAAATTCTAAGGCGTAAACACGTACAGTCATAGAGGGCCAGTCAAATCGGTGACTCAAAATGGCGTCGTAGAAGAAGGGGGCGTTCTTCCGCCACACCAGATGTCTTTCCTCCATCTGTTGTTCCATGCCGCTGCTGCTGGACCCTGAAGAGCTTTCCTGATTCATGCGCGTATTGCTGTTGCCGCCACAGCCGCAACTGCTACTGCAGTTGCAGCCACCAGGAGGCGGCAATACAGCCGGTGTTGCTGGCGATGCCATGTCCTAGTAGCTGCTGTTCTTGCCGATACTGTCACTGCCAGCGTTGCTACTTCCGCTGTTCCCCTTGCTGCTGGTCCTCTTGCTGCTGGTGGTCTTCTTGCTGCTGCTGGTCCTCTTGCTGCTGCTGGTCTTCTTGCAGCAGCTGCTGCTGCATGCAGTGCCACCGCAGCAGCACAAGACCATCCACAAAAGGTGGAAAGGAGCAGTGGCACCAAGGGGACCAGTTTAAAAAAGTGAATTAGGGTGTAGGGATTAGGATTGAGGGGTGGAATCCGCGATAAGAGTAAGGGAGCTCAAGGTGTACTTCGGGAAGAAGCCGCTACAGAACAACAACCCCACCAGCAACGCGGGTTGCATACAAACGCTAAAATCAAACCTGTTGAATTAGGGAGACTTAGAAGGGCATAAGACCTCAAACTAGGCATGACACAATGCCACAATGTGTCATCCTTTCTTTCCCTTCGCTCCCTCGGTTTGCGGTCGCCTGTCTCTCACCTTTAACAACATGCGGGGGCTTGAGGTCACTTGACCGCAAGCCCTTAGTTTAGGGAACTTAACGTGCTACACACAAGGCCCTTAAAGAAAGTCTATAAAGCCTTTCTTAAGAACTTTCTGCTTAAGAAAACTTCGCATGACAAGCTTTTTCTGCATGAAACAGCAGTGCTGCGTGAGCTTATAGGATGGTAGTGTAGACAGAAAGTTGCGGCAAATGGTGTCGTCATTGGCCTACTCGTACATCACAACAAGATGACATTTTGCATATTTGTCCTTTCGGATACTTACTTACTTGTGTGCTCTCAGCTGGATCTTGGGGCACGGCTGCTTTAGGTAGTTCGGCAAATAGATGGATACGGCAACTGTTAATCTTGTGTCGATGCATTTTCCCTTCCGTTTTATGTGTAATTTGAATATGCAGCCGGCCAGGCTACATTTAGATACTTTTTTATACACCCGTTACCTATACAAGTATGAACTAGCAAGTATTGAGTGCTTTTTGTGGCCTTTTATGAAAGCTATTTGCAGCAGAGTACGGTCAAATCAGCTCCCTAAGAATGGGAATGTATAGCTCCATAAAAGCCCTCCGTGGTAGATGCTTCACTCCTGATCAAGTTCAATTTCTAAGAAGACTACTGAATGTTTCTGAAACGAACTCTCACCTTCCCCTGCGTGGACCTTCCAAGGTTCCTGAGATGAGAAGCGAGGACCAGATAGAATGCGCGTTTCTGCTCTCTTGAAGCACTCCGTTCATTCACAGTTTGTTTTAAATAGCATTTAGCACACGTACACACCAGCACGGCTTCTCGTAGTGAGCTGGCAGTGCTCTGCAATAAATTGGATTCACGAACTGGGGAACTACATACTCAATTCATTTTATTATAAGTTGATTTAATTAGTTGGTGGAAGGTCCATTACAGGGGCTAGACCTGTTCTATCTATCTCTCAATTTGAAACGTCCCCTTGAGCCCTGTACATGTTGGAGGAGACCAGCTTCGTGCGAAACAATGGAAGGCTCCGTGCAGTGTCACTAGGCCCTAGGCAAGCAGACATGCGAAAACGGGGCAAAAGAATGGATAACATGGGCCGAGGAAAAAAAAATGGGAAGACGAAATACGCACACACTAGCCAACAACGAGAGATGTACCAAACCAACACGACAGCGGTGGCGCGAAGGTTCGCTCTCGCCGGAGCGCTGAAATGCGTGAGATTTCCGATCAGAGAAGCCAGAAGACAGTGAAACTGTGTAAAGGGAATAAAATTCTACGCTACCTTATCAGTGCCCATTTGCCTCGTGGAGAAACCGGTGTGCGAGTTCAGCCTATGCATGCAGCGTGATTCATGTTAATATCCCAAATGAGGCATTAGGAAGAAGGCCGAGGCACCATACTCGAGAGGGCCTGCGCATGAAATCGAGCATAGAGAGCATATTCACACTCTTAAACAGCAACAAATTTAAGAAATATCTACCTATGAACGCAGATATTTTGGCCAGAGGGCGTGCTGTGGAAGGATATTTATCAAACGGCGCGAGAAATATGGTCAATAGCAACTGGATTGTGAACCAAGTAAAGCCCCGATTTCTTTTCTCAGGAAACGACGCCGCAAACCGCCCCTCCGCCGTCTCCTGACTCGCTTCGCCCACCCCAGTTCCACTAAAAAATCCTGTTTGGTATCTCTTCCAAGATCAATAGTCCCAGAATGCAGCACCTCAACGCTTTCCTGTGTAGCCTTCACCTCCTCTATGATGATTTGCTTGCGCGGAAGCGTTCATACAAAATTGGAAGAGTTTTGAGACAGCTTTAGGCAGTCAACGTTGGTAGCTTTTTGGCACCTCCAGCTCTACTGGAAATCAATGAAGGAAGAAGGAGCACTAATTTACGCGCAAATTCCCCTATCCTTTTGCCAACAACGCCTTGGGCGTTTCGTACGCAGATTGGTCCATAGGCAATGGGATACAGCTGCTGCAGCACGCAGAGATGCCTATCGGCGGAGGCTCAAAGTCTCGATCTGGTCGCTTTCAGATGCGCCTTGTAAAGTTTGCCCATCCAGCGAAACCAATCTCTAAGCCTTGAACCCACAGTCGGCCGCAGCCCATCGTGATGATGTGCTTTTCTCTCCTGAGACCTGAAATCGGTAGGGTCTCCGGAGCGATGCGAACTAACAGCGATTACACGAGTGCATTGTTGTATATAGAATCATTCACCACAAGGAATCTAGCCAAGCAATTGTATCGGTGTGAAACAGTTTTGCAGCAACTGTAGCGGGGTAAGGCTCGTGCACTCTGTTTGCCCATCTGCCCCTTCGTGGTTTACACTGGTCATTTCAAGGTGAGTATGTAAGCGGGGAGAACAGGCAGGCCAGAAGGCACCAGCTAATTTTTGGATCCTCATCCGGGAATAGTACTCCTCATGAATCCGTAAAACCTCTACACACGAGGTTATGATAATTGAGCGGATTGCTGAGGCACGACGAGCCCGGGTCAGGGAATGCAGTGGGCATATTCGGTTACAATGACATAGAAGCCTGGACCTTAACCTCCAATGGTTCAACAATACAGTGCATTGTCAGATCAGTCCGATTATCTTCAAAAACTAGAAGGCTCCGGAATTAGGCTGGCTTTGGGAAAATTGCACGGCTCGACGTGCTGAGAGTGTGTGCATGACACTGCACAGTACTCAGCTGCCAGGCACGGCCTACCAGATAGCATAAAAGAGCTTTTCCCAGTGCGATGTGAGTCCTATGATGACCCGAAGTAGCGTGATCATGTGCTTCGTGTACAAAGGCCCTGCGGGGTAGAGTCAGAATCTACACGCCATGAAGTACCGGTTTTGTTTTGAACAGGTCATCTTCAACGTGGCAGTGCTTCCATTTTTGCCACTGTGGATTTTGGCGAAAATCGCAAAATGTCCTTGTCAAAAGCATGAGACTGACGCAATATTGACAGACTCCGCGAGTCAGCATATTTAAGACCGAGCATGCTGCACACGGACGAAGTGCTGTGGCGTCTCCAGGGCACGTTGAAGACCCCGTTAGTGGCCCTCAACATACTCCACTGTAAATTTGTATTGCAGGGGACGCCTAATCCACCGATCAATCCTAGGCTCATCAAACTTTCTAAGCTACATTAAAGAGGAGTGGTTGGTCTGGGCAGCAACATGAAGCCCTAGTAAATGATGCTAGCATTTTTGTGTGCCTTACCACACGGCATAGAGTTTCTTTCCCCGCGCTTGATACCGCTGGTCTGTTTTGATGAATTAAGAAAAAGAAGAACATGATGCTTTGGAGAGAACTCGTATCGTGTTGGGATAAAGGAGCGCCCACCGCTACGTCACTTGCATCAGCTCTTCGAAAGAAACGACGCGCAAACTCGGCCAGTGCGATTACTGGGGGAGCTGTGGAATTGGCTGATAGACGTCTTTGCTGCTGCGCCAGCGTCCTGTCCTGGACATTGACTGCATCTCCATCGCGAGATCACCAAAAAGGGAAACGATAAGTGCAAGGCCAGGACTGAAATTTCGGTAGTAAGATACAATCCCATATAACTTCAGAAAGTCCTTACGGAGGCATACAGGTAATGGCCGTGTTCTCAATGCTCCAATTTTTGCCGAATCTGGCCCAAACGGTGCAGCTAAAACACGTAATTCCACATATACAATTGTTAATATCGAAATGCGCAAGCAGTATGTGCTTCATATACGACTGTGTCGCCCGCAACAGCTAAAGCGCCCTCCGTACATGCTGCAGGTGCTATTGAAACGTTTTGTCTGAATTTTACGAGATTTTCCACGTATAAAGCCATCCACCCCTCCGTGGTATGCCCCTCAAAGTCCCCCAATAAGTTGCTGCTGCAGTTCAGCTACTACACCGCTCAATAAGCAAGTCGCAAGGAGTACTGGTTTGCCCTCATCTGCGGGCAAAATCGAACATTTAGCCGGCCGATGAATGCTTTGTGAACTCGCCCACTTTATCGGCCACCATGCCTTTATGGTTGGCATAACCTGAGTAACGCATCCAAACACATTCTAGCGGCTAAAAAAGGCACATTTTCAGACCGCCTGTGGAGCTGCTGAGCTCCCGTTGGGATGCAGGCCGGCCTCGGTCGCACCATTCGGTGTTGTGCTAGCGCCTCTTTCCATCACCGAAGGCCCTTTTTCAGCGCGACGCTAAATAAAATAAAATCATCGTATCACCAAACGGCTCGTGTTAGCATCAGAGAACTGATGTGCGGAAGCCTTGTATCTCATTGGATCCACAGCCAGAGGATGATTAGGGGAACATCTGCTTCAAAACAGTGCTCTGGCACCAACTCTAAAAGCTCTATTTTAGCTCTTTGCCTGGAAGCTTTCAACCTCGGATTCGAAGCAGCCTTAATC